TCTGGTGTCGCTCGTTCTTTGGTTTATCTATGGTGCTGGTGTTGCTACTACTGTTGCTATTATGGTCTTTCCCTGTCTATTGTGTTTGGTGCATGCTCGTTCGCTGGTCTATATCCGGTGATTGCGTATCCTCTGGTCTATCTACGGTGATGGTAAGTGGTAAGTATCTTCTTTTTTCTGGTCGCAATGATATAAAATGTCTTTGAGCGTTTGTATTATTGCTTCCTTTCTCATGATAATGCATTCATGATGTTTTCTTTGTTGCATTTTTCTTCTTCTTTTGTTGGTTGTGTTGCTTTACATCCGACTATTACCACGCATATTGCTCATGTATGCATTTTTGTTGCAACAACAATGAGCTGTTCTGAACGTCTCTGATGTTGTATTTGTTATACTTTTCTTTGACTCACTTTGTGTGAGTATCCCTCTTTTGCCTACGTACTACTATACTCCTATAGCAGCATGTTCTTTTCTTCTTTCTTTTTTTATTATTATGTTTCTTTGAAGCATACCTTTTTTTTACGTTGTGTGGATGTGCCTATCCCTGAAGCTCAACAAGACTCTATCCGAGGCTAGGAGGTAGATAGGCTGCCTTCACTTGGTTATCACTACTTACTTTAGTGATGACTGAGGGTCTCAATGCCAGAATTTAGAGCTAGGTGGTGTAAGTAAGGCATGCTCTAGCACCTGAGGAAAATTTGATGATAGCAGCGGCTATATTGCTATTATAGCGGCGCTTAAAATTTTGCCACACATCAAAACAGAGGGAAACCCTCGCAAAATTTTTTTTAGGTCAGCGGAGTTTTTGAGCGATTTGATTGGCTAAGAGGTTGAAGCAACGAAGGTCTACAACTAGTTGATTTTCTTTTGATCTGCCATTTAACATTATTTTGTCTTTGTAATAATAAAAGCTTAGCCAAGTGGAAATAAAAGTATATGATCACATCTGTAATGTTCTTCAGAATGGAGACTGTTCATGTCTCAATGAAAACAATTCAGTAAAAAAACATTTGAGCTTGTGAAAAATACCTGGATATCACTGTGGAATTTGAGGCTTTATAGACTAAAAATCACGGAAAAAAAAGAATAAAAAACAGTAATGTCAACTTGATAAAGGTATGTTTTATTATCAAACTGACAGGTGTAAAGTAAACTGAAGTCTCTCTACTGGCCAGGTAGATGATCCTTCTTATATACTATAACAATGGATAAAAGTTCTATTAATTAGATTGACAAATAAGTCAACTCAGATCAACTAATGTCTAATTATGCTAAAAGACAACTCCAGCAAGCTAATCATGATTTAGCTCTGTCTGGATGAATAATTAGACTCTCATCCGAAGTACCCTGATCTATCCTTTCTATAAGGATAATTAATATCGATCTAGAAGCATGTATCCGATAGGTACAGTCTCCTTAGTCTATATCAGCAGTACATATCTAAGTGTATATCGCTGAGCATACATCTTTAACATGTATCTGGATATATGGCATGTCTATAACATATCGTATGCATGTCTATAGCATGTCTCACATATAGTACAAGTCTGTAGTACATAAAGTATCTGTAGCTAGTATCACGGATATAAGCATGTGTCTTATAGCGTGGATCATAAAGTACACATCTGAAGCAACAAGCTCATATTGCATTAATCTTGGTGCTTATCCAGATATGGTAAACATCCGTAGTCAATGTCGGAATACAAGTATAAGTCTGTAGCGCCATCCATGTCCGTGGTGCCATCTATAGCCTATATCTTATATAGTATGAATCTTATAATATAAATCAATATCGTACATCTAATCCAGTGTACATACAGTTTATATCTTAATCTGGTAACTGGATGAACTGTCGGAATGCAGATCATAGTGGATGTATTCCACAATAGATGCTATTTAAATCCTTCTTTATTCATAAATAAGATAAGACGCATTTGTTTAATATGGTATCCATTAAACAGCTTGATGTAAGAGTTATTGCTTCAAATTTACAATACGAGAAGGTAAACTGCAAGTAGTATTACTGAAGCACAGTATTGTTTACGTTGTTTTTGTTATAACAGTACCTAATTTAAACTTTTGAATCATCTGCAATATAGAGGAGGGTGAAAGAAGCGGATGGACCACTCCTCTTACAATCCTTCTTCATTCAAAATTAGAACAGTCGTCTGCAATGAAATGTGCATTTTGCTTCTCTATTTTTTATATAATTTGGTTCATATTATCTCTTCTCATCTGACAGCAGTTTAGTGGCTCCTCCCAATAATTCCATTATTTAGTTACTGATCCTGTGGATCAAGACCAGTATTTTAATATAAGCTATATAAATCATGCGTGAATAACAGCTTCTTTCATCGTTGAGCATGTATCTTTTTAAGGCTTATATGAATTACAAAACATTGCAACAACACCCTCCTTGATATTTACTTTAGTACTTGTCATCTCTTATTCTTTCAGAGTGCTTACCCTTGCCATCATCATGCAGTTGTTCTTATTATATATGCATGTCTTTTAATAGTAACATGGCCCCGTTGAGATGACAGTTGTTTTGGGCATTCTACAATGGAAATCAACTCTTGGCCACTTCACCATCTGTAATCAAGCTTCGAAATATTGATGCTGAAGCTTTGAAAGTAGCACGTTCCTAGTAGAGTCTGATTCTGCAAACAAAAGGGCAATAAGGTAATTGAAGTCTTATGATTAAATTGAAAGAGTTGCTATTGAGAAAAGACGGGTGAAAATTTGAAATAAGGCGATTTTGAACAAAGAAGAACTGTGTATAACAGCTATTGAAAGTTGATGATTACAAGTAATTACGAGCGAGTGATATATAATGTAGAGATTATTAGATGTTGGAAAATGTTGTATTTAAAACGGCTTGATGATGGGATGCTTCGTTGCGGTTTGGCAAAGGGATATAGTTGTTGTTATGCAGTGCGTTTTACCTCATGAATACTATCATCATCATCTGCGTTATTTACTGGAAAACATGAACACAAAAGCGTCGTCGTAGCCGATCAAAGATTAAAAGGTCCTCTCTCAAGAACATTACGCATCAAATTCAAGTGATTTCTTGTCTGTTAGTTGGCTTTGGAGGGAGTGATTTGTGGTTTCAAGGCAACATTTGGTAACATTGGCCTTGAGAAGGTTTACAACAGTAGCGAAGCAAACGCGCAAAACTATAATGATCAAGGAGCAGATTCGGGTTATCATTTTCATTGTTAATAAGCTTACTAGCAACATAGCGCATCAAAATTTGCATGAATCAGATTTACCAAAATCAATATGCCTCCTATTCGAATTAAAAATTGCTCAAGCTACAGAACTGCCTTTCCAGTAAATTGCAGCTACCAAAGATGTGATTTATGCCGAGTAAATAAACTCTATAAAGCAATACGTGACCAAATTTGACAGCTTTCAAGCCTTCATATATTGACATGTAGACCTTTCTGAGTCACCGGAATGACACCAAACAATTGTACTTGAGTATTAGTAACTTCTTGACACCTTTGCTCAACTTTTTGGGCCAAAAAAAACATGGTCAAAAATCGACCAAAAAGCATGAGGGGTACCTCATAGTTTTTTACGAAAATCAAACGATCGCGTTTTTCACCTTGAAAATGAATACTTTTACTATGGTATATATTAATTCAAAGTGTTTCTCTCGATCCAAAGCAACCTCTGAAATCACTTTTATGAGGTCTTTATATGTAAAATTTCGACATTTTGGCCAGAAACCTCTTTTCATACTTTCGTAAATTATTCAATAATTTCATTCAAAATACCTATTACAATTAGCACCATTGGAAGCGCCTTGAAAAGTACTTGAAGAATGTATTAGGAAGCGTAGGGTGATTATTACAGTTTATATAGTCTAACATCATAAAATAGATTAAAGAAGTCGAAAAAAGACAAGATCTGCCCAATCTTGAACAGAAAAAAATAAACTGCGTTTCAATTGATTTTGGCGGCGGCGGCAGCTTGCTGCTGGCTGATCTAAATGCCTTTCTTTTGATGACAATGATGATTGCGATGCTGATTAAATGGGAGTCATGAGTTCGAAGGAACAGTCGTTTAGCTTGAAGTCTTTTTTTTTATTTGGTTTTATTGGGAGTTTTTTCCCTGTATAGTAGGTGTCTTTTGCAATGACAATCTCTCTCAAAAAAAAAAAAAAAAAAAGTCGCTGTAGATCCCATGAAAACCCTGTGTTTACGCATGGCCAGCTCTGTGTCGCCATCTCAAGAGCAGCATCCGCGAATGGTATCACAGTTCTGTCGCCAGAAAATGCGACTTGGACGGAGGATGTAGTGAACCAGAAGTCTAGTAATAATACAACGTAAATGCTACATAAAAAATACTGATCTGTACCTCCCAAGTTCTGTCTTTTAAATCAAGTTTCATGCCTGTCTTTGGCGAGAGCTCGCAAGGCGACGCCGACATTGAGCGTAGCGAGATAGATCGGCCAGTGCAGAACATACTCAAAATGTGTGGTCAATGTTTAACTTTGTATACAAGTTGCTTATACCGTCTCATTGACTAATATCTGACGTGCGGGTGAGTCTGGGCTCAAGACAGTGTGCGTCTGCCTAGCCTTATGTTTTACAACTAGGCGTTCCAAATCAAGATGGGCAACATTTCCCTCGCTTAGCAACGCTTTCTGCAATGTCGATTGCATATACTGTATTCGAAAAGCATCTTACTGATATTTGTTACTCTTTTGCAGAGCCTTAACATCTTGTTTGCCATAAGGCTGTGTGTGTGTGTGCAAAACTGTGATTGACAAAGAATAGAGGACATCCTAACTCAGGAGCCTGAATTGGATGATTGCGAGCGTACGCTCAGAAAATAACTTTTCGAATTGAAGAGGTCTAGGGTGAGAGACAAATGTAGGTATTATACAGACAGATACTGAGATAAAGGGTATTGGTATTATTAGTGTTATTATAAAGTAATTAAATTAGAGATATATATTTTTTAGATAGGAAAAAAGGGCATGCAGTTTAAGCTACCACAGCCGTAGCTGTTGCTGCATTGGCTTCTTTACTTGTTAAATTAGGAGGAGAAGGCGTATGAGGGGCATCATCTAAAATGCTGCTACTATTTCCACCACTGCTACTAGCTGTACTTAAACGATGATTGGCATTGCTCTCCTCGTGGATCACTGGAGGTGCTTCTTCTTCTTCTTGTTGTTGTTGTTGTTGTTGCTGTTGCTTCTCGGTATTCAAGTAACCGCTTTTACCACCCAACTTGAGTGTGTCCAAAAGTGTACGATAGATAAACTTGTAAGCCCACACATTGCCTCTCATACGACGCATGTCCACAATATAAAGGCCTGGTAGGTTTTTGATCTTGCAAAGTTCCACGCTAAATCGAACTTCTTCTCCGGGATCCACGTTGGGATCACCATAGATGGTGGCAGGCTTGGTGTTACTGTCACTACTACCACTCTCACTGCTCTTGATGGTGGTATGTGTTGTCGTTGTTGTTGTTGCTGACACAGTGGATTGATGTGCACTGGATCTACGTAATAACATGCGGAAAGGAGGATTGCCACTACTGCTGCCATTTTGATGATAATGATGGCTGTTCATATTTCGTTTCTCAGCAGGGCGTTTGGGACGAGAACACTTGAGCTTGTATTCACCTCCATCTCGTTTGCATTCCAAGCCTGATGCCTTGAGTGCTGCTTTCACCTCTGCAAACACCTGTGCTGGCGGCCTCGAGGTGAGTGCTTCTTGATCCACGGCACCGTGATGCGTACGCAGCTTGGGGTCGACTACGGTGGTTGCATCTGAAAATCCAGAATTAGTGTTGGATGAGGAAGAGGGTAGATCATGACTGTTGTGCAACATTGTATCACTAGATTGGTTTGTAGATCTGTGAATGGTACCTGAAAAAAAGAGGTTAAGATTTGCATTTGTAATTCACAGTAAAATATAAAAAAAAAAAAAAAAAAAAAAAAAAAAAAAAAAAAAACTTACTCAAGGGCTTCTTTTTAAACCAATCCATTAATTTCTTGCCTGCGCTACGATGCTTTTCTTTGTCGGTCATTCTGTTGATCGTGTGTTCTGAAACAGAAGGCATCATGTGGACACGTTCCTCAGTTACTGCTGCTGTTGTGGAAGGTGGTGGTGTACGCGCATTACTCTGGCGTCGGTTCGAGAATGGCATTTTGGTATTGTCGGTCATGGAGTTGACCAATAGACTCAGTGTCTTTCTTCTTGTGCCTCTGTCATTCGTACGTGATGGCTGAGGTTGAGGTGGCGGTGTCATGGTGCTGAGACGGACATTGCGCTTGGTGTTGTTGGGCTTTTTGCTGGGATGAGGCGTGCTAGCACTGGTATTGGGTGAAGGCGATGCTTCAGGTGTGGGCTGCTGTTGTGGTGAGGGTGAGGGTGATACCGTTTTGCGTTGATTGATACTGGACAAAAATTTAGCTTGCAAAATGGAGGGTGATCCATTTTCAATTGCGAGAGACATGTGCCTTGTGCGCTTTTCATTGGTGTTACCTGGTTTAGGCGTGTTGCTATGACCAGAAAGGAAATGAAGAACCTTTTCTGTGGAGGAAATTGTTGATTTAGGTCTATTTTCAGTCTTTTGGTGAACAGTAGGTAATGGTGAAATTGGCTGCACCTCGTCCTGAATGATGGGAATGTCTTGCTTTTGAGGGGGAATAGGAGGTGATGGTGAAACGGGTGTTTTGCTCTCTTGTTTTGGTGGCTGCTGCTGCTGCTGCTGCTCTGCTTGTTGGTTGGCGGCATTTTCCTCTGTAATGGTTTCATCCGTTTCGTCTGTAGTCGCGGTAACAGTGAGAGGGGGTAGTTCGATGGTGGATATATCCTGCATCGGTGTGTCTTTGGTGGTAGCATTGGAAGTGGTATCCTCATGCTGTTCTGAAGGCAGCTCTTCCATTTCTTGATCCTCGCTCACCTCTTGCTCTTTGATTGTTTGAGGTATATCGACAATTTCATTTGCGTCATTTTGGTACTGTGATACGCCAATGGTGGTATTGCGTCTAGCGGGTTCAGGTATAGGTGTGTCTTGATCAGGCACCACTTGCTCTTCTTCTGAAATAGTATCGTCCTCTTCCTGGGGCGCTTGAGCAAACAAATGTTGGTGTGGGCTCAACCAAGGATGAGCCATGATGGTTTCCATTGTACATCGCTTCTCTGGATCAGGCACCAGCATTAGACTTAATAAATCGCATGCTTCTTCGGATATGTAGTCTGGGAATATCAAAGGGGTATTCAAAATGTACTTGTAGAGTAAATTGATGTTGTAGCTCTCTGGATTTGCTGGATCGTCGTCATAAGGCAAGTAACCGCATAGCATGGCAAACAAGATGACACCACAAGACCAAATATCCACCGCAGGACCGACATACACACCTTGGTTCATGACCAGCTCTGGTGCCGCATAACAAGGGGATCCACATGAAGTTGACATCAAGTCATCCTGAGGCGATGTGAACTGATTTGCAAAGCCAAAGTCAGTGATCAGCACATTGCGATGCTTGTCGAGCAACAAGTTTTCCTATAGTCATAGTGAGCATGTGCTTTTTGAAGAGTAGCAATAGACAACATACCAATTTGAGATCTCTATGGACAATGTGCTTTTGATGCATATAATGTACGCCACTAATCAGCTGTGCAAATAATCTGCTAGCGTCTCTTTCTTTAAGATAACGATGAGCAAGGATGTAATCGAACAATTCACCGCCTGTGGCGCACTGTAAGATGATGCCGATATATTTCTCTGTTTCAATGACATCAAACAGTTCAACGATATTTGGGTGTCGCAATACCTGCAATTTATGTGTGTGTGTGTGTGTGTGTGTGTGTGTGTTAGTCTTGTACAGAAATCATCAAAAGAGCCATTTTTACCCGTAACACAGATATTTCTCTTTCAACTTTAGTCATACGTGAGGTGGAATCAATACTATCTTTTCTAATGAGTTTAATAGCAACCTAATCAAAATTAGCTCAATACCAATATACACACAGCCAAATGGTTGTCTCCAAAATTACCTCTTGCCCTGTTTTCACTTCGATACCAAACTTGACCTTGCCAAACTCACCCTCACCCATGGTTTGCAACAGCAAATAGGGACCAAACACTGTTGGCTTTCTTCCCGGTGGCAGATGATAATGGTATAATTGGTAGTAGTATTGCCACCAAGGCTGATTATGACGAAGCTTCTCCTGATGCTCTGCTTCCTGATGTCTCATTACTGATTTCTGTAATTCGCTTGGCATTGCAGTGACAGAGTAGGCTCGTTGTTGAGGACGAGGAGGGGGTGGAGATGGTGATGAAGACGGAGTTTGTTGCTGTGCTTGTTCTAGATGTGCTTGTTGAGACATGGCGGTAGAATCTATATGAGAATCAGGCACAAATGTTGGCTTTTCTTGTTCAGATGGTTGAGGTTGCTGTTCAAGAGGATGAACAAATAAGGACATGCTTGTTGGATTTATATTTATATATATTGGTCAGCAAGAAACGTGACGAGAAAATTCTCTCTTTCTCTTGTTCTAGTTTTAGGTTTTGTATGGAGAGTGAGTGAGAGCCCAAATAGAAAAAAATAGAGGGGGGGGGGGGGAAGGGGCTGCTTTCGTGGGGGGGAGGAGGAACAGTATAATGCAAAAAAGAAAGAAAGAGTGAAAAAGAAAAGACTATTTTATTGTCGAATATATATATATATATATATAACGGAGACACAAGAGAAATTATTTAATAAAAGAGAGGAAGAGATAAAACACTGTTTTCCTTACGCAAAGGGTATGATATTTTGCTGTTTGTGGTGCTCTTTGTTCAACAAAGATTTATTAGAATTTAAACCCAAACTCGATTGTCTCTGTAGAGTGGATATTCTTCCTCTTCTTCTTCTTCACTCAATTCCTCTACTTCGACTGTTTCAAAGACATAGTAATTTGAATTGTCAAAGTAATGCTGTTCGCTATCATACGAATCCGCTTCCTCCTCTTCCTCTTCCTCCTCTTCTTCCTCTTCTTCTTCATCTTGTTGATCTTGTTCTGCAAAGTAACAGTATCGTAGTGGACTAGACGGCTTTGGAAACTGTGCAATGATTTCCTTCCAACTTGTCATACGATGCACGTTTTTCGACAATTCTCGAGGCGTTTGATGATACAGTCTTTTGGAGGTAGATGTCAGTGTTGGAGCAGAGTATTGTGCATGTCGCTTTTTCAGTATATCGTCATGATTCCAGATGTATTGGCCTTGTCTATCGTACAGCAAGATGTCAATCCCCAAAGTCGAACAGTCAAATGCATGCTCCAGCGAGTCATCAATCAGTACATCGACTCCAATCTCCTGGCAGATGACAGACTTTGGTTTTGATACGTATTCCAGCTGCTCAGAATCTGATAGATCCAAGTTGCAAAAGTAGATGCTATCGAAAATGCCTTGTTTGTCCTTGTGTATCAGTCCGTGTACAACAAAAGCCAAACATGTGTGCGTGTGGTTGCGTTACATACCTGGATAATGTCTATCAACAAACCGTTTTGTTTTTTCTGCAACAAATTGCTGGCGGGATGTGATGATAACCAAGGTGAAATGACGTTTTTTCAGCATCTTGAGTGCCTCCAATGCAAAATCCTGTATAGGCTGGATGCGATCAAAGTAGCTCGAGTCATAGAAATCTCTGATCTTCATACAGGTTTCCTCTCGAGTGCCTCCCCAAACCTTCCAGTATTCGTACGTATTAAAATCTGTAACATCAAGGTCGGTGGCATATGTGTCGTTATGCCATGCCACTAGGCTTTCCAATGTGTGTGCTAGTGTCTGATCGAGGTCAACAGCAATGACTTTGCGAGCTTCTTTGTGCATTGGGTGAATGAGAAATTGGAGTGCAAAAAAGCAGAAAATGAGAAAGAGAAAGAAGCGAAAAAAAAAATTGGAACCGCACAGATATTAGATGATGTCTTTTTAACATTGGGTTCCTTCTCTCACCACACAAATTCACATTGGCTGCTTAAAAGGCAACCCAATTCGATTGAAGTTTTAGGCGGGCGAGAAATCTGTAGGAGGGAGTTTATAAAAAATTTATCCCCTGGCCCATTCAAAAGAGCTTCCATTTCACTTACATTCTTAAACAGACCCAGTTATCATTCGAAATCGGTTTCAATTGAGTTTTAATGGTCGAGGATATGAAGGATGCAACATCACTCATTCATGTTTAATTGATTGATTCGAGGCAACATCTGGCTACTGTGTTGCATACATTTACATCTCCACCTTTACTCTCCCTGATTGCCTAATATAAACAAAGAAGCTCCCTAAATCAAGGGAGTGAATTACAGCCCAGAGATGTTGAGATAATCACTTATACTACGTGTCCAATTTATGATAGATGAATTGATCAACATGTCAGTGGAATAGTCCAACTCGATTCCGTCAACCAGCATTTTCATCTCCAAGTTCTCATCGGAACGGCTTATAGATATACTGATTTGTGGCAATTTCACTTTGTTTTAATTTGATCCATCTCCTGAGTTGAGGCTTTGCACTTGGCTTTTAAAGGCTTGCGATTCTTTTTAAAAAAAAAAAAAACGCAAAAATGATGTACCTCTGAGAAAAAAAATCGTCGTACCGAGATTTGGAGTACAAGGCTGTTGCCCCGAGCGTCTAACGTTGAGTAAGCATGGCCTGGTTTGACAATGTGTCTGTGTCCAATATCTTGGTTGTCATGGTGATTTTCATCTAGTGCTGCCCTTTTACATTCAATCCACTTTTATCACACTATTGAATCATGCACACCATTTTGAATTCCGTTTGGAGCTTCAAATCGTTCCCTTTTTGTGATCCACAGCTATTTTCAATGCTAGTTGCCTATTTAGTACATGCGCATGGTACGCTTGTGTAGCCAGCATGTAAACCTGGTGTCTATACGATGATAGAGCATAGTAATGTGCTTTCATTCAAATAATATCAAGTCGAGCGTTGGAGAATGTGCCTTTGGTTTTAGATGGATTTTAAGATGTTTTTGCAAATCATCGCCACTTGAAAAGCGTCAACATTGATTGTCTGTAAAGCATATCCATGTTTCCTTTTTGAGATCCAAAATCAATTCAAGCAAATTTTATTTTTTTTTTGGGGGGGGGGGTGCAACGATTTGAGAAGGAACATTTTTTCCAGCACCGTTAGGTGCCTGAAGAGGATACTAAATGCATATGTTCATAACGGCGGATCCGTCCGTTGACACATCTATTTGGATTGGCTTCAACATTCCATCTGGTATTATGTGTTTGTGCGATTATGAAAGAATCAATGATATTTAATTATGTCCAAAAACGAGATTCGGTCGTTTCAATGTGATATTGGCGGGTAATGTGTCAAACCTAGAACCAATCTCTTCGCGCTAAATGCCTAGTGTACTAATGACAGCACAACAAGTGACAAGACACGTGTGATACTCTGTAACATGTAAAAGTATATATGTGTATATTAGATAAGAAGGCCATTGTGGGTTTCAAATCATGATACAATGACGATGGCATCCCAATGCCAACCACTGTGGAGCCAAGATTTAGTAAAAAGAAAAAAATCATCGAGAGGGAGGCAGTATTTGAGCGGTTTTGTTAGCATAAATGTAATTCAGATGCTCTAAAAAGCAGCCCTGGCTTGTTTTTAAAGCAAATAATGAAATTGATAGGCATTTTAGTAGTTTCAAAGTGTTTGTTAAGACTCTTGTAAACGTAAGCGGCACTTGATTCTAGTGAAATCAGGTACCAATCACTCTTGATTTGATCCAACAACCAAGAAGACGAGAAGCAAAATGTAAAACAGAGTTGACAATCTTTCTAAATATACAAGCAGTGTCAAATAATTATAAATTGGGAGATGCAAGGGGTTGGTGCTCTGGAGAGAGAGAGAAAAAAAAAGGGAGAGGGGCTGATAAATGTTTGATGTAACGAAAATTGTAGTAGATCATTACAGCAAATAAAGAAACAAGAACGTCAAGGAGAGAATGAAAGCAGCGACGAGAAAGGGAGATGATGAGCAGTACATTATCTAATTGTGTTTGTGTGTGTTTATATATACATTGCATGTATCCATACACTGCTAGAAGCAAAGTGGCAATCTGACAATTCCTTGTCCTTGCTGCTGCCCCCCCCCCCTTTGTCGACTCCCTCTTTTATCTTTGGTCTATACATTACATTTGTTGTTTATTTGTGTAAAGAAATAGAATGAAAGCACTGTTTGTGTAATATTCAAGCTAGTGTACGTATCGAAATACACCACATAATATATACTGCCATGATGGTTGTCGGTTACAGGTTGCAAACAACTTGATTTTTGTAATACATGTAATGAGAAAGAAAGTGTCAGAATGAAACTATCCTGTCAAAATTTGTCTTTACCCGGTCATCAAGAAGCAAATGGCAACAAACATCTGTAGTTGATTCAAACAAAACAAACAACTTTTTTCTTCTTCCTGTTCTTATCGACTCCTGGCATATGTTGCTCCAAGGGCTTCCAGCTTCAATGTAGCAAAGAGAGAACAAGAAGGGCTGTCAAAATGATATAATTTACCCCTCAGTTTATTTCGATTTCCTTCTCCTCTTCTGATCTCCCCCTTCCCTCGTGAACCCCTTGGAGAGACTAAATTATTTATACCAACCTCCTTAATCATGGATGATGGATCTATTTCACATCTTTGCAGTCGATTGCTGAATGCAATGGTCATTTTGAAAGAGAGATCAAGACCTCTGGGAGTGGGAGGGAGGGGGGGAGCAACATGGCATTCAAGCCAGTACAAGGCATGATACACAGAGCACAGGCCAAATCAACCAAAAGAGCATGGAGATGTGTCAATTACATCCATCTTCTCTTTCTCGCTTGACAGGTTTTTATCGAATTACGAAACCAGCTAAAAGTTGTAAAACAACAACAACAACAAATAACTGCTGCTGCTGCTGCTGCTGCTGCTACCCACTCTAAATATCACAAACCTTTGCCTTGTGCCGATCAATCAGTCCTTAACACATCCGTATTTTATTTTCACGCCTTTCTGCTTTCATATGCACGTCCCTTGAAATCTTGAGTGCACTATATAAATAGCTGTACGTTTTTGTTGCCTTTTGCTTTTTTATCTCACTCTCTTTTTCTCTCTTTCGCATACATTCTGTATATCCGTCAAACAAAAATGTATCACTCTACTGCTACCACATTACAAAGCCAATCTGCAGATGATGCCAGTGTAAGTGTTTGCTGCCAGTGGCGGTGTGGCCCTCGCCTCATTCCATTCGCATCGTGTTGATTGGTATCCATTAGATCCGTATATTTAGCCCCATCATCTTATTTCATGATGCAAAGGCAGCTGAGTACTGTAGTGATAATCAGCTGATTGAATTGAAAAAGCAAAAGGTGGATGCAATGCTGAAAACAAATGTTCAGTTTTGGAGTAATGTCATTCAGAATACCAGACGTCAAGACTTGTCACCACCCGAAACACCCCCTCCATGTAGTCAATACATGCCAACCTCACCCACCTCATCAAGCTGCTCATCACATAAATGGTATTCTGCACCACCTCACCGCCGCCGCAGTCGCCAAAGACACCACCAACGTCATCGCCGTCAGGAACAAAATGAAGAAGATGCAGAAGATGAAGAGCACGATGATGCAGAAGGAGAAGAGGAGGATGAAATTGACGAAATCGAAGACAGCGAATCCGAGAAAGAGCAACATGTCAAACCAAAAGGCCGAAAATCTGTCCAGTCTAATACAGGCAACAACAAGGCAAAGGTTGCCAACAACAATGGTAGAAGACGACGAGGCAATCTGCCAAAGAGCGTAACAGCCATACTAAAGCAATGGCTTATTGATCATAGCCGACATCCATACCCAACCGAAGAGGAGAAGCGCGGGTTAAGGATCAAGACCGATCTTACTTTGAATCAAATTAGTAACTGGTTTATCAATGCACGCAGACGCATTCTGCCGTTGATTGTATCCAATCCTCCAAATGCATTTGTCCATGAAACTACTGAAGACATCAAGAAAAGAGCAAGCAAGAAGAGAAAAGCATCTTGGACATCTGAAGGTAGCACTTGAGATACATGAGCAATGTATATAGACTGACCATGATCAAGGTAGACCCTATTGCCCAATTGTGAAAGGAGTGCCATCAAGACAGCCAGGATTTGCCTTTCATGCTACCACTTGTTCGGAGATGAGATAACGCCTCGCCTTTGTAACATGTACATCTTACCAGATTCTCCCTATCAAAAGAAATTTTTTTCTTTATATATCGTGCGCTGTTCTGCCTTTCCTGTATGTATCATATCATATACCATTCGTTTATCGTAGAATAAAATCAACCCCCCCTTTTTTTTATAATAAATATCCATGCGATTTATTCAAGAGGGTTTTAAACCGGAGCAATGGCAATCAACCTCCTTTTTTTTTCACTCTGTGTGCATGGGCTTACTAATAATGTGTCATTTCCACACTAGCCAAGACAAAATCACACCTCAAAATCTTATAATTCTTACCTAAGAATTTCACAACATGGTCAATGGTTACAAGAATAGATTTTTTTTGACATTGGTGGCACAAGATTTACAAGGCCATTGGGAAGAAATTTATAAATCGATGGATTGTCATGCATTAGAGAAAAAAAAAATTTTTTTTTACAGATGATCCCATATCAAACTAGTGTGATAAATACTCTACACCTCGAAAATAAAGTTCAAACTATATTTCATGTCTTAAATCTTGATGCTAAATGAGCCCTTCAAAAAACCCATATAGAATGATCCAATGTTGAATCATTTTGAGCGCAAGCCAAAAAAAAAAAAAAAAAAAAAAAAAAAAAAAGATAATGCCATTTTTACAATCTAATACCTCAAGCAGGTATATTGATTGAATTAAGGTTTTGTCTCATTCGCAATAAGGAGTATATCTTTATATTGTCTTGGTGTTGGATTGATGCGGCGATTTAGAGATAAAAAAGAACAGAACAGGCTTTCCCAAAATGAGTAACGATGGCTACAATCTTTCGGGATTGCCAGGAACCTGAAACTGAACAGTGCCAATGATTGCGAACCTTAATCTGACCAATTTATGCAAGCATGTCTGATAGCCAGTGCCATTTGTGTTTATGATTTCGTCCATATAGACACAAATTTATCGCAAAAATAGCAATCTATCCTAATTCACTCTAGTACTCCTTGTTTCCCGCCAAGATCAAATCAATGTGGATTTTTTTTATCGTTTCAAATGTTGCTCTTGCAGATATGAGTACATTTTCATTCATGATTGCTTCCTGTTTCAAAGGCATATCTTGAACTTTATTTTCTTTTCGTCGGTTGACATGTTGTTACAAAACATTTTTATCGTTCCATGAAATTTTCTGTTTTCCATCACTATAGAAAGAGAAATGTCTCCATTATTAATTGCCGTGTGTTGAGCGCAAATCGCTCAATTTTTGAGACATGAGAAGAATATCCTTTTTTTTTTTTTGTTTCACCCCAAAAAGAAGAGAGGAGACAGAGAGCTGGAAATACAGGGCAGAGAATAAGGGCTAATGAATGGATACCATTGTTGACTTACGCTGTAATTTGTTATAACAAACAAAACAACAATTGAACACAAGATCGATTCGCATGATATATACAATGCGCCCAACACACACACACACACACACATACATACACACACACATACACACACATACACACACACACACACACATACACACACACACACACACACACACATGCGTATATACACACATACACACACTTGTTTTGATGAACTACGGGAAATAAGCGGGTAAAATGAAATGCCATGCTCAAACTGTCTCATTATCAGCTTTTTGAAAAGAGGAGAGGAAATAAATTTCGCAAACCTTAATGACAGCCATAACAGCTCTCTATCGATTAGATAGAAAGAAACGCAATATTCCCCGAGAATGACTGTAATAGAAAGATTCAGAGGCCCTTAATGCAAAAAGACGCACTCACTCACTCTCTCTCTCTCGTCTGATCAAATGACACTCGGACCATCTTTTCTTCATTTTTGACGCCATTCTAAAACGAAAAAGAAAATTTCTATTCAATGAGGTGGGGGGGGGGATTGATAGAGAAAATAACAAATAAAGTGTAACAAGTTCTTGTGTGTGAACAAGCAATATCTATCTAAAGTAAATAAACTATGGGGTTTTTATTTTACTTTATGGTTGTTAAATAAATAATCATATATCTTGTGCAACTGTCCAAGAAAAAAGAGGTCCAGACAGTTTGCAAAATATCAGATATAAACGGAGCAAAATCTATGGAGTTGGTGAAACGACCAAAACGAACTCTAAATAATTCACCTTGGTCTATTTCCTTCCATTATAAATAGAGCCTCTTTTTCTGCTTTATCTGGTCTTTCTTTCCTGTATCTATCACTTTTTCTCTTTCACTTTTTCGTTTTTCGTTTGTTTGTACATATATATATATATCTCAGAATGACATCTGCCCTATCTCCAACTCAATCCCATTACATGAACCCAATGCTTCATCAATACAGAAAGAGAGTCATGTTGAAGCGTTCCACACATCAGATCAATGATCCCGTTGTCGTGCAACAGAAATACACATCCAACAAGAAGTTGGTTCGATTTCATGATGACAAAGATCAGCTTGAACAAGTTCGCTACTTCTTCAAAACTCAATCACCCATCACTGTCAAGGATGATCCTCCCTTTATGGATACATCAGCTGATGACTACAAGCTTACACAGCCCAACTGGCCTACAAGAAACCAAATCTTTTACAATACTGAAAGCAAGATCCGTATGGAAGCGGTGCAATTGATTGATGGTGATGTTGAACACATGGCAGAGAACAAATTTATCATCCAGGGCCGTTGCAGAGCAGCCAATCTTTCATTTCACAAACTCGTATCCATCAGATACACCTTTGATTTATGGCGTACTTACTCAGAAACTACTGGTGAATACCGTGAGTCAATTGCAAGCACATCAAACACCTGGGATCGATTCTACTTTTCAATTCCTGTGGAGGCAAAGCAAGCCACTCAAACCGTCTACCTTGCCTTGAGATACACTGTCGATGATCAAGAGTACTGGGATAACAACAATGGCATGAACTATCAAATCATCATGACTCCTGATGAATCCATTATGAATACTAAACACAACGATACCAATAGCATTACACTCATGGATGAAAAAGAGCAGGCTCTCACTCCTATCACCACTACCACTACACCAACATCATCACCATCCTCCACTACCACCACCAACACACTCTCATCACCCTTCATTCCCGAAACAACTGTCCAGGAAAAGAAAGAAGCTACAAAGGTATTGGGTAGACGATATGATTTCACTGCTTCTCTTACTGCTGCTCGCAAGCCCATGTCTCCTCCTCCTTCCCCACCTGGCACTCCTGTTGATACTGAAATCTTTAATTATACCCCTCCCGTCTTCTTTGGTGATTCCCATCAATTCGATGTTGCTCCTGCTGTTACCTATCAAAAGTCTGAACCTATTGCAATTGCTTCAAAACCCCCTGCTTCGCCGCCAATCTCGGCTGAAGGCTTTCAAATGAGCTACTCTGACTTTGTCAACAAGTATTGCTTCTATAACTCTCATTCCAATCCTATTTACAGTACCTTTTCAACTTCTCCATCTGCTGTTCTTTCCTAAAAATCCGTTTCTTATCTCATACCATATTGTAAATACTTTCTTTTTCATATTCACACTTTCACTGCTGCGTTTTTTTTTTTTGCTAATGTCTTTCCTATTATTCTTAATACCAAAATAAAATGTTGTCTCTTTTCTTCTCGAGTAATTGTTGATTGATATCAGTGCATGCTATTAACATATGAAGCGGGATGACAACCCGCAGATCCGGGCTGTTGACTGTAAGGGTAGTACTACACTCGAGAAGGGGGGGGGGGGGACATGATAACTTCTCATACACCAGCATTGCTACATTTAGGAAATGAGCCGAATTCTCATCTTCTAAATCAGGCTATGTTTTCTTGATTGCTTCTTTCCTTGGGGGGTAATGGAATCCATGATAGAATACGACGGATAGAAAAATGACTCTATAAAATGATAGCATTTGCTTAAGCTTTTTTTTTTTGCACAAATGTTTAAAATGACAGCTAACGTTATAAAGTACTATTTTTTTTATATATATATATAGTTGGTGGTATCATCAGATTCCATTTTTTTGATGTCTTCTCACACTCGGACCACATTCAATCAAGTCTGCCTTATCGATACTTTAGTGTACCTGACAATAACAAAGATCGCTGCCGATAAAAAAAAATACTCACAAGCACACACACACACATTAGCACAAACACGCATATAAAACACACAATAAATGGCGGTTCCACATGTTTTCGGTTATCTACAGGTCTCACAAATCATTCATTGGATGAGAGAATTGTTGGAAGAATACGCCATCTCTCTCTTTTTTCAATGAGAAAATCTATTTGAAACTTTTAAGCTTGTTGTTGTTGTTGTTGTTTGTAGCAAAAAAATGACCACAAAACAAATAAATTTGGATATTTTTGTGGGGTAACATTAGACAAGTTTCTCATACTCAACAAGATGGCCATAATTTCTCTCACACATCCAAGAAATCAGGCTGTTCATAGTGGCTAAACTAGATGTTCTTTCTCACAGATTCTCTGCTTTGATATGTGTTAGATCAAAAATAGACACAATATTCTATATTTCAGTTTCATATTGTCTACATCACTCCCACACCCATATACATCCAATATATACATCTATAATAGCAGCCCCAGATACACCCGCACCATATCACTGAGCTAGAAGAGACCATACGTAATACATATTATTTCATCATAATCAGCTTGATCAAAGTTATATCTTGATCCATTTAAAGTACGCTGGAATATCTCTTTTCTTCTTATACCACATGTATGCTACATACCAAAGAAAGAAGGGCTGGGCTTTTTTTTTTATCTATTTTAGGCTCTACCTCTCTAACTATAAACGCAACTCATGATAGTAAGACGAATGAATCAAAGGTGGTTTAAGCGCATTCAAATAAATAAACACAAATCAGATCTGTATCAACTACACCAATCAAATGCAGATGTTGACATTTCTATCTATTGTATGTTTTTAGTAAATCGATGGAGGCAAATGCTGAGATTTTCACCCACTCTAGACCCCCTTTCTACTCCGCGTTATCGAATCTTAGTTTATATTAGGATGTAAAGGAAACATTACCATTGGACAAATGAAAAATCCGGGGAAAGTCGGTAGTTTCTCTCTCTACGCTCTCTCACTTGCTGTCTGTGGTATAACATGTAACACAAATGTGGAGGAGGTAGTGTAAGAAGCCAGTCAGTTGGAGTCAGCCATGAGGAATGGGAGATAAGGAATTGCTTGTTTCCGCTTGTGCTTGGACTCTTGTGCATGGCTTGATTGTTATATTTTGCATGCACATCATCAGAAACTTACATAATATATACACACAAAAGATTGATATCTGATCTACTCTTTTAAACGTTTTTCCTGCATGTATAGATTACATTTACTTTAAGCCTAGTGTAACTAGAGCGTTCGTTTGATGATTTTCCAAGCTAGAAGCAAAAAGAATAATAACTTACATTTTAGTTTGTTTTGTTGGGGAGAGTGAGTTGCTCATTGCCCAAAAGAAGGCCCTTACCTTTTTCTATCAGGGTTCAACTTTTGTTACACGTGTGGACAAGTAACAATCTAATTTTGATGCTTGAATGATAACAGAAAGAGTTTTATAAGTTTCAAGTTGAAATTGCTAAATTACATGGTAATTTCATGCATGATTGTGTACTCTGCACATGGGAATTTGCCATCGAATAGAATCTATACTCACATGGTGCTGAAGCGTATCCCATCGTACAAGTTTGTTCCCAACCAAGACGTTTGCTTATCATATTATTGACACCATAAAGTTTATTACACCTCTTGAAATCACTGCCTTGCATAAAAATTACGTAAAACAAATATGCTGTGCCTGACAGAGATAATGAACATGTATCTTTCGAAAAAAAGATACAGTTTATGCTTCTGAATCGCAAGACAATCAGTTAAAAATGAGAGTTTTGCGTTTGACAAAATGCTTATTAGATAGACCCCTGTATAGAGTGTATTTACAGTTCGATATGGAGTTGAACTAGTCTCCCATCAATTAAATGGCATGATGTTACAAAATTTAGCACCAGTATCTTCTCTTACCATGCCTAACAGACGCACAAAGGAGTACTAGGCAGCAACGATCGGATGTAACAACGCCCTGGCCATTCGTCTCTAGGCTTTTGATGAAGCAAATGTTTGTAAAACTTGCCAGATTTGTTTGCAAGACATTAACATTTTTGAAAACAGAGTTGATAAATAGTGAATATTTCTAACTTTTGTAACATTTTTTTACAATTGATCCCGTCAGATATTAAAATATATTATAAAGGAAGCTGGTAAGGCCGAGCTACTTTAGTACTTTCTGATTCGCAACACTCTCTTAATTAGCTCTCAAAACCATCGTTCAACTTCATCAGGAGGCATTTGGGCAGCCACATTTTATTCTATCTCCGACTGTTTTTTTTTTCATCCAAGATTGGACAGGGTTTACTCCATTTGCGACTTGATTGAACTATTTTGCCAGTTTCGACTATATAAACTGTGCTGATCATCCCACATTCCATTATGCTTTCTTGGAGTGCTTTTCGAGACGCATTCAATGGTGCTAGTTATAAAGCATGTTTTGACTGAACTCATCTAGCAGTCTTTGAAAATATGAAATGAGGTTTTTGGCCAAAATGTCGAGATTTTATATACAAAGGTGTCACAAACAGAGTTTCAGAGGCTGCTTTGGATCGAGAGAAACATTTCAGATTAATATGTGCCATAGTAAAAGTCTTCATTTTCGACGTCAAAAACGCGATTGTTTGATTTTCGGTGAAAAGCATGAGGTATCCCTCATGCTTTTTTGGTCGATTTTCGACCATGTCAAAAAAGCTGAGCAAAGGTACCAAAAGGCAAGCGCTAATCCAGAGCAATTGTTTGGTGCTAATCTGGCGGCGTAAAACGGTCTCCAACGCAAGAAATCACTGCTCAAATGCACTCAGATTTCACTGTGTTTGCACGCTTTTAGGTAGTAAGACGTAATGTCAGTATGCTATGTGCTGGTATATGAGCTATTCTCATTGAGACAGACGTGGAGCACTTTATATCCCCACTTAGAGGCGTTTTCTAAGTGATAATAGTATGTTAAAAAGTAAAATTTCAATGTTTATTAGTAGGAAGTTTTGTTAGTGACGGATTTCATCAAGGCTTCTTGAAGAAAACCGAGTAAAAAACATCTAGCTATACGGCGATTGCTACACAGTGGAAAGGTTTTTTGGGAAAGAGTACGTTGGCGTCAAAAAACAAACATTTGCTTTTTCTGCTTAGGCTTGATCTCAACATTGCGTGCAATTTAGTTACGCTGATATGTCCCAAGCTGCATACTCAAATTTAGGTTCAATTTTCTTGATCCGCATACACAATTGACATGTGTCTCAGTATGGAAAACGCCAAAGCCAGGGCCGGAAAGAGAAAAAGCAGGTACCACTCAATTAAAATACAGCATTTATAGCAATCCGTTGATAACTCTTGATTCTCTTCAACTCTTTTTTTTTTTTTTTTTTTTTTTTTTTTTTTTTTTTTTTTTTTTACAAATCACTATGATGCAGCAATCGAATCATGATGTGGAGGGCCAGAAACCACCATTGAAGAGACTCTATTTGATTATAGCTTCGTAAGTGTCGATATATTGCGGCGGATCAGATGTATTTGATTGTTTGTATTCATTCCCTTAACAAGACTATGTGTAGTTTCGTTTCTAGCAGCCTTTGATAATATCATCGTAGCCAGCAACACACCATTGATAGCAACAGGTATTTACACTCGCCTGTCAAGCGTTCTATTATGCTAATACAGACTATCCGTGCTTCACAGAGTTCAATGGATTTGGATTATACGGCTGGGTCAACACTGTAAATATCGAGATTTTCACGATTAATAATCACATATTCGATTTCTGCTCACACACACATAAAACAAATTTCTATAATTCAGGCCTTTTTGTTAACAGCATCCACATCTCAGCCCTTATATGGACGATGTGCAGACATGTTTGGCCGAAGAATATGTTTCCTGTTTGCAACAGCAAGTTATTTGATAGGTGCTGTACTTTGCGGCGCGGCACAATCAATGGTAATGTTGATTGTTGCACGTGCACTGTGTGGATTGGGAATAGGCGCATTTGACACATTGATGAAGATTGTAGTCGCAGGTAGTGTATACATACCGTCAGATGATGATTTCGATCTCTTGTGTTAAGGATACATTTAGACCATATTCCTGTGCGATATATTGGCATGTACCAATCCATGTTGGGGATATCTTGGGGATTAGGCTATGTCGTGGGAGCGCTTGTTGGTGAGTATTACATGCTAGTTTATCACGGTTGACATGTGATGGCTAATCGATCGTGGAGCACAGGCGGTGTCGCTGCGGAAAATACTGGATGGAGATCTGTCTTTTGGATGGCTGTAGGTGTGATTGCCTTGAATGCATGCTCATTATACTAACGATACTACATATAGCTTGGATTGTAAGTAGGAATTGGATTGTATTATAGTTGAGAAGGATGCGAGCCTAACTAATTGTTAAAAAGCTGTGTGGTCGCATTAGGGTTGATTTTCATTGCCATTGAAGGCCATTGCAGCATATACAGCGAGAATATCGGTCATGTCGATTTCATTGGTATCATACTTTGGTGCATTGGTGTAGTCTGTTTGGTACTGGCATTGAGCTGGGGAGGAACCACTTATCCATGGAGGAGTGCTGTCATCATTGCATTATTATGTGTCGCAGGTGTGTTATTGATCGTATTTGCTGTATTTGAGCAAAGACTGGCCAAAGATCCGATCATTCCTCGCGGTATCTTTGCAAACCGCAGCACTGTGCTTATCCTGATTGCTGCATTCTGCTATGGAGGCTGTTTCCAATCACTCATGACCTACGTACCTCTTTATCTTTCGGTGATACGACAGGAGTCAGCCATGGCGTCTAATTTGGAGCTTTTATGCTTAGTACTGCTCGCTTGTATATTCAATGTATTAACAGGGCTCCTCATTGTCAAGACGGGCACATATACATGGGCCACTCGAAGCTCCTTATGTATACTCGTGATTGCGTGTGGACTGTTGCAGCTGCTCAATGTTGATTCAAGCCGTGGGTTGATTGTGGGATTAATGGTAGTGACAGGCATAGGAAGTGGTGGCATGATCAACAGTGAAATTATTACAGCGCAAGCATCCGTTTCAATTGAGCAGTAAGTGGACCCATCATCCAAACCAAGAGTTTATGTTGATTTATAATTGTGAATTCAGTGTACCTGCTATAGTAGCCTTTATGACCTTTTGTGACCAAGTAGGTGGTATAACAGGCATCACAGCACAGGGAAGTATTCTGTCCAACACATTGAGCTCCAAATTGCATGCAATGCAATTGCCTGGAGTGACACCTGAACTTGTACGCCAAAGCTCTGCTTATCTCTGGAGTTTACCTGAACCTACACAGTCTATTGTGATGGATGTATATATGCAAGCAGTGAAAATGTCTTTTTGGGGATCGTTTGCATTTGCTGCGGCTGGTCTACTCGCTACTTTGGGGCTCAAAGCCTATGTGATGAGAGAGGATATGAACAATGTCAGCACCGCGACCTCTACTTTGAACGAAAAAGAAAATGGCAATGATGAAGATGGTGCGATTGTGGATGAAAACCCCTCTTCCGTTATTAGAGAAACACGTAGAAAAGAATAACAACATATACTACCTAGATTCCTTTATCAATAAATACCCCCCCCCCCTCAAGTGTGAGATCCATCATGAAACGTTTATATACCTATCAATTGTTCAATGTGCCGACGATCAGTGATTGATCCTGATGGCCAATTGCGATATTCAACATTGTCGTATGCAGATGTAACAGGATATTACACTTTGATCAATAGTACAATCTTTTACAGGCAGTATTTAAGCATTTTACTAGTATTTACTAGAGTCTCACTTTTCAACTTTCTACCATCGCCGCATAAATGACCTGAAGCTGTGGGTCTAGCTCTTTTGGGGTACTCCACGCTGAAAGCAGCGTGGAAAATCCATTTACAGGTCAACAGTATACTTGCATTGCCTTTAATCACTCGAAATTATGCAAACACAGCGAAATTTGAGTGCATTTGAGCAGTGATTTCTTGCGTTGGAGACCGTTTTACGCCGCCAGATTAGCACCAAACAATTGCTCTGGATTAGCGCTTGTCTTTTGGTACCTTTGCTCAACTTTTTTGACATGGTCGAAAATCGACCAAAAAAGCATGAGGGATACCTCATGCTTTTCACCGAAAATCAAACAATCGCGTTTTTGACGTCGAAAATGAAGACTTTTACTATGGCACATATTAATCTGAAATGTTTCTCTCGATCCAGAGCAGCCTCTGATACTCTGTTTGTGACACCTTTGTATATAAAATCTCGACATTTTGGCCAAAAACCTCATTTCATATTTTCAAAGACTGCTAGATGAGTTCAGTCAAAACATGCTTTATAACTAGCATCATTGAATGCGTCTCGAAAAGCACTCCAAGAAAGCATAATGGAATGTGGGATGATCAGCACAGTTTATATAGTCGAAACTGGCAAAATAGTTCAATCAAGTCGCAAATGGAGTAAACCCTGTCCAATCTTGGATGAAAAAAAACAGTCGGAGATAGAATAAAATGTGGCTGCCCAAATGCCTCCTGATGAAGTTGAACGATGGTTTTGAGAGTTAATAAGAAGGAAATCATGTCTACGCCCGGAACTTGTTATGACACCAGGGTTCTTGAAAATGCACGCTACGCTTCCGTGTAATAATTGTCACGGCCTTTCAGGTGAGGAATCGTAATCTTGATATGTAGTTAAAAGCCCATAGCATCTTTGTCCTGACGCCTGAACGTCAAATGCTAAATGGATTTAGAGTTGATGTTGGTATTCAAATACCAAGGCTAGATAGAAACATACATGGTTGAATTACTAGATTCAAAATCTTCTTTGCAAGGTGTATGGAAGTCATGCAGTATCGCTTCGTTGATGATAATGATGCAACTGCACAACTAAGATTTCTCCCTTGATACTTACAGTAGCTTTCAAGGTGCACAATGTTATGCATGGTGAAATGCTGGTAAAGCATTTTTTTTTGCAGAGATAGGTTGTGAAACAGTAATGCGTTGCGATGATTAAAAGTAGAAACTGATGTAATGCAATAATACAACAAATCCACGGCTTCGGAAACAAATCATTTGATGAATCTTAAATCTGGAAAAATAGTTCTTTCAAGATTTTGCCAACAGGAAGAGAAAGATGCCATCTTCCAGTATAATACATTGGACAAACGCCATCTACCAATCGACCAAATAGGTGCCCTTTTTGCATTGAATGTATTGTAATGATATATTTATTGCTTTCAACGTTTCTAGAATTGTTCCTGGAAACACCAATAACTCAACTGTTTGACATGTGTGTCTGAATTGAAATTACAATGTTTCCCTTGGCATTGTAATCACACTTTCGAGTCTAGCTAAAAAGTTGCAGTATACAACAAGTCTGGTTCTTTCATTCTGTTACATTTCATATATGAGCTGTTTATTTTTAGCAAACAACTGCACAAAAATTAATTCTGTAGAGCGTACGTATAATTAGAAAGAATGCGCATATTTGGTCTGATTGAATGATCGGAAGATCCACGATGGTCTACATCTTGAGCAGAGAGCCCTGTTTCTGTGCAATCATATCCTAGATGAGAGAACCAATGAAGTAAACATTCTCTAATAGATGATGAATGACACTCTCTTACATACATGCCAAACCATACCTGCTATCCGTAGATGGCCTATAAAATGCTTCGGGAAATGAGCCTTGTTGCTATAGATTTGTTTGGAAGCAATGTGTACTTGCAATCCATCATGATAAAAAATGATGGAATGAAGGCAATTTAAGCCAGGCTTAAAACGAATTGCTTTATTCTCGGTAAATAGGTATTCTGTCAATAAGGCAAGCCAAGCAAATGGACTGATTAGGTATAATGGAGTTCGACTTGGCATGTGCATTTAATTGTCAGATCAACAAATGATGATATCGAGACAGAAACCCCATCAAAGATTGTCCAATGCACTGATCCATATAAAAGGGCGAGTGGAAGTGAGTGTCTATATTTTGGCAGTTATAACATTCACATCATGAAAATCACGACTGGTAAAGTAAATCAGACATCGACAGCAAGAGGGTTAAACTAACCCGCTTCAACTACTAGCCATCGCCTTTCTTGCAGCCAGCATAGCTGGTGTAGCTGCATCTTCTACAATAACATACAATGTCATTTCACTTATTTCAGATAACCAGACGCTTGGTGTCATTGTAGATGATGAAATTTACCCACTCACTAGCACAGATGATGCTTCTACTTTACTCCACAAGGGTAAAGCGCCTGTTGCAAGCACATCTTACAAATATGCTATTCTCAACAAGGACAATACCACCAACATCATTGATCAAGAGAGTTTCTCTAGAGACCCCATCACAAACTCTAGCAAAACACTAAACGAATACTATGGCAGATTTTGGAATAGTAAATCTCTGGATCAGGTTCCAACTATCATGGATCCTCTTCCTATTATCAACCGTATTGATTCTGATCTTCATATCGATGGTGAAATCCCTACAATCCACATCACTGGTAATCAGACAGCCATTGATTACATTCATGCCAATGCAGAATCCGATATAGATATTACTGGCTTAAAATTGGCATACATAAGGTATAGTAACTTCTTCTTCGCAACAGGAGCATTGTTATTGACATTTTGCGCCCACTAGTCCTTCAGATGTCAAGTCCTTTAAAAACATCACTCTTGCCGTGTCTGGTCATTCTACGCGTAGCTATGACAAGCTTTCTTACAAGGTCAAGCTCCAGAAAGACGATGATTTGTACAATTACCGTCGCCTCAAGTTGAGATCCATGTCTACTGATGCCTCTTACATGAGAGAAGAAATAGCCTATGATATTGCCAAATCCATTGGTATGCCTACAAGCGACTATAGTTACGTCCGCGTCTATTTTAACAATCAAGCGATTGGTCTGTTTGGTTTGGGAGAAACGCTCAAGAATCCATGGCCAAAGAACGAGTTCAATAATGGCAAAAAGTACAATCAAGGCGCTTTGTTTGTTGCTGATGTGAGTGGCAACCAAGGCGGCGGCACCTCTTCCTCAGCAATAAGTGCGCCTTTAGGTCAAAACCAAACAGAAATTGGTGCTTCTGGACAACAGCAACAAAATCAAACAATGGGTAGCTCTCCTCCAAGCGGTGGCATGGAGGGCGGTGGTGCTGGTGGCGGTAACAGCATGGTTCAAGGATCTTCCTCTGATTTGAGCTATCTCGGTGATAACACGACTCTCTATACTTTACACTACCCAGTAAAAGAGGATCCCAGAACTGGCTCAGCTAATTATACTCGCATTGTTGAACTGACCAAATTCATCTCTGAACAATCTAATGTCACATCTGATGACAGCGCTGCCAGTCTTTGGGAACAATACATGGATGTCACTAGCTTCTTGCGAGGATTAGCGCTTGAAATTGTGATTTCTGACTCGGACGGCTACTTTACCATGGGCAACAATTACATTCTTTACGATGACCTTGACAATGAACGCATCCTTTTCTCTGGCCAAGACTTTGATCTTACCATGGGTAACGTTCAACATACTAACACTCGACTGATTGATGTGGCACTAATAGCCTTTTGTGGATTCAGGTACTTCGATCAATAATGCCACCTTGATGAACAGTGGCAACTATTCCGATTTTCCCAACTTCTCTACGCGTCCATTGACATCTCGTCTATTCTTGGTGCCTGAATTCAAGCAAGAGTTTGAGAATTTGATTGTCAACATGACAAAAGCACTTGTCAACCCTGATATACTGACTTCTCGTATCAATCAACTGTATGAAATGCTGCAAGAAGACGTTGCCTGGGACAAGAGCTTGCCACGTGTTGCTGCTAGTAATTCCTCTTCATCGCCCACTTCCAAAGGGATGGGAAGCAGCTCAGTGGATGACCAAACATTTTATGCCGGTGTCTATGGTCCTACTAATGCCTCCACATCTTTGGCAGAGTGGTTGGCTCTTCGTAGTAGCAATATCTTGACTTTTTTCAACGAATCCATTTAGTTTAATACCTTGCTATTAAAGAAATTCTCATTAAACACTAGCATCTAGACATCTTGTTTGAACTACTACACAAAAAAAGCTCAGTGACACCCGGTTTGGAATCGTTACTATACATGGAAGATGAAGCGACTAAGGTTCATTATATAAAGTCGTTCACGTATGACACAGTAAATAGTGTATAGTACGTCTTTTTGCTATTCATCAACAAACTAACTGGAGAAATGTGTAGAGGTTCGTAAAAGAGACACTTTTTGTCTCCAATAATTTGACAAGAATGTCTAATGATTACATTGTTTATTTAGCCATAAAACAGCACGGACATGGGAATGTGAATATGACGATCGAAATACAATGTAACCCACATGAAATTCAAGGGTTGGAAAAACGCAGGACGAGCAGTAGCTGCTAAACGTATGACCTGCGGGAAGACGACTGAAACTGCATAATATAACCGGCTAGACTACTTATTGGAAGCTTACCATGAACGCACTCTGCAATCTAATTGCAGGCCTTACATTGGAGGCTACACATTGCACTGTTTGGTAGGTCTGATAACCAAGCATAACAATTCCAGTTGATGGTGTTGCCACTCATTCGTGAATACAAAGCCATTCTCAAAACCTGAATCCGGGGAAAAGTTGAAAAAGAATCTAATCTCGAATCATTGTAACATTGCTTTCATTGATCACAGAAGAACCTTTTGATGTTACGTGGCAAGATGTGTTCTTGGCATATCATTGGTTCATATGACACATAAGATTCGTTCAGGTACTCAGTTGTATGTAGCTGGATCAATCAACCTGAAACTGTATAATGAGCTGATGCAGAATGCAGTGCAAGTACCCAGCTTATTTTACTGATGTAAAGAGATTATATCTTGCATCACCTTTTTCTTCAAAATCAAGCCATCCCATACATCAGCTGTTTATCATGGCATGGCTCGCATGTAGAGACATCAATCCATTTAGGCAATTTTTGCTATAGTTACCGAAGGAGGCTACCTTTTTAGGGAACTTTTATGACCCTGTTAGTGAAAGGATGTCAAATGCTAATAAGCACACACAGCCGCGGGGAAATGAGCTGACTGGGAAGAGGTAGAGAGAGAGAGAGAGAGAGAGAGAGAGAGGGAGGGAGGGAGGGAGGGTGAGAAGTCTATATGGGCTCTCTCTCTCTCTCTCTGTAGGTTCTCATGCGGGAAGGCCAATATTTCATGTAAATTATGTTTGTGTAATCTGGGATCTTTTACCATTCAGTGTAACATTTGGCTCATTCGATCAACGATCAATCGTTTTGTCACTGTATGAATTTCATTTCCCCTTGTACATGTGCTTGGGTATTGTTGTTGAAAAAGACGGGACGCAATGATGTGCTATTCGAGTGAGGAGCTATAGGTCTTTTGTGTAATCTTGTGTGTTGTATGTCTATCGATCCACAATTAAAGGTTGATAATGCAAAATGAAATGCAACTAAATCACACAACGTATATAAAGAGAGGCAATTGAGCAGTTTTTTTTTTTTTTCCAATTCTTCATCTCATCAAGCTCTCTCATTTCTCTTCTAATGAAGTTCTCAAATCTTCTCAAGAAGCCTCTCCTTTTGATCGCTGGTATCTTGGCTGCGACTGTTGTCGCCGAAACTGTACCTACTACTGCTGCAGTCCAAGTCAAGTCCTTTACCTATGATGGCTCTACCTTGGCTGGTCAGATTTATGTAGGCGCTAAGATTTCCAATCCGTTGGATGAATGCATTGCTAAATTTTCCGTATATATAGGTCAAGAACATTGCTTATACCAAAACAGTTACTGTCATCTATTCTGATGGTTCTAACAATTGGAACAACAATGGCAACACAATCGCTGCTTCTTACAGCGCAGGCATTTCAGGCACCAACTATGAATATTGGACTTTCAGCGCTCCTGTCAGCGGCATCAAGCAATTCTACGTCAAAGTAAGTTTTGTGATCCATGTGTGCTGAGTGCTCAATTACTAAGCCTTCGATCTGTACTAGTATGTTGTAAGCGGTACTACCTACTATGACAACAACAACAGCGCAAACTATCAAGGTAAATGGACTTTCACATGTTGCATTTGCATTGTCATACTAAAAGAGCCTTTTAGTTTCAGCTACTACTACTACTACTGCTCCTACCTCTACCACCACTGGCGGCTCTTCTACTACCACTGGTGGCTCCACTACTACTGCAACTAGCGTCCCTACTGGTGTTCCCTCTGGTTTCCCTACAGGTAACTCCACCATCAGCTCTTGGATCAATGGCCAAACCTCTGTAAGCCGTTATGCCATGCTCCGCAACATCAACCCTGCTGGTACCGTTCCTGGCTTCATTGCTGCTTCCATGTCTACCTCTGGTCCCGATTACTTTTATGCCTGGACCCGTGATTCTGCCTTGACCTCTCATGTCGTTGCCTATGATTACAACACCACTTTGGCTGGTAACTCTACTATTCTCGGCCTCTTGAAGAACTATGTCACCTTCTCTCTCAACAGCCAGACTACTTCCACTGTGTGCAACTGTCTCGGTGAGCCCAAGTTCAACGCAGATGGCAGCAGTTTCACTGGTGCCTGGGGTAGACCTCAAAATGACGGACCTGCTAGTCGTGCTGATACGTTCATCTTGATTGCTGACAGTATTCTCAAGCAAACAGGTGATGCTGCCTATGTCACTGGCACACTTGCTCCTGCCATCTACAAGGATTTGGATTATGTTGTTTCTACTTGGTCTAATGGTTGTTTCGATTTGTGGGAGGAAGTCAATGGTGTTCACTTTTACACTTTGATGGTGATGCGCAGAGGTTTGGTCAAGGGTGCTAGCTTTGCTTCTCGCAATGGTGATAACACACGTGCCACTACTTACACCAACACCGCTGCCTCTATCAAGAGCAAGATTGATAGTTTCTGGAACTCCAACGGTCAATATGTGTCTGTCAGCCAAAGTGTCACTGGTGGTGTCAGCAAAGCTGGCTATGATGCCTCTGTCTTGATTGCTGCCAACTTGGGTAGTCTCCAAGACGGTTTTTACACTCCTGGTTCTGACAAGATGCTTGCTACTGCTGTTGCCATTGAAAACAAGTTTGCTTCTCTCTACTCTATCAACCAAAACTTGAACGGTTATCTTGGTAATGCTATCGGTCGTTATCCTGAAGATACTTACAATGGTAATGGTAACTCTCAAGGCAACCCTTGGTTCATCTGTACCAACGCCTTTGCCGAACTCTACTACCGTGCTATCAAGGAATGGTTCAACAGTGGTGGTGTTACTGTCACTAGCATCAGTTTGAACTTCTTCAAGAAGTTTGATTCCTCTGCTGCTGTTGGTACCAAGTACACTGTTGGTACCTCTTCTTTCAACAGCTTGGTTCAAAATGTTGCTGTTGCTGCTGATGCCTTCTTCTCCACCGCCAAGCTCCATGCTGCTAACAATGGTTCCTTGAGCGAACAATACGGTCGCACTGACGGTTTGATGACTGGTGCTCGTGATTTGACTTGGTCTCACGCTTCATTGATCTCTGCTTCTTACGCAAAGGCTGGTTCCCCTGCTGCCTAAGAGCAACTCAACATTTAAAACAAATAATACTCTATTTCAACATAAACATACATTGAATTAACTCCTTTTATTATCAAATAAATAAAATCTTGGGAGCTGCCAACTGTTCCCTTTTTCAAAATTATATATTGTCTGCCGTGGAGTGTAACTTGTACCCTTGCTTGTGGGGAAGATCCATCAAGCGTTGAAGCACCGCCAACAGATTTCCTTTCCAAATACAGGTGGTTTTTTATCTTATCTCTTCTTTTCATACCCTTTTCTCACATTTGATTTTGGTCATGTCTGCTCGTACGTTCTTGACTTCAGGTAAAAAGATTGTAGCTATTGGCAGAAACTTTAGGTAATTCCATCAGACATTCGATATCAAGTACTATGCTCATCATTCCAATACCAGTGAACACGCCAAAGAGCTCGGCAATGCAGTTCCTAAATCGCCATTCTTCTTTCTGAAGCCCACTTCTTCCTACCTGGCTAATGGTGGCACCATCGAGATTCCTAGTGGCTGTGATGTGCATCATGAAAGTAGGTTAGATCATTGTGCTCAATGCCTCGGTGACTAATCCTGGGATTTGATAGTTGAATTGGCTGTGGTCATGGGCAGAGAGACTCGCGATTGTCCTGCTTCCAAGGTGATGGACCACGTTGCAGGTATATTTTTGTATGCTGGAAAATTGAGAGTACCATGTGTACTTATAAAGAAAGAAACATAAGGTTACGCTTTGGCTATTGATTGTACTGCCAGAAATCTCCAGGTAAGCTGAGGCAGTAGATGATATACACTCAATGCTAAACAAGCTTTAAATCAGAGTGATGCCAAAAAGAAGGGTTTGCCTTGGAGCGCTTCGAAGGGATTCGACACATTTTCACCCATCAGGTAAGAAGGAAAAAAAAAGGGGGGGGGGAAAGGCAATCCAGGCACCAGATGTTGATCTATATCGCTAGTGAGTTTATCCCCAAAGACAGCTTTACTGACACTGCTGATATCGATCTCTGGCTCAAAGTAAACGACACATTCCGTCAACAAGGAAACACAAAGGATATGATCTTCAAGTGAGTCTGACTGGGATACTTGTATACAATGAAATGCTAACTTGGGTGATATTTAGCGTTCCCTTCTTGATTGAGTACATTTCATCCATCATGAAACTTGAGGTTGGCGATGTTATCTTGACAGGTACACCTTCTGGCGTTGGTCCAATCAAGGCAGGCGATGTTATTACTGCAGGCATGAAGCCTGGAAAGGCAGACAAGGATATTGTGTCGTTAAAGTTTAATGTTGCTGATAGACACGGCCTTTTCAAAGCTTGATTTAATGTGACGTTTTAATCATTGAATAAAATCTGGTTCTGTCGTGTTGACAAAGAACTCTCTTTTCCAATCCTTCTTCTTTCTCCAAGTAAGCATGTCGCATCAAATGGATCCACTCATATTTTGGCTGGAGCAGGAGCCTACCATCAACAGGTAATGCCATATTGGCCAAAGAGATACCCCTCGAAATAAAAACTCATGAGAAATTTGTCTACACAGTGAAGACAATTTGGTATTCCTACCCGCGGATACCCCTACTGATAACACACTGAACAAATACAACTATCAATTAAGCAAGAAAGGACATGTCAGAAAACACAGGACAGTGAACAGACTAAGAGCATATGAAATGGAAAAGATTGCAATGCGGCGAAGGACGCCCCATGCGAGGGATGCGAGATCTCGTCCACTGGTCAAGCTGGAAGTCATCAAGGGCGAGGAATTTCTGAATACCCACAAGGGCGAATTAATGGAGCTCTTCAAGATGACCGAGAAATACCAAAAGGGCGACAAAATTGTCAACACTGCTACATATCGAGACTCTAAACTCTGCCTAGAAGAATGGGATCACAGTTATGCAAGAGGATTGCAAACGAAGGTAAGAATCTTTGTGTGCGGTTTATATAAATGTGTTGTATTAAGCATGTTGAATAGAATGCAGCTGTGATAGAAGAGCACGAGAAGGAATTCTACAGATTAAGGAGCGAGATTTACAATAACGAGGTGAGAGATCCTGGCCACCACTCACACACAGCATCATCTTCGTCATCCTCTACTGTGCCTCCCCATTCACCCACAATGTCAGGCAGAGATCCCCGAAGCTCCATCACGGACTCTCGCAGACCACAACAGTAAATACTACACATACATCATTCATACCACCATCACCATCACCAGACCATTACATTTTATTTAAATACTACTGTACATTTTTAACAGCAAAGAGATGGATCTACCTTCTTCTTTAGCTCAGAGATCATGTCTTTTCTATCCAGCACTAGTCCACCACCTTGATCTGCATTCTTGGATCTCATGTCCTTGATTCTAACTTGGTTGTTTTCAATTTCGTCTTTACCGACAATGACAGCAAACGGAATTTGCTCCTTTTCGCAAGCCAGCCATTGCTTTTCAAGTTTGGGTTTGTTTTTCAGTGTAAATGATGCATTGATGCCAGCGTCCCACAATTCCTGCACGAGTTCCATACGCTCTTTCAAAAGCCCATCACCCACAGAAATCACATAGACCTGAGTTGCATTGCTCTTGATATCATTGATGTTGCGACGCGACATGAGGATAGAAAATACGCGTTCAACGCCGATAGAGACGCCTACACAGGGTATCGTTTTGGGTTTACCAGCCTTGTTTGTACCTGAAAACATCCCCACAAGATTGTCGTAACGTCCTCCTGCTGCAATGGACCCCACGCCTTCAGATTTGTCTGTGATAGCTTCGTAGATAATGCCAGTGTAGTAATCCAATCCTCGAGCCAAACTCAAGTCCAACTTGACACGATCGCGCACGTTGAAAATCTCCAGGTACTCCAGCAGTAATTTAACGTCTGCTAACCCTTTGGCAGCACCTTCATGAGCCATCAATGCTTGATCATTCTGCAAGTGCTCTAGCAAGTTAGGTGTATCTTTCGTCAGCTGCACATAGTCTCCAATGCGATCTGCCGCATCTTCTGCCAACCCCTTTTCTTGCACCATTTCCTTCTTGACATCCTCCCATGACAGCTTATCCAGCTTGTCTACAGCAGCCGATATAGACCGAATGTGTTGTTGTGGCACACCGCATACCTCAAAGATACCATCCAAAATTTGACGATGGTTTAATTTGATGTGGAACGGGATTTTGACGGCATCCATGGTATCGCTTAGAATCTTGAGAATCTCGGCGTCTGGAATCATAGCATCATAAGCACCAGCAATATCGAAATCGCATTGGTAGAATTCTCGTAATCGGCCTTTTGTCATGATGGGCTGGTCTCGTCTATATACTTTAGCAATCTGATAACGTTTCATTTGCTGAGCATCCTTTTTCCCTTGCATGGCAAGGTATCTAGCGAATGGCACTGTTAAATCATATCGTAATGAGCAATCCTCGCCTCCTTGATCCGCTAAATCGTATATCAGTTTGCTGTCTTCTCCGTATTTGCCGCTCAGTATGTCTCTCATTTCAAAAACGGGTGTATCAATCGTTACTCCTCCATGACGTTGAAATACTCGAGTGATGGTATTGAATAAATCTTGGCGTACAGTCATCTCTTTTTCATTGTAATCTCGAGTTCCTTTAGGTGTTTTCAGTTGAAACTAGCGTACATGTTGGTCATCTGTGTCTTAAGCTCGCTTTGCTACTTACGTTGCTTTTCGACTTTCTCTCTGGATGCACATCCATCAATGGTCATGGTATGTCAGCGATATGCTCCCCACAATGTTGAATATGTATGTTGCTTACCTGGTACAGTGGCCATAAGGCGGCATGATGCAATTGTCAATGGCTTCTTGGGCTGATATCTCAGTAAATTTATGGATGCTTTAAACATGCTAAAAGGCGAAGAAATTATAAAAAAGTGTAAGGGGTGGGGGTGTGTGGCTTCTTGAAATGGTGTGTGTAATCGGGGATTTATTCATTCTGACAGCTCATGATCTGTAACTGTGTCTTTGACGAATGACAACAAAACTGTGTTCGTCCATGCTGTACATCTTTTTGAACCAGACACTCTGTATGAATTCAAGGTATCAACTCTGAAAATGAAATGATGTGATGTGTATTGACTGCGTACTGCTAACAAAGAGCTTTCACTGTTGCCAACAAAATGATAAATAAGAATAAGTGAGCTCTTTATACTCTCCATCTTGACAGACAAAAAAAAAAAAAGTATAAATTGAGTAAATCTATAAGCGAAAGTAGAGTCAAATCTTCTGAAAACCCCTCTATATTTTAAATATCTCTAATCTATCACATATTTGCAAGAAAGATGGATCAAGATGCTGGAAAGGTTATTGCTGGAACATTGCTGGCTTTGATGGTTGTGGCCTCGCTCTTATTTATGCTGGTTATGATCAACTGAAAAGGCTTACTACCATGGCATTTGCTACACCTGCTGCTTGCACGGTAGAAATAACTGCACATAAGCTGTTGAATTCTAATAATAAACGCTAATTTGAATTTGCTACCCTACTCACAGTCTTGCTATATAATCAGCCAAATGTTGAGCTGAACTTTTGATGTATGGCACCCGCTATGTACTGCAGCGAGCCTCTGCTAAAGCTGGAAATCCAGATCTTTTACAATTTGTAGAGCAATTGCCAAAGGATTTTAAATCAAGTCTGTGAAAGACTCATTATTATATGAAAGTGCATTGTTCAAAAGCGTATAAATAAGACTGGCTAATCAACCAGCTGGCTTCTCTTCCTTCAACCACTTATTCGAAAATCGCACACATACTCTATCACAACAAATGGAACCTGACTCTAGATCCGTAGTCGCTGGCTTTATCTTTTTTGCACTCGTTGCTGGCTTAGTCATTGGTGCAATCGTTTTGACGGTTTCCTTTTAAGCTGCTATTATATGAACGCTATCATACATGGTGGTGCTCAGTTGATTTAATAAATACAACCCTAATGATAGTAACATACTTATAGCCATCTAAGGCTTGAAATAAAAATCAATCACTTCAATCTATAAATGATAATCTTCTACAAGCTATGCTTTTCCAAATAGCAACGTGTGGATTTTATACAAATGTAGATCTGTCGTTTCTATGGCGCTTCCCATCTGTTTGGACAGAGAAATTTTTAATAGAGGTAGATAGAAGACTTGCTTACTTTTGTATGACAACAAAGCTGTGCGTGTCCCCTTTATACATCCCTCTGATCCATACATATTAGTGAGCCAACAAATCAATCCTTAAAATTCAATGTTATAATGTGTATTGACTACACATTATTGTTAATAAAGAGCTTTCAATGGTGCCATAAAAATGAAAAATAGGAAAAGGCGGGCTCTTTGTTTCTCTTCATCATTGAAAAGGTATAAATTCAGTAAATACAGAAAGAAAAATGAATTAAGCCTTCTAAACAAATCCTTTATTTTCAAAATTATACCTTCACTACATACATTACATACTTGCAAGGAAATGGAACAAGATGCTGCATCGGTCATAGCTGGAACGCTATTGATCTTGGTGATCGGAGGCTTGATGGTTGTTATGCTGGTATACACGACCTAAATTGGTGCACTACGATGGTATCCGCTAATAGCTCCTACGTACGTGGTAGAGAATGATCGCACACAGCTATTGAGTTTTCGCAATAAAAGCCTATTTGAGTCTACTACCTACTCATTGTCTTTATGGATGTTTACATTTAGCCAAATTACACATCTTCAGCGAGCCATTACTGTAATTGGAGACAATGATCATTAATAATATGTAAAACAATCAGCTGTAACTTTACTTTTGATTCATCTCAAACAAAGGATCTTTGAGCCTGTTCTTATAAGAGACTCGTTATGAAAGTTCATTGTTTAAAAGAGTATAAATTAGGTAGATTTATCAAACATCTGGCTTCTCCTCATACAACCACATATTCAAAATCATACAGACTCCATCTCAACAAATGGACCCTCAAGAAAAATGCGCAGTATTTGGCCTCTTAGCCTTTGTTGTCTTTGCTGGTCTAATAATTGGAATACTGACTTTGACGCTTTCTCTTTAATCTGCTACATACATGAACGTTACATAGCATTTTAATCAAATAGGAACAACTCTGCCAAACCTGATAGTTATAACTATCTAAATCCCTTGAAATAAACTTTTAATGACCTTTATTTTAATAAATAAGGATGCCTGGCAAATCATGCCCGTTCCAAAGTAGTAATGTGAGAATATGCAGTACATTTAGCTGTGGATTGGGCTCTTTCGCACTTCTCTGAGTTTGTATCAAAGAAACAATCCATTCACAAGTTGATAGCATACTTGCATCGCCTTTAATCACTTGAAATTATGCAAGACACAGCAAAATTTGAGTGCATTTGAGCAGCGTTTTCTCGCGTTAGAGGCCGTTTTACGCCGCCAAATTAGCGCTAAACGATTGCTCTGGGTTAGCACTTATTTTCTGACACCTTTGTTCAACTTTTTGGGGACCAAAAAAACATGGCCAAAAATCGACCAAAAAGCATGAGGGGGTACCTCATGGTTTTCATCGAAAATCAAACGATCGTATTTTTGACCTTGATAACGAAGACTTTTACTATGGTATATCTTGAATCAAAATGTTCCTATCAATCCAAAGCAACCTCTGAAATCATCTTTGTGGGACTTGGATATGTAAATCTCAACATTTTGGCCAGAAACCTCTTCTCATATTTTTACAAATCATTCAGTAAGTTTATTCAAAAAATCTATATTACTTGGTACCATTGGAAGCGCCTTGAAAAGTACTTCAAGAATGTATTACGAAGCGTAGGGTGATCATCACAGTATATTTAGTAGAATATCACAAAATAGATTAAAGAAGTCGAAAAAAGACAAACTCTGGCCAATCTTGAGCAGAAAAGCAGACTGAGTTTGAATCAATTTTGGCGCTGCTGGCGTTTCTGCTGATGACAATGATAATTAGGATACTGATTAAATAAGGATTATGGATTTGAAAGGACAATCGCCTAGCTTGAACATATATATATATATATATATATATATTTGCTTTTGTTGGGGGGGGGCTTTCCCTATAAAATTGTCTTTTGCAATGACAGTCTCTCAGAAAAGTCGCTGTAGATCTTATGAAAGTACTGTCTCTACGCATGGCTAGCTTTTTGTCGCCATCTCAAGAACAACATTGGTGAATGGTATGACAATTCTACTACCAGTAAATGTGAAATGAGCGAAGAATGTGGGGGTACAAATGCTGCATACACCTTGAACTCTTTTTCACATCGTCCTAGTAATAGCCTTCATTTAATACCAGACTATAAATAATGGCCGAGTGCAGGGGGGAGATACCTCTGACTCTTGGTCATCAAGCGTAGCGAGATCGATTGGCTAGTGTAATTATGCTGACACCAAAGCAACTTTTTGATCAAAGGTAAACGGATGATTTAAAAGTGGAGGCTATCTGCATTGGTATCACCTTATTAAACTGAAACCCAGCGGCAAAGTTATTCCATAGCTCAACAAGAGGCTGAGGACATTCTATAGATGGTATGGAAACATGGCAACACAAACCACTCGAAAAGTATTCACCCGCAAATGGGCAATTAATACGAATTAAAAATACGGCCAATTATGAATTTGCCAAGGAGCATTCTACCTGTCTCAATCCTACTTGACCCTACTAAACGATTGCATTGAGCACTCTTGTTGCACGTAGTAAATATAGAATCGTGCATTTTGAGTTTACATTAGATATCTGTACAAATAGACAAATGCTAAGCTGTCTCTATGGATTAATTATCTACAAGTAGTAGATGCATCTATTTGGCTATTTATAGTTAATTTCCTGTGCACTACTGTGATAAGGTTTGTTGAATCTTGGGCTGAGTGCTGTACAATACTTTACGGCGTTGTTGGATGACATTCTCAGTGTGACATTTCGATTCAAAAACCTGGCTCAAATATATGATCTATATATACGCATATCGCAATTAAGTCTATTATCACGACATGCTACTGACAACAGAGGCGTACAATGATCTACACGAACCGTTTCACAACAAAACGATGCATGCATCCTACTACAAATCAACTTTGAAAATGCCTCACCGTGGTGTCTTGGCTGTCAAAAATAGGAAAATAGGCTAAAATTAAGCATTGTACAAAAAGTGTTTTCTACATATTTAATGATATTTATATTACAAAAAAGAAATAAACAAGATGGTAAACAGGAAAGAATCATAAATTTACATTAGGCAGAAACAGCTTTATCGTACTTTCGCCTGAAGAGGCCACATCCACGCTTCCACCAACAGATGTACGCTGTAAGAGCCAGAACAAACAGGACACAGATAACAATGACAGCAATGAGCCAGCCGGGGAACGTGGATGAACGGCTGACTTCAGGTCTGGGAGTGGTGATGGTAACATAGGGAGGATCAGCTGCGCCAGTGCTTAATTGATGAGCAACCAAACCCTGGAAGGGAGCATTGTAATCAAGAGCCACTTCAGTTTGAGCATAGTCATCACGAATGTCATAAAACTTGTCATTCTTATCAGGTCCTCCTACAACAGCACCGTACAGCAAGTACTTTTCTTCTGGAGGAGAAGAGTCAATGTTACCAATATCAGTACCTCCAGAAGCGCCGGCATGATGGGGATTACGAGGCGAGTTCATGTGGATACCGCAAACATAAGGTGTCAGCATGTAGTTGTTGCCGAGCAGGTAATCGATTTGGCTTTTAGCGAATTTGGTGTAGGCATCAGACTTGGAGCTATCAATTTGACTGTACAAGAGCGCCAAGAGAGCCATATCCTGAGCGGGTACAAGCGAGTTTTGGTCACTGTAACCATCACACCACAACAAACCGCCGTTAGTAAATGTACAGGGCGATCCAGACCCACTATTCACAATCGTATCCAGCACTTTCTTGGCAGCTGTAGCATACTTTGTATTACTCGAATCGAGCTCAGCACCAAGGACATATACGCCGTTTGTCTGATCACTCCAATCCATGACACCAATCGGAGACTTGGCCAAATTGAATTGATCAAAGAAGTTGGAGGCCATCGTTCTATAAGTTTCGTTTCCAGAGGCCTTGTACATCCAAAGAGCAGCAAATGTGAGTTGACTAGTGTAGTTGTTGGTGCCGTAGAAATCCGCAATAGCAGGCACTGCATTGACATAGACGTTGCGAGGCTGGGCAGTATCGGCTAAATTAAAGAGGGATGCTGCTTTGTTTAACAAAGTATCAGCATAGGCTGAATCGTTCAAATTGTTCCTAAACAAGTAAGAGGCTGATGCCAATGCGGCGGCAGAGATAGCCACTGCATCCGTACCGACTGCTGTTCTATTGACTTGATAGGAAGGACGAGGTGTTGGAATATTTGTGTCGGGACCTATCAATAGGGTGTTAAAAATAGTTACAGACGTTATAGAAATGAATAATAAAAGCACTTTACCCCAATAGTTATTATCAATGTTGCCATCGCCTACTTGAACGTAAAATGTGTTTGGGTTAGGGTGAGCTTGCATCACCCAGTCTGTTCCCCACTTGATCATGTCCTTCAAGTAGCCCACTTGGTTTGCTTTCTGGTAGCCATCAAACCACTGAATGGCTCCCCATGCGACGGTTGTCAATGAGTAGGAGAGTGGTAGTGAAAACTTCAAATAATCACTACGTAATCAGCAGGTTAGACATCGTGGTGGTTTACCATATCCAAACAATCTATTTACCCGGCATCGTAATATCCGCCCGTTAAGTTGACATTGTTGTCACTGCCATCATTCAAAGCAGAGTCTGAGCGCCTATAATATGATTACAATGAGCCCATTATTACATGTATTTTCACCCGAGCTGAATTTTTTCCCCACTTGCCATGGCACTCGATTGTTGGCAGGTAATTTGCCACTACGTTGAGCCTCATAAAACCATAGAGAGTTGTTCATGAGATTTGCATAATGCACATTGCCAGTGACGCCAGGAGGGTTGGAAGGGCCGTCTGTGGTGGGCTGCTCTACTGCAATGACAGCAGATGTCAATGTGCCAATGAGAGCAATACTACTGCAAAGTATTGAAATTGGGCGAACCATGTAAAATGTTGTATTGAAAATTAGAAGAAAAAGATAAAAAAGAACTAAATTAAGAAAATCTTGATATATACTCAATTTGAAGAGGGGTGTACACACATGAAATGTCTATTTTAAGACATTAAATCTTGCCACTCAATTCCATGATCAAATGTATTCACATCAGCCTTTTTTATTTCCTATAAGGTGAAATATTCCAACTTGATATGTTTCTATTATGTGTACATGTCTTATAGTATAAGCGCCAAGACACACACACACACACACGGTAATACATGATGCACTTGTCTTGTTTTTTTTTATGGGCAGGTTACAGTTTGTGAAATATATTCAGCGGATCCAATAGCCAATCAATACTGAGGGCACGTTACTTTTTCTCTTTCTTCTGGCCCTGTTTCAATTGATTCAAGCGTCTATCGTCCACTCGCTGAAGAAACGCAACTTTCTCCATATAGCCGTCTTTGTTCTTGTACTTGAGATCATCCCGAATGCCTTCCCTATCCACATAGCCTTGCCAGTCCAATTTGCTCTTCTCCAATGTGTTCATTTTGGGCTCTTTGATGTTGTATTTAGAAACAAGCGATGAGAGTTGAGATTTGGGTCTCTTTTGCTGCAATGGTGATTTGGGCTTTTTGATTTGTTTCTTTTCAGGTGCGGCTGGTGGTTCAGATGATGCTGCTGTTGCTGCTGATGCTGCTGTTGTGGTTGTGGGTGGTTCTGGATCTGCTGCTGCTTTGTTTTTAGATGATGGTGTCTTTGCTGTGTTCATGTCAGCCCAAATTGCGTCAATTCTTGACTTTTTTGTGCTCTCTTCTTCCTCACTACCAGCATTATTAGACACCACTTCAATCAATACATCAACCATCTCTTACTTTTGCTCTTCAAGTGCTCTCTTTTTGCCTTTGGACATGCCAGTAGGTTTCACTTGCTCTTGTTCATCATCATCGTCATCGTCCTCGATTACATCCTGATCATCACTCTCATTCTCTAGTATGAGGCAGCGTTAGCAAGTACACACACATGCACTCCAATCAGTCTTACCATCTGGGACAAAGTCCTCATCATCCTCAGAATCTTCCTCGTCTTCAACTTCTGGATTATTGTAAAAGTCTTTCAAACTTGACATGATGATTGTATTCTGCTGCGAAAAAAAAAAAAAAAAAAAAAAAAAAAAAAAAAAAAAAAAGACTGAAAATTGTTTTCGCTTGTTGCGGCACGCTACAAAATGAGAACGAATAGCGTCGCGACTGAAATTTGAAGCCTGATATATCACCATGGCAATTTTGAAAGGGTCGCCTTGGACATGGATCACAATTTCATCGTAGACCTTAAGCCCAACATCTCAACTTTATGTTTTCATTCTATTACAACAACTTGAAAGGCTCGATTATGTACTTATGAGGCGCAAAAAAACGTGCGGTCATTCCTTGCTAAACCCCTTTTCTGAAGACTCAACTTTGGCTTGATTAGTAAAATTCCCTATGCCATCGATGAGATTCACAAAAAAAAAAAAAAAAAAAAAAAAAAAAAAAAGGACATTGCTTGTTATGTATCGAGTTATTTTATTTTATGAAGAAAAGAAGTAAATGATGAAATAAAATAAATAATTGCCTAATCAAGAGAGAGAAATAGATGAAAAAAAAAAAAAAAAGAGGTTGAATTCTACATCAATGTTTATATGCGTTTTGGTGTGGTTTCAAGTGTGCTGTTTACTTTAGTGAGAGTGTATTAAAAATGTTGCAATGGAAGTGATATTAGGTTGATTTAAGTATATAAAATATCTACTGGCGAAGATGAAGAGACTTGTTGTAGGTCCAAGCACCAGCATCCAAGTGATGTTTGGTGTCAATGTTCTTCTTCAAATCAGCATTCTTCTTTTGATATTCGCTTCCCTTGGGTCCATCAATATCCTTCTCGAATACAAACAACTTGGGCTCCCAAACTTCCTTCTTTTCCTCACGCTCTTTACGAACACCACGCTGCCAATCCTCAATCTTTGTCTTTTCAACATTGGCAACCTTGTAGTTCTTTTCCTTGAGTGCTTCTGTAACAGGCCCCCAAATCTTGTGAGTTTCCAGTTCGCCCTGCTCCTCCACAGGCACGGTGACACGATCTGCCATAGCCTCAGCCTCGGCATCAAACAAGAGCTCCTTTTTAGCATTAGCGTCATTGCTAGGTTTGCTAAAGAAGGACTGATGACTCCAACGGCCGGATAGGTTGTAGCACAACTTACCACCGGCGTAGAGAGAGCCCTTGATATGATTGTATTCACCACCAAACCAAGGCTTGGGGACAAACTCAATGACAGCCTTCGTGCCATTGGAGCCGATAATAGTGCAGGAACCACCCAATTCAATGTAAGCACCACCAGTCAAGACACCACGAATCAAGAGATCGGGGAAATCGATCATGTATTGCTCATCGAAATTCTTGAGATATAACACTGCTCTACCTACTTGCTCTACCTTGATGGAAGTGCCCTTGAACTTAGACTTTTGACCACCTATATTCGTGTGAACGCCATGACCAAAATACCGCACATACAACACAACTTACTATGGCCATTCAATGACACACCAGCCTTCTCATCCTCGAGGTAAAATGCGGAAATTGGGGGATGATGACACACCTGCTCGCATACGCATTTTGCGTTTCCCATATCACAATGGAACTGCTCGCCCAAGATGGGGTTGTAAGGCTTCTTTTCATATTTACCATCAGTGCAACGAGAAGCGTAACTACCATACAATGTGGAAATGAACCAACGAGAGATGGCCAAAAGACGTTCTAAAGAAAGAGAATACATTTTTAGCATGGTTATTTTAAAAGTCATTTTGTTCAAATATAGTTAAATCGTGCACTATACCTTCAGGTGCCTTTGCATCATTGATAGCAGTAAAAGTAGAAGGATGATCACCCCAGTATGTACCGTACTCTAACAAAGACAAGCCATTCAAAAAGAAAGCAGGACATGTCAATGAAGACAGGTCGCCAGTAAAGCTAATCACGACCTTCAAGAACTCTTTGAATTCCTTGAATTGACTCTTTTCAGCAGTGTCCAAGTTCTTCATGGAGAGTTTGTCGACATCGCTGCTGTTGGGAGTGTCCTCGTCCGAGGACTTGCTTCTGTTGACTTTGTTGCTGCTGCCAAATCCTAATGCCATGATTGCTATTGAATGTATAAAAATAAAATTGAACGAGTGAAAGAAGAGAGAAAAAAAAAAAAAAAAAAAAAAAAAAAAAAAAAAAAGAGAGAGAATGGAATGGAATGGAATTTCATGATAATGATATCAATCCGGAGTTTCTGCTGTTCGACAAGGTTTTGTACAGGTTTAAAGCAGCATTTCCTTTTTTTGAATAAAGCAGCATATAACTACGTATCACCACAATGAAGATGGCCATGTCATTTGGCATTGCTCGATGGAAGTTGAGATACGAGGTGCCTCGATGCACTTGGGAGAAGGCTGTCCTGAGCGAATGGCCGCATTATTCATGAGTGTTGTTTACTGCTTGAACCACTACAATAGGCAAAAAGCTACACCGGATATGGAGACAGAAATTCAATTTGTATGTGCAACTTTCATCCGTTTGCAGTGGCTTATTCTCAAGTTATCATACCAACACTTTCATACATTGAATCGCAGATGCACCATTAACGGAAGTTGGCCACGTTGGAAGATCGCTGGATGAACGCCATCTCTTTACAAGAAGACCTTCCCTTGAGGATTCCATTGTTTGTTCAGTGGATGTTTTATCAAACGATGGAAATCAATAGTGATATTAGTATTCCGCTGGAATGCGTAGTATTATACAGGCGGGAAAGGTTTTAATGATGTAGTTCATGTACAAAAGTTCAAATTAATTTAATCTGGCTGTGTGTGTGTGTGTGTGTGTGTGTGTGCATGGAATACCCAAGGCAATGCATCTGAAAATTGCTCCAGCGCGCCAATATTTGAACTTATGCAAGCGACTCTTGGTAACATGTACAAATATGCGAGATGTAGCCGCAGCAACAGCAACATCAGCAGTAACATGAGTCAGACCAGTCAGAGAGAGAGAGAGAGAGAGAAAGCAGGGACTTGGGAAACCAAAGTATAAAATACAGCAATCCGTTACATATAGACTTCTTCTCATCTGTTTCCTATACTACGATTCAATGACTGTTCCTTCTTTAGCTCAATTCTGTGTTCAACTGCCCAAGGTAGAACTCCATGCTCACCTTAATGGAAGCTTGAGTCCTGCTACAATGCGTGAACTCGTTGAGAGAAAGAAGGCTGACAAACCTGAATTGGCAGATTTCCAGATCCCTGATTCTCTGGATACAATTGACGAGTAAGAATTTATGAACTTTATGCTGTTTCTTGATCTCCAATCAACACCCCCCCCCCTTATCATGTAGCTTTTTCCCCCTGTTCAAATTTATCTATCAAATCACTGACGATGAAGAAAGTATCCGTATTGCTACTCGTAATATCATTAACGAATTTGCCAAGGATAATGTCAAGTACTTGGAATTGAGAACTACACCTAGAAAGAACGATGAAACAGGTAAGAATGAATGGCACAGAGGACAAGGAGGAGGAGGAGGAGGAGGAGAGGGCGTGTATTTGTATATGGACAAGTATAATAAAAATCTGATTTCTGCCATTCACAACAAACAAAAAAAAAAAGGCATGACCAAGAAATCGTACCTTGCCGCAGTAACATCTGTCATTCAAGAAGCTAGAGATGACATTATTGTCAAGTTGATCGTTTCTATTGATCGTCGCAACAGCCTCGATGAGGCACAAGAGGTCGTTGATTTGGCATTAGCCTTCCGATCTCAAGGTGTTGTGGGTGTTGATCTTTGTGGTGATGTCAAAGCTGGTCTTTTTGAGAACCTAAGACCTGCATTTGAAAGAGCAAAGCAACACGGATTTCCATTGACATTGCATTTCAATGAAGTCATAGAGAATGTTGTTGAATCATCTTCTTTACTCTCCATTCAACCAAATCGTCTGGGCCATGCTACTTTTCTGGATGATTATTGTAGAAAGACTATCTATGGCCAGAATATCCCCATCGAGATCTGTATGACCTCCAATGTCCTTTGTAAAACTGTAAAGACGTTTGAAGAGCATCATATTAAGGAGCTATTGGTGGATAATCATCCCTTCATTTTGTGTGTAAGTAGTTGGCTTGTATTGCTTTGAATACAGAATATGCTAATCATTGTGTGTTGCATTCAAATAACCATATAGACTGATGACAAGGGCGTCTTTTTCTCGGAATCCTCCAATGAATACAAACTGGCTGCTGAGACGTTCAACTTGAGCAAGGAGGAGCTTTTTACCATCACCCTTCGTTCTGTCGATGCTATTTTTGCAGATGATACAACCAAGCAATCATTGAAGCAAGACTTTCTTCGCTGGAAAGAGGAACATCAATCAGAATTCTAATCTGTTGAAGATGGATTAAATAATAGCATTTATTTATTATTACACTGATATTTACTTATTCAAAGACTTTTTAACTGCAATAAATGGTGATTGTTCTGAACGAAAAATGATCTGTCAAGGGCTATCAACAATCTGAGGCAGGAGAGTTGATTTTCATGGACATACATACTTCACTTTATTAAATTAATACCGTGAATGAAGTTTAAAGGCATCAAACGTCTATGATAGTACAGTCAACGAAGCTGAAAACTTTCAATAAAACACCTGTACTGTGGAGCGAACTTTTCCACGACAATTCACATCTGTATCAACGAGAAAAATCCATACACGGGCAGTCAGCATGCCTGCCAAACCGCTTGCTGCTCAGAATTATGCTTAATCTGGGCGCATTGGAAAGGCAAATTCATGCAAATTTTGATGCGTTATGTTGTTGATAGGCTTGGTAATAGAAACAAAAAGCTGAATTGGCTGCTTAAATGCTATAGTTTTGCACCTTCGCTTCGTTACGGTAAAACCTCCTTATACGTCAACATGACCAAATGTTGAATGAGATGCGTTACGTTCTTGGTAGAAGGACCAAGTCTCTCCCCCCCCCCTCCCCCCTCCTCAATGCCAGCTGAAGACTGTCGCCTTATCCAATGTTGCATTGATACTTCAACTGGCAGTTGATTTTATACATAAAGCATGCAGACCATGCACTTTACTTTAATTAAATTTTTGTTCTAAAGCACGAATGTAATGTTTGGGGTATTCGACTGTCAACAAATAGATATGATGTGTGTCCAATTCAATCTTTCCAGTCTTCAAATCAACCTTCACAGGAACATGATGTACACGTCTGTCAAATGATACATGATATCCACGCTCGGATAGTACATCCATCACAATGGCAGCAAAATGATCATTACCCAACAAGGGTTCCTCACTATGTGGTATATGCAACACACTGTCAATACAGCAGAGCCAAGTGCTGCTCAACATGACGGCTTACCTTCTTACGTTGGCATGTCCACTGATGGAATGACGATGCACTTGAGGAATCACATGAGCGTCTATAAATTTGATAGCCTTGTGTAACAAATCTGGCTCTGTATCTTGGTAGTGTTCTAGTCTGCTAATCAGATCTTGACGAGCATGAATGCCAATTTGAGTTGCGACTGGAATATGAGAAATCGAATCAAACGTATCTGAATCCAGTTCAAGCGATGATTGATATTCAAATTCCTTGAGAATAATCTGCAAAACTTCCTTGATGGATCCGGTGGCGTTGATCAAATCTAGTGAAAAAGGAACATATTAATGAAATGACACTATAGTTGGATCACACGACGAAATCATACGAAATGGAAACATTTTAGACAATTTCAGCAGCGAGCCATAATGCGCCTTGAAAATGGAATATCTTTCTCGGATCAACTGTTCAGTAGCCATTACGATGAGTAATGTCTTAACGATTTATAGTAGTAATTAACACTTACGCTTTCATCATTGTCTGTAACACGCTCATCCCAGAATACACCTTGACCCGTCTTTTTGACTTCAAGGTTGTGTTGGCGAATCATTCGCCCTCTCGACAATTGTCTTTGTACCGATATCTCTTCATCCACGTAGAGTACACAGATGCGAAACACAGGACGACTAATAAAGCATGAGATGATGCATCTGGTATGACCATACATTGCCAATTTACTCACGGGTACTGATCTCGTCTATCTGTGTTCCAAAACTCACGTCTTAATTCTGTCATGCGATCATGTAGCAACTTGAGTGCCTCTACCTGTATGTCAGTGCGTGGAAAACCATCCACGAGAACGCCAACAGTGGGGTCACAATCCAGCATGGCGTGCAAAATCAATTCTATCACATATCTGTCTGATATCATTTGGCCTTGGTTGATGAGTTCTTTGCATTCAGGTGCTTGCAGCAGTTGGGAAACAGAAATAGGAGGATTGGTGATGCCACGTGCACGCAATATAGAGGGAGTATGTGTGCCTTTGCCAGATCTAAAAGTAATGGCGTGGATAAGAAGGGTTGATTTGATGAAAATGTTGGTTTTTTTTTTCATTACCCAGGTGCGCCCATCAAAAAGATGAATTCACGAGGCAGGTGGATGTTCTCTCTGCCATAGTGATCTTCAATATTCTTCCATGCTTGGTTGAATATCAGTTTTGCGTCTTTTATCTCGGCGGCTCTACATACAATAGATGAGATGCTATTATGAGAATCGCAACGAGCGCTCATCATGTACTCACCTCGTGGATTCGTGGTTGTCCTGATTTGCAGCTCGAGAAGACGTCGTTGCTATACAACATTCAATTAGTGCTGATGTGAATGTGAGTTACTATGACAAAAAAAATAGTACTTGTTGGCTCAGGTACAGCTGCTAGACGCTTCAGCGAAGAAGTTGTGTACAGTGCTATCCGCTTGGACAACATTGGTGTTGATCTCGCCATTGAAATACGGGGTTTTTGAAGAAGAACAGGTAGGATTCTTCGAGTTGCCATAGTGATTATTAGGTGGTAAAGTAAATGAAAGAGATAAAGAGAGGAGGAAATGTGGGGTACAATAACGGTTAAATATTGAAGGAATGGCGGAGAGGGCCGAGCAAAGTGACGTATGTAGCATCAAGCGAGTGGTCCTGCAAATGTGAAAAGCATAAAAAGTTCGTAGTAATTGTTTTCCGTATGTGGAAATTACTCTTTTCCATTATTTATCTCCAAATTTAATTACTTTTATCATGTCTTTTGTGTCTAAAAGACTGCTGCAATCAAGGCCAATCAAGTTTGCACTGGGGACATGCCTGCTAGGCGGTGGTGTTTATGCCTACGATTCTCGAACAGAAGCGCAACTGATGACAAGAAATGTCAGAACATTTTACAATGGTGTTGCATTAGCCGTTGATTACAAACTCAATTTCAAGCCAGGACACTCACCAGAAGACGGCCTCCACATTGAGCAGCTGCATCAGAGAGTGGCAAATCGCATCTTTGACGTTTTTGAAAAGAATGGTGGGCTCTACATCAAAATGGGCCAGGTCATCGGGACACAGGCAGCAGTTTTACCAGTTGCCTATCAAATCAGAGCAAGGCGTCTGTTTGATTCTGCTCCCGCTGTTTCGTTCGAATCTGTGGAACGCGTGTTTAAGGAAGACTTTAATGGGAAGCATCCAAGCCAAGTGTTTGCTGAATTCGACATAACGCCGATTGCATCAGCATCGATCGCTCAAGTGCATAAAGCAAGATTGAAAAATGGAGACATCGTCGCTGTTAAAATTCAGAAACCTGCGATCCGAAAGCAAATGGATTGGGATCTACGGGCTTTCCGTATTCTGCTGCAGGTCTATGAACGCATTTTTGATCTGCCTCTGTCATGGTCGAGTGAGTACATTGAGGAGCATATGAGGATGGAGGCCGATTTTGAGATTGAAGCTGGGTAAGTGATGAACACGTATACATGCCTGTCTATTGACATCATTCTGTTGTCAGCAATGCGAAAAAGGCCTGGAAGCATCTGCAAGAGGAGAAATCATTGAAAGATCGGGTTTACGTCCCCAAAGTGTATGATGAGTATTCCTCAAGAAGAGTGCTAGTATGCGAATGGGTGGATGGCACGCAATTGACGAATGTAGACGTTTTGACAAAGAAGGGTATCGATCATGTGGATGCAATGAAAACTGCGATTGAGGCATTCTCTAGTCAGATCTTTCGCAGTGGATTTGTGCATGGTAAAGGGAAGGGTGCTTTTGAGACAAGGCATGATGCTAAAGAGATTTGTAGGTGATCCACACCCAGGAAATGTTCTAGTGAGAAAGCATCCACACAAAAAGAACCAAGACCAAGTCGTTTTAATTGATCATGGTTTGTATATCCAGGAGAGTGAAAAGTAAATAAAAGGACAGGATACAGGAGAGAGCTCAGTAACCGAACATTGCTACTAGATTCCGCCTGGAATACTGTCAACTATGGGAGGCGTTGTTTATGCTGGATATACCAAAGATGACTGAGATCTGTAAAGAATGGGGCATCCATGATGCTACCATGTTTGCTACCATCACGTTACAGAGACCATTTTCAGGCAAAAAGGCAGTGCATATAGATCAACAAGTGAATGTCAAGGACATGTACGAACTGCAAGCCAACATGAAGGAACGCATCAAGGATTTCTTACAGGATCAAGCTCTGTTTCCCAGGGAACTGATCTTTATCTCGAGAAACATGAACATTGTGAGAGCAAACAACAAGGCTGTTGGAAGTCCCATCAATCGCATCAATCTCATGGCTCGCTGGGCTGTACTTGGTCTCTCCCGAGATAAGGGTACATGGCTTAGCTGGAGATCTGTTGTATTTGAATGCACTCTTCTTTTGATGAGCCTCAGTTTTTGGCTGCTTCGATTCCGAGATGCCACTAACAAACGCATCTTTGGAACCAAGGCAAGGGGATTAGAAGAAATTTTGGACGAAAGAATGAAAGATCAGGTAGCATACACACAAACGATGGACCACATTTCAATGCTAAAATCTCAACTTCACATAGATGTTCAAGCAGTTTGGAATCAAGGTGGATCCCTCTGTATTTGATGGCTAAATTTATAGACTAGATTTTGATTTTCTGTATATACTCTCAATAAAAGACCACTATACCATAATGTGGCTTGTTGCTCATGAGGGACTTGTTGTATCCAACTGTGACTACAGACGTAATAATTTTTTTCTTCCTTTAAATAGCTTCTCAGATTTGGGGATGTGTTGTGTTCCCTCCCTAATTTCTATCCACTAAAAGGTAATTTCATACTATGCATCCATCCATCCATCCATCCATCCATATACTAAACATTGATACATTAGTTATTCAAAATGGGTAAAGAGAAGACTCACGTTAACGTTGTCGTTATTGGTCACGTCGATTCCGGTAAGTCCACCACCACTGGTCACTTGATTTACAAGTGTGGTGGTATCGATAAGCGTACCATCGAGAAGTTCGAGAAGGAAGCCGCTGAACTCGGTAAGGGTTCCTTCAAGTACGCTTGGGTTCTTGACAAACTCAAGGCTGAACGTGAGCGTGGTATCACCATTGATATCGCTCTCTGGAAGTTCGAGACCCCCAAGTACAATGTCACTGTCATTGATGCTCCTGGCCATCGTGATTTCATCAAGAACATGATTACTGGTACTTCTCAAGCCGATTGTGCTATTCTTATCATTGCTGGTGGTACTGGTGAATTCGAAGCTGGTATTTCCAAGGATGGTCAAACTCGTGAGCACGCTCTTCTTGCTTTCACCTTGGGTGTCCGTCAATTGATTGTTGCTATCAACAAGATGGATACCACCAAGTGGTCTCAAGATCGTTACAACGAAATTGTCAAGGAAGTTTCCGGTTTCATCAAGAAGATCGGTTTCAACCCCAAGTCTGTTCCCTTCGTCCCCATTTCTGGCTGGCACGGTGATAACATGTTGGATGAATCCACCAACATGCCCTGGTTCAAGGGATGGAACAAGGAGACCAAGGCCGGTTCCAAGACTGGTAAGACTCTCCTCGAAGCCATCGATGCTATTGAGCCCCCTGTTCGTCCTTCCGACAAGCCTCTCCGTCTTCCCCTCCAAGATGTCTACAAGATTGGTGGTATTGGTACAGTTCCCGTTGGTCGTGTTGAAACTGGTACTATTAAGGCTGGTATGGTTGTCAACTTTGCTCCCGCTGCTGTTACCACTGAAGTCAAGTCCGTCGAAATGCACCACGAAACCCTCTCTGAAGGTCTTCCCGGTGACAACGTCGGTTTCAACGTCAAGAACGTCTCCGTCAAGGATATCCGTCGTGGTAACGTCTGTTCCGACTCCAAGAACGATCCCGCTAAGGAATCTGCTTCTTTCACCGCTCAAGTTATTATCTTGAACCATCCCGGTCAAATCTCTGCTGGTTACGCACCAGTTCTCGATTGTCACACTGCTCACATCGCCTGTAAGTTCTCTGAACTCATTGAGAAGATTGATCGTCGTTCCGGTAAGTACTTGCATCCGTCAAAATTGAAAGTCAAATTACCATCATCGGGACGGGTTTAAATTGCATGATTTCTACCCCTGAAACGACATTGGTTGATTTTTCTTTCCATTTTTGTCTTATTTTGATTATTTTAAATGGTTTATTAACATTGTAATTTTCTTTCGGATAACAGGTAAGAAGATGGAAGATGCTCCTAAGGTTGGTATTAAGTAAACGAAACAACTGCACCTGAAAACTCATATTCTCTGTACATAGTTCGTCAAGTCTGGTGATTCCGCTATCGTCAAGATGGTTCCCTCCAAGCCCATGTGTGTTGAAGCTTATACTGACTATCCTCCTCTCGGTCGTTTCGCTGTCCGTGATATGCGTCAAACTGTCGCTGTCGGTGTCATCAAGTCCGTTGAGAAGGTTGACAAGGCTGGTAAGGTCACCAAGGCCGCCGCCAAGGCTTCCAAGAAATAAATTTCCTCTTAGTTTGTCTAACATGTAAAGAAAAAAGTTTGAAAGATCTTTTTTGTAAAATTTAAATAAAGAAATTTAATTAAAAAAAAAAATACTCTGCATCTGTGTTGGAGACATTGCTCTCGTTTATTAATTTAATATAATTGCAACTGTTGGGTTTCTGATTGCCTGTTGATGATCAGTGTTCTTGAGTAAGATATTTGATTTTGATCTGTTCATCGGAGAAGTTGTGATAGTAGTATTAATAATTTTAGAATATATATAAAAGTGACCAAGGGGATCAGACACTTATATTTACGCAGTGATTCTAGGTTGTAAGGTTCAAAAGAGGTTACTGTATAGAATCAGATTGGTGGGTAAAGACGCATTCATGGACATTTTCAATGGAGTGGTGTAAAATCTGCCCTCGTTGTAGCACCTACTTTGATTCATGTACCTTGAATAGCGTATGCTGAGCAATGATATCATATTGTAGAATCCAGCAATCAGCATATAAGATATTTATAAAGCTAGCGGTATAAAAGTGACGGAACCGGGATAGAAAGCTTAGCTTCCGAGAGCTTTCATATACTTTTTTAAGCATCTCCAGAGGTAAGCATCCTAAAAAAGGTATATACGTATTTGAGGCGTTGTCCTATTATTCAAAAAAAAGAGCTTTGCCTTTGTTTGTTGTTTCGATTTTGTCGCCTTTTTGAGAAAGATTGAGAAAATAGGACAACAATGATTGCGCTGATTGTAACACCAAAACGTAAGAGCGAGTTGCTTTTCTAAGAACACAATTACCCAAAACATGTCCGTTGTCCTACCTCGACAAAGGAGTAGTTCTGTAAACGGTCATGTTTGTTTGAAGCAGTAAAAAAAAAAAATAGCTACTCTTTCAAGGCATATGTGAACTCAAGAGGAAATGGTTCATTTTGACATGTATAGATGATGTCTATACATGGATCTTGGAGTGTATACCGCAATATGTATATAAAGAAGCTACTTTTTCTCGTTGATGTTGTTCATTTTATATCATCTACACTTGACAGCTTCTCAGAAACAAATATCAGTATACAATGGCAATTCAATGGGTATACGCAAATGGCTCACAATGGGTCCCTCTTGACAGCAAGGCTCAGAAGAGAATTGAGATGCTTTGGAGCAACAACTACTCCACTTGGATTGACTGCAGAGTATTTCAAACTGCAGTTTACATTGATCTGGATCAAATGGCACTTTTTTGCAATGGCTATTCATACACAATTGCTCGTCGTACAAGCTAGACTTTCACATTTGTTTTGCTGATCAATATTTACCATTACAACTGGCGTGTCAATCATTTACTATGCAATTTTGACATTGCATCATTTGAATTACTTGGTATGACTACTGCTACTACTACTACTAAGATTCAATGCCATTCAAACACTGTACATCCAAACAACATTTACCTTTGTTGGCTTTTTTACATCACTCAAATCACGCTCTTATAATAATCCCTCGCATAAAACAGCATTTCAACAATAAAACCCATATTACATTCATGACCTTCAGTTATTTTACTATTGGACACAGCGTCAGATCGAAGCTTTATAACTGCCGATATATGATCCATATATCGGCTGCATGCAAATAGTGAATATGTGCATCTTCCTTCATGTGATTACGCAAAGCATCATCATCTGCTACATTTGAACATTGATGACAAAGCATGTGCCTATTGCAGATCCCCAAAACCAGCTGTCGTTTGGCATCTCAAGCATCCTTGAATAGTCTTTTGCTCTGACAAAGATGCAAGCGGGTCGTTGAGTTAATAAGCTTCCTTTTCTCTTTTGCACTGTCGTGCTCTTCAGCCGGTTTAATGATTATGTTTCATGTTGACATACAATTTATCTAGATTGTTCGATCTAAAAGGAGGAGCAAGAGATCTACCCTCAGATGCCATCATTCAAAACATTCAAGTCTAGAAGACTAAAATGTGTGGTTGTACATATGGCGTTTGATGATGAATCTGCACTCAGGGGGGGGGGGGGGGAACACATCAAAATGAATCAGAGATCCCAGCAAGGCATGTCAATGTGCTGTGCTGTGCTGTACTTGCCATCCAATGTTTGCACATTTGCATCTATTCAAAGCGTTTGTATCAAATACTGTACAATCAGGGGTATAGGATCAGACAGAATTTAGAAAACTGATTTCATATCTATATATGGAATTGCAGATTTGATTTGCAGCGTGTCTCAATTCTTTGGATGAACCTTGGCAAAGGTTATATATCCACCAAACCTGCGGCTATTTAATCCACAGAAGGGAGCTAAAAAGAGGGAAAAGATTTTTCATCACATCCAGGAGTTTCTTTTTCTTCAGTTTAAACTTTTTTTGTTTTAGTCTTTCTTTTTCTTTCAATTTTTTTTTTTTTTTTTTTTTTGTACTTATGTACTTGTAGACACATTTCAGATTGCAACAAACAAACCCCAAACAAAATGAAGAATTTGTTTAATTCGGCTGACTTGGAAACCGCCATTCAGATAACAGGATATCATTTTGAGAAGCCCATCTTATTAGAAGGTGTTGACAATGTAGCCATTGCGCATGGCATAAGGTATGATCATACACACAAATGTGCAGAAGCAGTATGTAAACTAGACTCTTTTTCTTTTCTTTTTTTTTTTTTTTTTTTTTTTTTTTTTTTACAGAAATCGAGACAAGCTCCCGGTCGTAGCCAAATTGTCACACCAACCTCTCCGTTTAGAAAGAGAATTTCATATTGTGCAACGTTTATACAGACAATCATCAGGCAAAGATCTCCTTTGTAAACCTCTGGATAAAATCACCTTGTCGCATGATGGCTTGATTGCCTTTATTTACGAGGATTCTTGCAACAATCTACTGGACAAGTACCAACCCAACGGTACTCCTGAGTTTCTGAATCAACAAAACCTCGCTGCTGCCGTGGATCATATCCCTCATGTCGTCATGACGGAATTATTTATATCAATTCAGCAATTCCTCGACTTTGCTATCCAATGTTGCGATTGCTTGGAAATGATTCATAAGCACCAGAGTACGTATATTTGTCTGATACAACATGCATCGGCTCTTTTGCTAACAACACTAAAAATGCAGTTGTTCATGGCGAGATCAAGCTGAATGCATTTCTATGGCCAGAGGGGAACACTGTCAAAATCTGGAATTTTGGATCTGGATCCCGAAGCCTTGAGCAAAGCCTGACATCTGAAGGTTGGCGGAAAACAGTGCAGCGAAATGGAGCCAACAATTTCCTGCAGATGCTGATCTACATGTCTCCGGAACAAACTGGACGCACAACATTTCAACCTGATCATCGCACCGATCTTTACAGTCTTGGTATCACCTTCTTTGTGGCATTGACGCAATCATTGCCATTTGCTCATAGTAGTCCTATGGAAATTGTACATAATGTCCTGAACAAGAAATTACCCTCTGTGCATGAGGTCCGCCCTGAGACGCCTGTGGTCATCTCCATGATTATTGAGAAACTGACTAATAAGGTATGTGAACAAATGGGTAGTGTATGCCATGTGGCATTGACTGACTAGGTACCATAGTCTCCTGATGAAAGATACACCAGTGCTCATGGATTGAGAGAGGATTTGAAAGAGTGTCAAAAGCAACTGCAGCATGGAAACAGCATTTTAAAGCCATTTCCATTGGGCAAATTCGACATCGCTAGTATATTCACATTACCAAACAACGGCTGCTTTGGACGAACACGAGAGCTCAGTCTGATCAGCACCATCATTCGACGCACTGCCTACATGTGTGGCTTCAACATTCGCCGACGTAGATCAAACGAAATCACAACAACTGCCGCTGCAGCGGCCGTTTTCACGCCGCTCAAATTGGCTACGGAAGAGCAATCGCCTGCCTATAAACGTGTGCATAATAGAAACGAGGCGTTGAACGGCAAAAGTAGCAACAAAGTGCACAGCAATCGAAAGAGACCTACAGAGATTATTGCCATCTATGGCAATACAGGTGTTGGTAAATCGACACTTGTCAGAAACGTCCAACAATTTGCTAGAGAATACGGATACATTGCGATTGCCAAGTTTGATACTCGGCAGCCCACACCTTATGGATGCATTTTACGGTGCCTATCCATCTTTCTGAAAAACATCCTGACAGAACCCGCATCGGAAATCGAGCGATTCAGACGCATGTTAAAAGAGCAACTGGGAGCAGAGACCATCTCTCAGTTACCGACACTGTTGGTGGACAATATACCTGAGTTGGCTTCTTTTCTGGATCAGCCATTACTGCAACGCGTGCCCAGCACCAACAGCAATGCATCGAGCGGTTGTGAATGTGATATGGAAGGCGGCGAAATCAAGCTACGGTTTCATTCTGCATTCATCGAGATTTTTCAAGTCATGGTCAATTTCAAGTTTGTCACTTTGGTAAGTTGCAAAAGCTCGTATTGACGTAATATGCCATCTAAATGTCATCATCCATGTATAGTTTCTAGACGATTTGCATCAAGCAGGTAAATTAAATTTCGATTGTTCCATGTCAAATTTGGAAATAACCAGTGCGTATTTTTTTTTTTTTTTAAATGACAGATGAAGCTTCAATTGAGCTACTGGATTCGCTCATTTCAGCCAAACTCAACTTTTTAGTCATTCTCACCTATAGAAGGAATGAAGTTTCTAGCCTCATTACAAAACTACTACGCAATGAAAACTCGATTGTCAGTTACATCAAAATCGAGAATTTGGATCAGACAGCATTGATGGAGCTTGTGAGGACCACGATGCACCGATTGGAAGAAATTGATCTCGCTTTACTGACACCCTTGGTGGAGTTTATCTATAAACGTACGCACGGAAACCCGTTTTACGCCTGCCAACTGTTGATGACCCTGGAAAAGAAGAATTTGATTTATTTTACCTGGGAAAAGACAAGATGGGAGTACAACCTGCAAGAAATCGATAAAGCGCTGATATTGGACATGCAGGAGGACAACAATGGTGATATGGACATTGCCTTCTTGGTCAGACGATTAGAGGAATTACCGCGGGACGGTAGAAAGTTTCTCAAATGGGCCTCGTTTATTGGAAACAACTTTAACTATGAAACAGTGCGAAATTTAATGATGGAAAACGAGGATGTAGAGGACATGGATAATGACACTGAAGAAGAGGAAGACGATTCCGACGACTGTTCGGATCAAGACACAACGGCTACTGCAACATCAAAGCCATTTCCCAAAATGGTCATCAGTGGTGGAAAACGCAAATTTGATGCTATCAACGGTCTTCAGTCTGCACTGCAACAAGGCTTCATCCAGACATTCAACAATGATGAATTCAAGTTTACGCACGACCGCTATTCACAAGCAGCCATGATGCTGGCTTCGCCTACACAGCAAGATGTCTTTCATCTCAAGATTGCATCTCATTTCATGACCAAGGACAATGTCGATAAGTTCTGGGTAGCAGATCATGCCAAGGCAGCACTGCATCTCATCAAGAACAAATCCGTCAAATCCTCCTACAGAAAGGTACTGTCCCAAGCAGGCGATAAAGCATTTGATTCAGGGGCACATAAACTGGCATTTAGTTACTACACTGCTGCTCAGGAGCTGCTGACAACCACAGAAGATCCCTGGGTCGACGGACCCGATGCTAGATACGCTGAAACACTGCACCTGTACACGCGTCTTGCTGAAATCAGCTGGTTTATGGATTACGACTTGACACGTGGGTATTTGACAGCCATCTTGGATCATGCTCAATCTGCCATTGATCGTGCTGCTGCTTACCGAGTGCAGCATCGATATCGATGGTCTCGTGCCGGCAGTCAAGAAAGTGCTCCCATCTTGCTGGAATGCTTGCGAGAACTAGGCGTCAACGATATTCAAATGAACATGACGGAATACGACCAAGAGAGACTGTATGCGGCTACTCGCAAAGAAGTGCTCAAGGTCGGTATGAAAAATATCCTCAAGCTGCCTGTCTGCGATAGTCGGTTGACTCGTACGCGTTTCTCCATCATGGAAGAACTGTGCTTGTGGGCATACTGGACCAATGATATGCGCGCCATGCTGTCTGTGGGCTCTCGGTTTGTACTTAAAACGCTCAAGAATGGCACCACGCCAACGACAGGCGTTGGATTTGTGTTCTTTGGTATTGCCGTGATGCAGCTGTTCAAGGCGTACGAGTTTGCTGAACAAATCGGTGAGATTGGTGTTGCTCTTTGTAACAATTATGGTGGCAACTCTGAATCAGGCCGTGCTCGCTATCTGTATGCCGCTTTCCTGAGCTCTTGGAAGCACCCCTACCACAAGTCGATCCCGATGGCCCGTTTAGCCATGAAGCAGGGTTTGCTGGGAGGCGACCGCATCTATGCAACCTTTGCGCATTCTTATATTGTAGTTGGCAGTTTACTTACTGGCGAAAACATGGCTGACGTCTTGCGTGATGCCAAGAACTGTGTGGAAGAAGCAAACAGTCTGGGAGAGACAGTAGGCACCTCCATCTTGGCCACGACCATTGTGCGTGTCATTCTCGCTGTGCAAGGAAAGACATACTTGTCGCCAGACACCATCTTTGAGGACAAGGATTTCAACGAAGCTCAGTTCATTCAACAAGCCATGCAAGAGCATCCTGACTCAGATATTCAGCTATACTACTACTACGCCATGAAATCCATCACGTTGGGCTTCTTTGGGCTCGACATTGCCTCCATCAAGCTCAGTTCTCAGCACATGCACATGTCAGATTCGCTGCCATCCGCTCGTCATACGCATCTGATGTTCTTTTTCAGATGTATCAGCTTCATTCGACTCATGAAGAGCAAAGAGATCAGTATGGACAACATGGACGAAATGGAACAGAGTCGCACTCGATTGGCCAAGTGGGCGCAGCACTCGCACCCCACCAATCTTCAAATGCTCATCACTTGTATCGACGCAGAGCTCGCTGGGTTGAATCATCAACACTTGAAGGCGCAAAAGCTGTACGATGAGGCCATCCGTCAAGCCCGTCAAGGCAACTGGCCTTTGGAAGTCGCAGTCATTCATGAACTGGCGGGTACCTTTTATCTGGAAAACGACATTACATCCGTAGCTTGTGCTCTGATCAAGGAATCTATTGCTACCTTTCGTCACATTGGTCTCTTTGGCAAAGCAAATCAGCTAGAAAACAAGCATAAATCGCTGCTCAAGGAGTTTGCTAAGCCTGAACAGGCCAAGGAAGTCGGGATCCAAACAGAGACATTCCAAACAATTGTCAAGCGTGAATCCATCAGCGATCTCACTGTGCCTGAATCGTGCTCAGCAGACATGTTCAACTCACAGGCCAACAGCATCAACAATACAAGTCCAGAAGAAACGCTACTGACCTTGGATGTGGTGGATTTGGCCTCTATACTCAAGAGTTCGCAAGTCATCTCGAGCGAAATGAACTTTGAGCTGCTGATGAAGCAAATGCTGGGCATCATACTGGAGAACTCGGGCGCCGAATCAGGTGTCATCATTGTCAAGGAAAACACCTCCTTCCTGATCGTGGGCTGTGGATCTCAAACAGACGGCTGCGAAATCTTTAGCAAGCCCAAGATTTTGTCAGAGGAAGCAGATTCTATCATTACGCGGATATCACATTACGCTATCCACGCCCAGGAATCGCTGTTTATTGTGGATGTGCAACAAGATTCTCGGTTTTCGGATTGCACCACGCAAGCCAAATCATGCATCTGCACACCCATCATACACAAAACTGCCATTGTAGGCTGCATCTACATTGAGGGCGCTGTTGGATCACTGACGTGTCGACACGAGGTGGTGTTGAGGTTGCTATCACAGCAAATTGGCATTTCTGTGACAAACGCTCTCTTGTTCAAGAGTATCCAAAAGGTCACTTATGCCAATGTCAAGATGATTGAGAATCAAAAAGCAGCACTGGAAGAAGCGCGTAAAAGCAAGGAAGCAGCACTGCATGCTATGAAGCTCAAGGCTGATTTCCTGGCCAACATGTCGCATGAGTTGCGTACACCCTTCTCTGGGTTCTACGGTATGATTTCACTGTTGTCAGAAACCATCTTGGATGCAGAACAACAGGACATTGTGCACACAGCAAAAGAGAGCTGCGAAATGCTTCTCAAAATCATAGGTACGTTGTGTTTTGTGTGTTCATTGCTGTTATAGTGTCACTCATGCTCCATTATTGCAGACGATTTGCTCAATTTCTCTAAGCTGGAGGCTGGTAAAGTAGCATTGGATCTTGGCCCCTTGGTGATAGAAGAAGTGATTGCGGATACCATTGAGATCCTGAGCTCGCTGTCTGCTCGAAAAGGTCTCGAACTGGCTTACTTTGTGGATCCCGGCGTCCCTGATACCATTATTACGGACTCCTCTCGACTACGACAAATCCTGACTAATTTGCTTGGTAATGCCATCAAATTTACCCATCATGGTGGTGTTGTGATCAAGTGTCATGTGGACAAGGACGACCCTGAGTTTGCAGACAGCGATGAATTTGTGCGCCTCAAGTTTGAAGTCATTGACACTGGCATTGGTATTCGTCTTGAGCAGCAGAGACAGCTATTTGAGCCCTTTTCTCAGGTGGACGGCAGCACCACGCGCATGTATGGCGGCACTGGTCTCGGCCTCAGCATTTGCCTGCAGCTGGTTCGCTTGATGATGGGCGAAGTAGGCGTAAACTCTCAGCCAGAACAAGGATCCAACTTTTGGTTCACTATTGTGGCCAACAAACAGCCAAAACGCCTCGAAGATCCCAACAGCGTCTCAAAGACAACTGCGCTGAAAATTTCGCTAAGAAAACAGACCATCTTACTTGCCAGTCAGAACGATTTGAACGCTCAAATGATCCGATCGTTGCTGAGCGATTTTGCCATTAAACTCACTGCGGATATGCATCAAGCTGTGCCCAAGGCACTTCAAGAACACCATCCCATTTTGATTCTCGACATCCCTGCCAAACCAAACAACTTTATTGCGCATCAACTACAGAGTGTAGACGATGATCCTGAATGTGAACTGCATATTATTTTACTGTACACGCCGTCTACTGAGGGCCATAAACTCGCTGCTGAGGCTACCAATTCAGCGTCAGATCGTCGTGGCCGTCTCGTCAAGATGGCGAAGCCTGTACGCAGAGCCAAACTATTAAGCATGTTGGAGCAAGTATTGGATCAACAACAACAACGCGCCTCTCCCTTGCCACAGTTGCCTGCGCCTTTGGGAACCCGTATGAAGGACTATTTTGAAAAGGATGAGCTCTTATGGTACGCTGAAAAGCCAGTGCTCATTGCTGAAGATAATATGGTGGCTCAGAAACTGCTTCGAAAGCAGTTGGAAAAGATGGGATTTCTGGTAGAAAGTGCCAACAATGGCGAAGACGCTGTGAAGCTTTGGCGTGAAAGACCACCCAATTATTTTTGTCTTGGTTTCTTTGATCATCATATGCCCAAGGTGAGACTTTTATCGCTCAATGATTTGAATTAGATGATGTATGGGAAGGCTAACAACTATTTTTTTTTTCAGTGTGATGGCGTTGAAGCGACCAAGCGTATTCGTGCTTTTGAAGAAGGCACCAACAGTCGATTACCTATTGTAGCTCTCACGGCTGATATTCAGAGCTCTGCAAAAGACATTTGCTTTGACGCAGGCATGGATGGCTATCTCACAAAACCTCTTATTCCAAAAGACCTGGCTATTACGCTCCGAAAGCTGAATTTTGCTATCCAGAAACATTATGATGATACACCTGCCTCCTCCACTCCCTCATCACCACTCTCTTCTGTATAAATTATATATTCCATACATTTTACACTATTTATATTACTACATACAACTATAGTTATTTGCTACATTTAATTAATTAATTAAAACGTATACTAATAGAATCATAAGAAACTGCACGTTGTTGACAGATGTAGTAATTAGAGTATTAAACTAAGAAGAATTAGATTGGCAAATTTAACATAGTAAATGCACTTTTCCAAATTTCTCTGAATGTCATTCAGAAAATTTCGATAAATTTCTCGAAAAGTGCTAGTTTTCCGAAAAATGGATTTCTGGAATATTCAGGAATATTCAGATGTTTTTTTATTCACAGTGTACGTGCCATATTGAAGTGGTGCAAATCATGATTAAACAGTTGCGATTGCATATACTTTGGTGATGAGCCAGACTGACTGGCATTGCCAGATATAAAAATGCTCAGAAAAAACAAAAGAAAGTATTCAGTTTAAGCGATAATCCTTTCGAATTCATGTTCCTAGTTCAAACAGCATCCCAATCATCATTATCATCTACAGGAAGGCATGTTGGTCAGCCAACAGCGCCAAAAATTTTCAAGCTCAGAAACAAGTGTTCCTGCTTCAGATTGGGCAGATTGCGTCTTTTCTCGACTTTTTTTAATTTATTTTTCTATATTCGACTATATAAGTCGTGAAGATCAACCCATACTTCCTAATACATTCTTGGAGTACTGTTCAAGGCGTTTCCAATGGTGCCAAGTAAAGTAAATGTTTATAATGAACTTATTGAGAAATTTGGCAGAATATGAAATGAGGTTTTTGGCAAAAATATCCAGGTTTTGCATAGGGAGGCCTCACAAACAAATCTTTAGGGGTTGCTTTGGATTAATAGCATCATTTTGATTCAATGCATACCATAGGAAAAGTCTTTATTTTCAAGGTGAAAAACGCGATCGTTTGATTTTCGTCAAAAAGCATGAGGTACTCCTCATGCTTGTTTGTGCAGGCTGTCTTTATTTTTGGCCATGTTTTTTGGGTCCCCAAAAAGTTGAGCAAAGGTGTCAAAAAGTTACTGCTACTCGAGTACAATTGTTTGGTGTCATTCCAGAGGCTCAGGATGGCCTACATGTCAAGATATGAAGGCTTGAAAGCTGTCAATTTTGGCTGTATTTTACACATTTACTTGTATTGAGATACGATTAAAATCAAAATTTAAATAAAAATAAAAAAAAAAAGATTACCAGTTTATTGATACAATTAAATATACATATACAAACCCTTTCAAGCATCAGACATCTCTGTATCCGAAGCCTCTTCATACACTTCTTCAACATCGCTATCTTCTTCATTCGCTTCATTTCCTGGGCTTTCTGCATCTACTGCGTCAAAGAAATCGTCTTGATCAGATTCCTCATTTGTAGCGTCTTGTTGCATATCTTCCGATGCTTGATCCTGGTCTTCCTCTTCTTCGTCCTCATCTTCATCATCGTTTTCCTCCTCATCAGCTTCGTCTCTGAATCGTAAAGGTTCCTCCTCAACGCCGCTAGCATCGCTACTTCTTTCATACTGACTCCAACCATCATCTTCATCACTATCGTCAAACAAACGCACAAACCCATCCTCCTCTTCTTTTTCTCTAGCTTGTTCCTCGGCTTCTTGTATTAATGAAGGACGCGTCCACACTTTGGCAGCAGTAGCTTCTTCTACTGCCTTTCTTCTCTCGGCTTTTGCCATCTTTTGAGCATGATAGTATTGAGGACTGACCCAGCTACCCAATCGAACAATGCCTGCTGCTTGGCTATTCTGATTGCTACCTTGATCCTGTTTGCTTCGACGAGCGACATGCGGTAATCTACAGTTGGCGTTGGAGCATTTACCAGTTTCAGCAAACTCGGGACACACATGGACATGCTTTTCCTCACAGTCAAGACCCTTTGGACAGTAGCCTTCCATGGCAAAAGCTCTACAGACAGGAGCGTCTCTACTGACAAGCACATGAGCGTACATGCATGGATCATTCGTACAGTGTCCTTTTTGAAAATGAACACAGTGCGGCATGATGTGTGGGTTGGGTGTGTGTGATAATCGACATTCTGCTGCAGTCTTCTTGCATCGGTTTTGCAAGAAACGAGGACAAATGGCTCTTCTGTTGGTATCATGGACAAAGGGACATCTAGCTCCATTGGGGCATTTGCCATAACGAGTATAGAATCCACAATAACGCGGCTTCTTGACGGCACCTTTGTGGCTGTTCAAAACGAGCGATTTACCAGATCGACCTTGACGCACATAACCTTCGGGCCCTCGCACAAATACCATGTTCCCTTTCGAATGATGGCGACGTACTGTTGTTGTCGCAGGCTTGCGTTTGACAGTAGGCGCTTTCCCAATCACCATGTTTTTATTTTTATCTCTTCGCTTGGAGCTATCAGACGGCCATTGAGCATCAGATGTTCCTTGTGCTACAGTAAATATACTACCTTTTGATTGATTTTCGAATAAGTACTTTGGGTGCGGTTGAATTTGCCATCAAGAGATTGGTCTTGGTCATATTCGAGTCAAACAGGTCTTTTCGAATCAATTTCTTTCCCTTGACTACGAAATCTACGCCATCAATGGCAACTTGCTTTCTGCCTGTCGCAGTGTTGATTGATTTGACCATGGTATTACTCGTGGTTGCATTGCTACCTTTATGGTTGATGATGAGCTTTTTGTTGCGGCTCTGAGGTGGTAATGATAGTGGTGATGGAGTGGACATTGGTGAAGCTGGAGTGTTTACTGCTAGGTTGCGATGCTGATGATTTGCCTTGATCGATGGGCTCACATAATTTGCTGCTGAAGAGAGCTTCACAGTGGCAGGGTTGATATATTTGTTATTTGCAGGGTAATAGGGTGCAGTTGGGTGTCTCGGTGGAGTGTTGGAGAGAGACATGTTTCCACCTCGACCACGAAATGGTCTACCTCGAGCATAATAGCCGCCTCTGCTGCTTGCCATGTGTTTCTGCTGTTCAATAGCATTGCTCAGCTTGGCAATGCGATCCATCATCTCCTGGTCAGTAGCCATTGTGTAATGAATTCAAAAAAGTAGAAAAAAGTAAAATGCTCTAGTTTGTTTATGATCGCCTCACTTTTTGCAAGGTCACAGACATGTTCGATGGGAGTTGGAATCTCAAAGCCAATGCTTGGTTTTATAGCGAGATCAGATACACATGCATGAATGGCAATAGCAAAATGATAAATAGATATACAGAGGACAATCATGATGCCGCTTTGTTTGTTCAATTAGCCAACATCGAATACATGTCACCATGAATGAGTGTCATCAACTTGATAGGCTATACCCTCATCTAATGTTGTATGCAGAAAGCCTGATACACGTGTTATTGTAAATGTAAATATTGCTTGATGATACTCTATAAAGCTTTTATCAGTGAAATATCAGACTCTATTATTGTCAAATAGACATTTACTGGATACCTGCTTGAAATGCTCTTACATCGCTCTTGTGTCTCATTGGGTACAGTGTCACACAGCATTCTGCATCCCACACTGCTTTTTTAAGGCTCATATCAATCCAACAAAATCGAATTTTCCTTGCAAACCAAATCCTTTTCTTTAGGCTCTCATACTTGGAAATGGCACTCGAAGCAAATTTAAAGGACTTGTCTATTGACGCAACATTAAAGACGGAAGGCCCAAGCACATTTGTAACGGAACATGATGACAAAGATAACAAGACGGAACGAAAAGAAGCAAGCAGCGGCAGTAGCAGTTCAGGAGAACCCGTAGCACCTCAAACAGCATCAGCTCCAGTTACTGAAGACGTGCAGTCAGCTCCAGTCTTTGAAACAGTGCCTGATGCAGTTGCTCAATGCGATAAAGATGAATACCTTGTCAAAACGATCGATTGGAGAAATAAGAAAGTGCGTATTATTACACAAAATGGTATTGTACGCGAGCAAAGGACCAAGAATGTGTCTTTTTATTCATCCCCTACATTAGAAAACGGACCATGCCCTCTAGTTGCTATCTGCAATGTCTTGTTTCTACGTGGAGACTTAGAGATTCAACCGCCTGATAGAGAGGTTGTAACATTTGAATATTTGGTAGACAGATTAGGGGATTACTTGTTGAGCCATGCACCTACTGACGAAACTGTTGTGGTAAATGATGGCCACAAGTCTACTTACATGCCAGTGTCTCACCTTAATACGCTTCTTACAGGCCGAACCACCCCTTAAAAACGCTGAAAACCAACCACAACCACAACCACCTAAACGTCAAGATACATCAGAATTTGTACTGACGTATAGACACAACCTAGACGCAGCCTTTTCTATTCTACCTCATCTAAAGAGTGGCCTTGATGTAAATATCAAGTTTGATAGCATTCACGGTTTTGAGCCCACAGCTGAACTAGCCATGTTTGACTTGTTCAATGTCAATCTCGTTCATGGTTGGGTGGCAGATCCGCAAGATGTCGAGACATTTGATGTGGTTGTCAACAAATGCGGCACTTACAATCATGCGGTTGAATTGATAGTGCAAGCGGATGAGCTGAGTTCGCGCCAGAGCGATCATGGCCTCATGGTAACCAAATCGCTGACAACGGCCGAAGAAGAGAAACTGCATGAAGGTGCGTTGTAAGCCATTCTTGTTACACACATTAAACATTAATGTTGTATATGTATAATTTAGGCTTCGTGGCAACTGAATTTCTAAAGGATACAGCAACTCAATTGACCTATTTTGGCCTTAGCCTCCTTTTGGACTCGATACCTACTGATACCCTGTGTGTACTATTCCGCAACAATCATGTAAAACGCTATCATTTTATAACCTTTTAGATGTAGTATACTGATTCCCAACATTTAGTTTTCCACTGTTTACAGACATCCTTCATTGGGTCTTTACATGCTGGTCACTGACTCTGGTTTGGTATCTGAGCGATCTGTTGTTTGGGAAAGTCTGGCCGATATTGATCAAGGTTCGTCAGAATTTTGCAATGGTTCATTTTCCAAGCCGAACATTCAGGGGAGTAGCAGTAATAGCAACACGGCTGTGCAAGATGCCAATACAGATCTCGAGTAAGCAAACGGGTGGCCGATTTCGAAAAAGATCTAACGTTTATTTGTGAAATGCAGTTACGCCATTGCTGTATCCATACAAGATGAGCAAAAGAGGCAGCATCGACAAAGCATGATTGAACAGCAACAGTCGTTGGCACCACCTCCATCACAAGCACCATTATCACAGCGACAACAGGCTCCCATACAGAAATCGTCTTCAAACTCTTCGCATAAAAGCTCATCGAACAAAAAGAACAATAGCTGTATTATATCGTAAACTTTGCCTGATATACAGAGCCAATTACTTGGGTTACTGGGAGCACAAAAACGAGATATATACATACTCCCTTAATAAGGAATATATGTCCATTCTACAATAAAATCATGATCACAGTAACCTTTTCCTACCATATGGTCAGGGCAAATGTATTTTTTTAGTTTGCTGTTTACAAACGACTCTTACTGCTGCAATTATTCGGTGATGATACATTGCTCGCCTCCTGCTTGAAGGATCATTTTTAACAGTAACTCATTATTCTCTGTCGAGCCCCTCTCTCCCGAAATCCCTTAAATGAGGCCTTCCAAGAGTTTTCCCCTTTTGAACTGCACACACAGAAAAAAGAAACATAGCAAATCGCACAAACATCAGGTCATAATTCAATGTCGCAATTCAGATCCAACCTTCAATGAGCCAAACACACAACTAATAGCATGAAAAACATATGTATATTAAAAAAAAAAAAAAAGGGTTTCAATGAAAAATGTGCTTGCTGAATTCAACTTATTTGACCTATTTTTGGTAATTCTGCTATACAAAGCGATCGGGAAATTGGATGCATTCATTGATCGTGACAGGATTAAAGATATAAAGCGTGCTTGAATGTCCAATTCTTTCATCTCTTTTTCCCCTTTCTGTAACGTTTCATTATTTGATTTTCTCCCTCGCATGAAAATCAGAATCGCACTATAAACAAATGTACCTTTATTAAGTCCTCAGAAAAGAATTCCATCAAGCAATTTTTTTTATACTTCCCCAACATTTGAAATACCTACCAACATCTCAACTACAAGTTCAATCGATCGATTTATTTTTTTCAGCTCTCTCTCTCTCTCTACATCAAGGCGAAATCACTTTGAAAATCACAACCGAATCTCCACTCACAGCAAAAAGTTATACATCGCTCCACTCAGTGCCTGCAACATGACATTAGGAGGTAATGTATTTGCATCGACATTTCATCTCGAGAATAAGGCTGATCGATTCAATGTAGAAACACAAGATGCAAACTACCAGCAAACACATCATCAAAGCGAGAGTGAGGGCGGCACTGGACGCACTCAAGCTGTATTTGTAAATAAGCTATACAAGTAGGTATATACAGCTCAAATCATGACAGGATAAGACATCTCATCTTTTTTTTTTTTTTTTTTTTTTTGTTTGACATAGAATGCTGGAAGACATAAGCATTCAAAACCTTATTTCATGGTCGGATAGAGGAGACTTGTTTAGTGTGTCGAATCCTACGGCATTCTCTAAATCTGTGCTCCCTCAGTACTTTAAACATAACAATTGGCAGAGCTTTGTTCGACAATTAAACAGTAAGGCGGTATTCTCTGTTTGTACCTGCATAAACTGAACATGGTGGCTCAATCTGACCTACTTTCATATAGTGTATGGATTCCATAAAGTAAACGACATGATTCATTCCAACTTGACATCAGACAATCAAACCTGGGAGTTTAAGCATCCTCATTTCAAACGAGGCGCTATAGAAGATCTGCAAAATATCAAACGAAAGAGCACAAAGCCCAATTTCTCCAACATGCCAGCACGCATTCCTAATAATACACGAGGTCAATCCGAAAACGACGATGATATATACGGCCCAATGTACAAACACATTCTACATATTGAAGATCGGCTTCATCATGTATCTCGATCGTACGAAATACTGAAAAACGAGACCAACTTTCTGCGTGGGTTACTGAGCCAACAGCAGCATACCATTGGAGGCTTCGCCACATTACTAAATGAAGTCTTGGACGGGGAAGGTATATTCTTGATTGATTGATTCCATTTTTCGCGCCATCTAATGCACCTTCTTATCAACACTTTAGTTAATCTCGGTCTTCAAGAAGAGAAAAGAGGTAGCGTACACATACAGTATCTCACCCTAAACATGGCATACTCACCCTTTGTGTAGTGGCCATGCTCTCCAAACTATCAGAACTACAAAACAACATTATTCCACCTACATTTCAGTATCCTCAATATCCAAATCAGTTTCCATCCGATCAGCACAATCAGTATCCACAGCAACAGCCTTCACCAGATAATCCAAGTAACATTGCTACTCCTCCCTCTGGAAATCGAACATTCGAACAATTTCTACATACGCAGCAATTCCAGCTACATTCCCGATCATCCTACTCGTCTCAATCATCATCGTCATCTCCCAGCAATGGTAAGTCTTTTTTTTTTTTATATATATCTTGCGGATCCTATGTAATCTTGTATGCTCACAAGGAATCTAGTATCAACAAATCGAAAACTAGGATTTGGTAAAGAATCGCACCTCTTGAATCCAGAGCCTCCTTCCTTAAGTCATCCTGGGTATCCAACAAGCCAAGATGTCAAAGCTTCAGGTAAGGACAAGCAGGAATTTGGATAACTCAATTGATAGCTAAATCACATCGAAACAGAACGAGATGAAGTGGATTATTTCAAAAAGAAGCAAAGAACTGAATAGAAGCCACCTGACCCGACAGCATCAACTGCACTCAATATTAACTGTATTATGACATTTTTCTCTCCTACTATCCACCTTAATCAATACGTATATACTTCTTGTTCTTCTTTCTTTTATATATGCTTTCCATTTATCTTTTGTTATCCTTTCGTTCTATGTCTTTGTGCTTTCTATCCCCCCCCCGCCCTTTTTTTTTTATTATGAAGAAAAATATGACCTTGTTCTTTTTCTCTCGATTAAACATTTATGGTTTTACAGAAAAAAAGCGCTTCATAATAACAAATTTAGATCTGAACCGTACCGGTTTTTCGGTTTTAGTGCGGAATATACTTTATATCGCGAATTTGCATCTTGGAACAAACAGAAACATGTTATAAGCCAGGTTGGGTCTGTTGCTCTTCTTCTTCTCTCTCTACTTGTACCCATGTGCCGATTTCAAGGAAACATGCGATTGAGAAGAAGTTCTTTGTAATGCCTCCCTCCTCATTGCTAAAATAGGGTATTTGTCATATTCCCTGTACCACATGCATATGGATAAAATGCTCCATAATTCGGCATTCAGTGCAAAATATAAAAAATCGATATTGCCTAAATGTATCTCGGATCGAATTTGTGAGCACACGATGATTTTTTATTTTTGCCAGTTTCTTATAATAAGGCAAGTTGCTAGAGACTTCTCTTGAAGGTATTATTTGTTTACATGTATTTCAGAAGCTTCGAAAATATATCCGCGTTATTAAAAGCTAGTAAATTGCTTCCCCTTCTCATGAAAAAAAAAATAAACAGCTTGCATTGTTGTTTTACGTATTTCCATTTTGTATCTATCGAAGATTCCTCAATAAAACCAAGAACTGATGAAAAAAAAAAATTTTTTTTTTGCTAATATAATTGAATTGATTTCTAGACTTACTTTATCTTGCCCGACATTTTGTTAAGTTTGTATTGCGCACATGGGTTCTTGTTCTCTTGCTCTCTAACTCCCTGATCATCATGTTTCCAAAAAGAGTCATGTGGAAGAATGCTTCCTTTTTTTTCGTCATTGTGTGTGTGTGTGTGTGTGTGCAATACTCCTTGATTATTACATGCTTTGGTATGTATGTGGTTTTTTGGATCTGCGTCAGGCAACATTTTGGTGTCATGAGTAAGCCATTATTAATTGACAGGAGGTCGCTTTCTTGTGTGGCATTCTGTGGAAGAAAACCATTAATTTGCTCGATCTGATCTAAGAACACATGGTGGATCCAGTCAATTATCCCCTAAATTGCATCGTCAAAGACGATCCAAATATATCCGCTTCTCGAATCTCTGATTCTAGATAGTATTTCGAACAAATTTAATTTAGATGTACATAATAAAGGGTGGCATTGTTCAACTGATAGATAGAAGTTTATAAATTCATCATAAGCCCTGTATTAGGCAGTGTCAAATGTATGGCTCATTACTGTTAAAATTCATGTATATCCTTCAACAAATTTCAGCACTGATAATTCAAGGGGGAAGCACATCTATTCGTATTAATCATTTTTTCGTGGAGCACGCAGACGACTGAAGATTACATACAAGTGGAACGGGGCTTTCAATGAAAACGTTTTACATAATGATACTAAATTACCATAGTATGCAAGGAGCAAATTCGGGTTATCATTTTCATTGTTAATAAGCTTACTAGCAACATAGCGCATCAAAATTTGCATGAATCAGATTTACCAAAATCAATATGCCTCCTATTCGAATTAAAAATTGCTCAAGCTACAGAACTGCCTTTCCAGTAAATTGCAGCTACCAAAGATGTGATTTATGCCGTGTAAATAAACTCTATAAAGCAATACATAGCCAAATTTGGCAGCTTTCAAGCCTTCATACCTCGACAGGTAGACCTTTCTGAGTCACCAGAATAACGCCAAACAATTGTACTTGAGTAGTAGTAACTTCCTGACACCTTTGCTCAACGTTTTGGGGACCTAAAAAACATGATCAAAAATCGACCAAAAAGCATGAGCGGCACCTCATGGTTTTTGACGAAAATCAAACAATCGCGTTTTTGAGCCCAACAATGAAGACTTTTATTATAGCATTTATTAATTCAAAATGTTTCTATCAATCCAAAGCAACCCCTGAAACTGTCTCTGTGCGACCTTTATATGCAAAATCTCCACATTTTGGCCAACAACCTCATTTTATATTTTCAAACATTACTCAATAAGCTTATTCAAAAGACCTCTTATATTTAGCACCTTTTGATACGCCTTGAAAAGCGCTCCTAAAAAGCTTAAGGGAGCATAACTTGATCATTCCAATTTATATAGTCGAATCTTGTAAAATAGCTCGAGCAAGTCGAAAATGGATCAAATATTTCCATTTCGAGTGAAAAAAAAAATGGCAGTCGGAGATTCAACCAATTTTGGCTGGCAAATCCCAATGCCATGCCTATTAGGAAGGTAATCTATGCTGTTATAAGCTCTAAACAAAGACGCTGCAGTTTGGAAGTTACAGTAGTTTTGCCTGCTCACTCTATTTCTGCTTCTGTTTTGCATTTTAGTTTCTGATCAATGTGATTGTTGCAACATGCTCAGCCAAATGCGAATCGTAATGAAATATATACTGCTTATTATGTTCAAGGTAGGCTGGTCTTTTCGTCTTATGAGCAAACTAAAATACCAATCAATGCTTGTATAAATGCAATGGGTATTGAGCTGCCATATACATTCTCGTTCGCAGAGCGTGCATCGTCCTTTGAACATACACACTCATCACCTGAATTCAAGTCCCGTGTTAACTGGGAGAGAGAGAGAGAGAGAGCAGACCTGAACAAATATCCAGCGGGACAACCCAGTGGAATAAGCCTCTTTCCAATTAAACACGCAACCAAATCATGTCAAACAACCAGGAGTTTCCCTTACAGAACAAGCAAGCTGCCATCACTGTCAATGGCGTTCATACCGAGATTTTACTCACTGGGTACGCAGACAAAATCTTTGTTATTATTACACAATATGGAAAAATTGGGAGCCTGGTATAATTTTACAAAAAAATAAAGAGCCAAAAAGACACCATAACTAACATTCATGCTGCTTGATAGATACAAACGACACTGGATATCTCGCCTCAATTAGCCATGAACCCTTCAGCTGTACCTACCACCAGCCATTTCTTGATGGGAGAATCTACAGGAGAACAAAGCGATCTATACATCTTGTATTCCACCTCCATTTTACAAGCCATTGGTGCCATGAATCCACATGAAAAACGACCTTTATTATTAGGTATTGCGCTCAAGCCCTTGGAAGACATGTCTGCCAGAAAGCAAGTATTTCATCAAATCATAGATCAAATCATGGCAAATCGTGTTTGGTGAAAAAAAAAATAGATATATATATATATATTTAATATAGTACAATGATTAAAACATTTCAGCAAAGGCTGATTTATCTAATTTGCCCTTTCTAGCCTTTTTATACATTCGCTCTTCTTCAGCAAAGTCATCCCAATCATCCTCCTCTTCTTGTAATTGCCTCTTTTTCAGCTCCACTTCTTCTTGAGCTTGCTTTTTCAAAAATTCCTTCTTAGCTTGCTTCTTTTCTTTACGCACCAGCTTTCGTTCTTTAGCGTCTGTCTTTTCTGACCAAGCTGTGTTGGTCTTCTTCTTGGGTTGTTGTGGCTTGAATGCTGCTTGTTTCTCTTGGTATTCTTTCAGCTCCCTCAATCGCTTGGCTTCCCTCATTTTGTCTGTGTATTTGAAGGTGTCCCAATCCATGGCTTCTTCCACAAACTGGCTTTGGTCCTTTTGTGCCTTCAGCTCAGGCATCTTGGGTAATTTCAAGAGTCCAAATCCCATAGCTAGTCGACTCAGGTCTAGATCCTTGATGCGGAAAATGTAGCTTGCTTCGTGCTTGGAGTAAGCTCTGGCCCAGGATACAAAGGCCTTGATAGCGCGATCACTGATATCTCTGTCTGTCTTGACGATGGCACGCATTTGTTGAATGAAATCGGAGACACCTTCGTCTTTGACTTCCACCGAAGTGGCTCTCTCATCGTCTTGATCCTCCCCAGCAGCAATGCTGTTATCAAACAAGGTCAAGTCAGGCATGATGTATGGTCTGCGTTGAATAGGAATCTTTCGCAACTTGAGGAAATCAATGTATACTTCTTCACGACCACGCACCAAGATGACAGTAGCACGACCCTTTCTTCCTGCACGACCAGCTCGACCACAACGATGAGAAAAGGCCTTGGGATCTTGAGGAGGGTCCAGTTGAATCACATAATCTAAATCTGAGATATCCAAACCACGAGATGCGACATCTGTACAAAGCAACACTGCAGGAATAGCGGACGATAATTCTGTAAAGGATGTGTATGTTGCTGATCTGCGCTTGGTGTCCATTTGTCCATGCAGTGAGTGGAAGGAGAAGGGCTTCAGACTGGGTAAGCGACTCAGGATTTTGTAAAAGTAATCTACCATGGCACATGTAGCAAAGTAGACGATAAATTTTCGAGATCCATCTTGATCTGCTAATTCTGTCTCCAGGATACGAGCTGTTTGTAACAATTTCTGATCTGCATCGCACACCAAGTAATCAATGTCGAGTGTGGCGGGTGTACGCTGAATAGCACCCTTGTTGGCGAGATCCTCGACTTTGACGACGATACGCACTGGATTACGAAGGCCTGCACGGATGAGTTCTGAAATGGCATCTGTCATTGTAGCGGAAAAGAGGCCTGTACGACGTTGTTTAGGCAGTTGAGCAATGATGCTGCTGACTTGCTTGGAGAAACCCATATCCAACAATCGATCTGCTTCATCCATAACAAGCACTTCCAATTCCTTTGTGTTGACTAACTGTCCAGACTTAGTGAGCAATTCTTCCAATCGGCCTGGGGTGCCGATCAAGATGCGAGGATGCTCTTTCTTGAAGGATGAAATGTCTTCTGCCAAGGAGGTTGAGCCGCCAATGTACAATCCCAATCTGATATCGTCCTCTCTTTCGTGATCTTGCACAAACAGCTGGAATACCGAGTGGATCTGCTGGGCAAGTTCTCTGGTGGGCGTAATAATGACAGCTCCAATTTCATAGTTTTTAAGGGGTTCCTCTCTACGCAGCAATTTCTCAAGGATGGGCACAACAAATGATAGCGTCTTACCAGAGCCTGTCACTGCTTCTACCACCACATCCTTGTTCTTCATGAATAATGGGATAGCACCTGATTGAACAGGAGTCATTGTGTCGAAGCCCATATTATCCAAAGTTGATAAACTAATTGATTCAGGTGAATATTTACTACGTATGATGGCATCACACAGTCTGTAAAGCTTACATGGAGTCACTCAATGGGGTCTCTAATGAACGCCAAGAGCCAGCATGAGTAGGAGGAGCAGCTGTCATGGTTGTATAAGGTACTTGATTCAATTGAAAAAGCACAATAAAAGGTTTGCATTATAGATTTTTTTATTGGGACAAGAAACAAGCCACTTGGGGGGGAGAGGAGAGGGGACCTTCAAACGTTGAAATACAAATGAAATACAATGGATGGCAGAGGAATCATGGCATCAATAGCAAAGCAGGGCGGCAGCGTTTGATTCAACTTGGCAAACCTTGTATGTGTTTCAGACACTAGTGCTGTTACAACATTGACAAATCTCACCACGCCGAGCTTTCTCTCGCTCTCGTCTTTGGCTTGTGAGATGTGATCATAGTGCACCATCATGTCTGCTAACCGTTGCACAAGCAGCTCTCTACTTTCTCTATAAAACTTGAATCGGCTCTGTTCATCTTGCATACAGTCCATGTGTCTATCGCATACGTAGGTAGACTGGCCATACAGCATGTACAGGTATTCTCTAAAGCAGCCAGTAATCTCAATAAAGGTATATTCTGCCTTTTGTCTCTTGGTGTAATCTGTTGGTGTCAAGAGCGACATACCTGAGCCAGTGTCGCTTGCCAAGCTAGTAGAAGACGATTGAACTGACATGGCTTCAGGAGACATTACACCTGGCTGCATTTGCTGCATTTGTTGAAACTTTCTCTTTTTGCCGGTCTGAACGCTTTGCAGTTCGATATAATTGACGCTGATGTATTGCGCTTCACCCGGCTTGTCTGCACCCATAAATACAGCTTGCAAACACACGGCGTCTCCTTTACGTACTCGATTTTCATCCAGATATTGCACAACTTCGGGACGATGCGCGCGGCATGTCAGCGTGATCATGGCAAAAGCAATGTCAAATGTTACGAATTCATTCTTGACTAGTGTGGGATGAGAGGTGAGATGAGTCTCTGTATAAAAGAGTGTCATGATTGATGCCTATAAAGAAAACGAATAAAAACAGACAAGGCAGCAAGTCGTTCTCTGTATACATATATATATACATATATATATATATATACACAAGTATCCATGATACAATGAATACGGATAGACCAATATAATTATTAAAATGAGAGCATTTAAAGGGGCAAGTAATATGACACAATCAGCAACCTGCCCAGCAGCAAAACAATGAACACATACTATTGCATTTGTTTGCTACCCTTCTCTAAAAAAAGTCATTTTGTTGTATTATTTAAATGACTGAAACAGCATGTATATTCAAAAGATAAAAGGGTATGATGAGTTTATTATTTGTTTAATTCAGATAATTCCTGGATACGAGCTTGTAATTTAGGCACTTCAAGCAACTTGGCTTCAATCTATGAAATAGGTAGATGGTGAGACATGGTACGATCAAGACTTTTGTTTCAGCACTTACGGCATTCTTTTCTTCTTGAAGAGCTAATCTCTTTTGAGCATCTAATTTAGTAAATACATAGCCACCCTGACCATCATATTGAAGAATGTAGTTGTGGTATTTCCAAAGCGAAGGACGATGAGAGACGGTCAAGAGCGAGATACCAAGAGCAGTGGCATGCGTATACATGATCTTTTCAATGTCCATACTAACAGCACTGGTGCATTCATCTAGAATAGCATAACGAGGTGCATGGTAGAATAATCTTGCCATGGCAATACGCTGCTTATCGCCACCAGACAGGGCCAAAGTCCACTCCTTTTCAGTGTCCCAGCCACCCTCTCTTTCAACGATATGCTCAATTTGAACCACCTTGAGGATATCCAACAAATCTTGATCTGTTACATTTCTTTCCTTCATCTCTTTGAGGGTATCTGGATACAGAATTCTGCTCAAGTATGAGATTCATTAGATTCAATGCATATGGCGTAAGGTACACAGACTTACTGATCTCTGAGTGTGCCCAAGGAAAGATAAGGCCTTTGAGGAATATAGAAAATGTCTCGATGACTGGGTCTATGTACAGTGCCACCGTACACAGGCCACAAACCACCCAAAATACGAAACAGGGACGACTTGCCACATCCATTAGGACCAACAATCAAGAGATGCATCTAACAGGTATTGGTTTGAGTGACATTTTCTTGTACAACAAGCTCAATAATTGAGGAAAGAAAACTTACACCGGGTTTCACGTGAAAGTTCAACTTGGAAACAAGCACATCACCATTAGGACTGACAATGGGCACATTGACAAATTCAATATTCTCGCTCTCCACCACCTCGCCACGGCCCTTGAGCGTCTCTGCATTGGATTCTGTCGAGATGGAAGAGACCAGGTTCTTTTGATAGCGGCCTGCTTTTACATCTTCAAAGACCTCCAGTAAATCATTGACTCTGCTAGTGTAACCTGCCAATTCAGTAACCTCCTTATAGGCATACATGATACGACCCACAGCATCTGATGAGCTCACTAGCAAACGACGGTTGGTGACAAAGCCCTCAGTACGTCCGCCCACCGATGTATCGCCAGTCAAGCCAGGCACCTTGAAGAAGACAGGCACACTGCAAAGCACCAAACCACAGGCACCCCAAAAGTACTTGATGACAAAATCCTCCAGCATACCATGGGGCACACGCACTCGAAAGACACGATTCACATGACGAATCAGGGCATAATAGCTCTTGTCTAATTCGGTCTTTTCAATCGCTTGACCTTCAAACAGGGCAATTTCTTCTGCATTCTCGATCAATCGGCTATGTCTGAAACGGAATTCACCTTCGAGTTTCTGCTCTTCTGCTACCATTTTGCCAAAGGAGGGTGTGTATTTTCGCATAACGGCGGACGACAAGTTGATGATAAGTGAGCCCAAAAAGACGCCTTCAAAACCAACGCTTCTTGTCAGCTGGTAATTGTAAATAAAGACATCCAAGATTGGCTTTGCAAGATTGGAGTAGAGCTCGGCCAACGAGTTGGAGAATTTCATGGTATCCACAGTGATGCATTGATCGGCATTTTTGATACGGTCATCCAAGTTACCAACGGCATAAAAGGTCATGTTGGTCAAGTACTGATCATGGATGTAGGTGGTAAGGCGAGTACGGAATTGAATGGATAGCTTGCTCTGCATGTAACTCAACATGCTGTTGGTGTACGTTGCTGGTATGGCCACGGTCATCCACCAAACAATGCCCAATACAAATTCTCTAATTTGGCCTCTCACAAGTGCACTTACAATTCTGCCGTCCAAGGAAGCAATATATACTGACAAGACTGTTCTAAAGACTAAAGCAGTGTATTAGTTGAAGTGTCGGCTCTCAAGGCCACATCTGTTGCTTACTCAGGAATCCAGAATGAATAATCAGCAGCCAAAATTCCTTGGATCGAACACCAGGCATGACAATTTGCAGTAGCTTATACAGTTGTTTGAAAAATGTCATGTCCACCTTGTTGGTTGGTGGTATTAGATGACTACATAAAGCACAGCAGCATTGTATCTTACCTCTACTTTCTTGCTCTTGTTTGCTGTTGCTGGGTGTCGTTTTTTCGATGCGGGGTCATTGTTGCTCTTTTTAAAGGCTTTCACCAGTTGTCGCATGGATAGCAAGGAACGAAATATCAGCAGAAACAGAATGGAGCGTTGAATTGTGATGCGATGCTTTCCATAGCCTCTGATGAGCCTCATGACTTGAGGCACCATGGATAAACCCCATTCCTGTATTGCCAACTTGCTGAAAACGTTTGGCATATGAGATATCAAAGTGGGGTAAAGAGAGAAAAAAAAAAAAAAAGAAAGAGGAGATTATAAAAGAGTCGGTTCAAACAGCAGCATTTTAATATGTATATAAATTGATGTGTGGTTTAAAAAAAAAAAAAAAAAAATGCATGTGAAAATGATGCTCAACTAACTATCACATGTGTCCAGTAGGATGCGAGAGACTTTGTCTTTGAACTGCACTGGCAGCCAATCCTGAATGCATTTCAGTGAATGTTTGATCTAAAGCGTCAAGGTAAATTCAATCAGTCAATTCTTGAGCAGGGAAGAGCGACTAAAAAAAAAAAAAAAAAAAAAAAAAAAAAAAAAAAAAAAAAAAAAAAAAAAAAAAACGTACCTGTTGCTCCAACTGCTGCTTATACTTGATCTCTTTGTACTCTGTATTCTTCTGACACACGTCCCATGCCTCCAAAATGCTCTTCACAATCAACGTCAGCTTGTCTCCGTACTGATCTTGCTGCTTGGGTGTTGTTAAAGCCAAACATGCATTGATTCTGACTTTGAAGTTCTTGCACTGGAGTAACGAGTGGATCAACGCTTGATACAAAGTGTGTGTCCATGGATAGACGCCGCCTTCTTTGGGTATAAAGCCGATAGGAAAGTAAGGGTTCAGTAGCATGTTGCTGGTGGCATGGCAGGCATTCCATCGGATCTTCAGTGATCCCGTCTCAATGTTCTTTTCCAATCCTTGCATGGCATTCTTGACGAGAGACATGATTCGTGTGTTTTCATAGTATTCTTTGGGTGTAATGCGCAATAAACTTCCAATGGCTCGCACGGCATTCGATCGTAATTTTTCGTTATCCAGAGATCCATGGGTAGAGACTTCCAGCACTTGGATCCATTCTGTTGTCGACATGTACTCTCTCAAATTGAATTCTACGTTGGTACCGCTTTCGAGCACAAGTGCGTCGCATAAATTAGCAATCGCCCAACTCGCACGCACCCTCACGAGAATGGTCTTGTCGTCCTTTTGCAATAAAATAACCTTCAGCATGTCCGAGAAAAACAGGGGGTCTTCTCTCAACGACGGAAACAATACAAACACGCCCAATGCTCGGCATGCCGCTGCCCTCACATTTGCATCTGCATCGGATGCAAGTGAGAATATCAATGTTACTGCCAGTCGTTGATATCGATACTGATATTGCACAAAAGAAACAATCAGATACAAAGCTTTCATGCCATCCGCGCATCAACACTTACATGGAAGGTTTCAAAAATATCCCTAGACATACTGGCAAAGCAATCACAAGCAGCAGCACGCACAGAGGGCACATCCTCGTTTGTAGCCGCTTTCTGCAGGTAGTTTTCAATGACTGTCTGCCACCAAGACACATTTTGTTGCGTGAATTCGCCAGACTCATGGATAGCACTGGCATACGATTCTATGAATTTTAAGCTCGCAGCTGAAATGGGTAGATTGGATGTTGTTTCAATCAGCTTTTGCCACAACATGGGCATGGCATCCTTGAAATAGCACTTTGTCAGTGTAGAGCATGTTCGCCATACTTCGATTTGCGCTTCTTCGTCTTCTTTCACATTGCTGACAGCCTTCAATATGATCTGATCAATCACATCTGTTTGGACCAATTCCCTCAAGTTGTCTTGGTAAATGCTGAATACCGAGGAGATCACTTTTAAAATGGGTCCATGTAAGCCTAAACAGTGACAACACGTTAGAAATGAGGCAGTTTCCCATACAAACGCCCCTTACTCTGTTCTTTCCAATGATCTGCAATGGCATGGTAGATTCTCGGTAAATGCGACTTTGAGAGTCTCTCATAAGAACAGTTCTCGACCAGCACGGTTGCTGCATGCATCATCAGTGTCAAGACTTGGCTTGATTGCTCTTTCCCCAGTGCATAAATCAACCCCTGATGAACATCCCGAATGATGGAACCGAGATTTTCGGATAAGGATGTAAAAGATGACTTGTTCTTATCACTATCCATTTTGTTGATGAGGCCTGGATACATGCTACGTTGGCTGAATCAAGTTACCTTTCCTGCGCTATGCTTAGATATTGCTTGGACCCATCTAGTATGGACACAAGTGTATTGCAAACAGCTGTTCTTACTGTCACCATGGGATCGTACAGTAATATAGTAAACAAGGAATAGGGCTGATTATCTGATTTGAGCAAAGGTGGTAATTCACCGTTGAAGGCATTATTGTCTAGAAAGATGGAAAAGGTGTCTGGTAGGAATTTTTGCCAATGGGGGTACAATGCTTTTGGTGTCGTCTACTCAACGTGGGATGTCAGTGATCTGTGTTGATAGTACTATACAGGCAACTTACATGAGCAATAGCAGACAAGCACAAAAGCGCATTGATTCTGATCTTGGCATTATCTCTCTGTCTTCGTGGCGATAATTCAGTCAGACTAGCAGAATCCGATAATTCTGATTCTGAGCTAGTAACAAGAGAGGATGATCTATGCAATGGCGTTCTCCACGACATTTGAAGAGGTCTATGTGAAGTGCTGGCAGTGATTGGTGTCAAGGGCTGGGATAGTCTGTTTCGTCTATTGGGTGTCATGTTCAACGGTTGCCCCACACCGTAAGATTGTACATTGACATGCAAAAAAATAAACGTGTAGATGATTTCAATGATATCGCACAGCGGATTCGTCACTAGCGATTTATCTTGGGATAGCAAAAACTGGAGTGATCGTAGAGTGGAGCTCGCTACTTTTCTGACAGCTGTATCTGCAAAATCGAGCGTAGTGGAAGCAACCATGATGGTGCCCTGTGTTGTGCGATCTACCGCACATACGTTGCCCAACAAGCAAGCGTAGAAATCTTGAAATAAGGGCTGTAATTTAGTGCCTGCAGCACCCGCACAGGCGTTGCCGATACAGTTGATGGCCATACGACGCACTTCCAACGGCTTGGATGAACGATTCCCCAGTGCGAGCAAGGTTTTTGACAGTCGAGCGGCAAATCGCTGTGTGTTGTTGGCATTCTCAAATATCAGCGCACTCAGAGCTCTCAGCAGATCCACTCTATGCTCTTTATCGTCCTCTACACTGTCCACGCCGTCCATTAGGTACTTGAGGCAAACGTCGAATTGCGAAGGCCGAAAACTAGTCATCCGTATCTATCATAAAAACGCATGAGACGAGTAGCTGACATGACAATGCATCGATGGCTGCGTTTACTTGTTTCGATAGCTGCTTGTATAAGAACTGGCAAAATGCGCGAGACAAGGCATGTTGGTGGCCTAAACTCTTGCATCCACTGACAATCACATCAATGACTTGCTACATGCGCGTGCGTGCGTGCGTGAGTGAATAAGTTTGCTTCTATATCGATCGTCTACGTTACTTGGTCTGGTATATGCTTGATGTGATCAACTGTATCAAACAGATCAAATGTGGCTGCTGGGCTCGTTTCTTGGTCAATTAAATTAGGGAATGCGGTTTGCTTGTATTGATCCAAGAGGGAATAAAAAGCTTCCAGGCTCTTTGTATGAGCCATGGCGAGTATGTACAAGTGAGAAAAAAAAATGGAAAAAGAGGAACGTCCTATCCTGAAAGTTAAGCCGCTCATTTATGTATACCTGTGGAGTTTGTGCGGTAATCCTCTGCATGGCCGCATTAGACCGATGGTAAATCCAAGGTTGCTTAGAGCATTGATATCAACACCTCTACACTGAATGGCAAAGCAATGGCTTCTGTGTATTATGGTACAATAGTAGGATCTTTTTTTTTTTTTTTTATTTATTATTATTATCATTCTAAACAAGTGTTTCAACAGATTTAATCAATTGTTGGAAATCGAATTCAGCAGGCTTCTTGTGAAATTGTTCAACGAGCTTCAACTTGTCTTCACCACCAGTAACATAGAATTGTTGGAGAGCAAATGCCAAGAATTGAGCATTAGCAGTGTCCAACATACGGGGATCGTCATTGATCTCACCCTTCATCAAAACAATGCCCTTTGATTTCTCGAGTTCAGTGAAATGCGTCAGTGTAAGGAAGGGCCTGGCTTCAGTTCCTTTGGTCTTGTATTCTAACAGCGAGGTGAAGTTGGCTTGATGGAAATTGAACTGCAAAAACATGAATTCAACACCTTCTTCACGAGGCATAGGCACAACAAACTACAAGATCAGGTCATCAGTGGCGAGTCTTCAATGCATGAAATGTCACATCATACCATGGGATATTCTTGACTACGTTTGTAAAGCTTATCGTACACATCGCTAGGAATGACAGCAGTAATGCAATCCTTGTTGGCGTGTCCTGCATTCCAAATCTTTGCAATGTTCTCTGGTGTCTCGTTTTCGAGCAAATCAAGCTTGACGAGCTTATCCAATGTCTACAGGTAAAAGAGATCAATACGCTGCATAAATGGATGCATGTCATGTCAAAGTTCTTACAGGAGCAGATGAATCGTAAGGCAATTGAGATTTGGCAGCAATGGTGGCAGCTGATGCTTTCTTGGTGGTTTCAGCAACAACCTTGGGCGCTACCTTTTTGGGTTGAGCAGCCTTGAGCTTCTTGGCTGCCTCATCCTTGATCTTTTGCTTTAATTGTTCAACTGTCAATCCCTCTCTGTCAGTCAATGTTAGTGAAAAGATTGCCTGTCATCGCTGCAATGAGACCTACCTCTTGGCAATTTCTTGAATCTTTTGAGCATACTTGGCTTCGAAATCAGTTGCCTTGACAGCAGGAGCAGTGTAAAATCTGCCGTGGCCTACATTGTTCAAATCAGCTATTTGCTGTCCCCCCCCCCCCAGAATATTCTACGTTTGACATGTTTACCTAATCTTGAAGCAATAATGCTTCTTTCGAGTTGACAAAGAGGGGCCTTGACTGACTTTTTTTGCTGAGCATTCAAGCTTCTGGCAATTTGGCGAGAGATGGTTGACAACATTGAATGTAAAACGAAGTTGACGAAATATACAGGGCCAATCTGTATTCAGCTTTATGGAAGGGCAATGAACAGCGGCAAATCCCCCTTTCATCGTGACTCGAACACATAGGACTATGTTTTCTCTCATGAAAAACTGACCCTAGTAGTCCCCTCCCCCCACTTCCTTGATGGAAATAGCGAAGCCATTCATTCTCCCTTGCTTCCTTACAATATGCTTAGACTCACTGGTCGACTCGTTTCGAAAAAGTAACCAGAAAACCAAACCAGAAACATAGATAGTGCTGTACTGACAAAGCATTTACCATTAGTACATTTGCTCGCATTGGACAAAATGCCTCAACATCTCGTATGGTAAGTGGACCTGTCAATTGCATATATATATATATATATATATATAACAGCCAAATTTAATGACGACCCAACTGACATAGTTATCAACTGGTTTGATGAGCACCAAGAGATTTCAACCCTTGAGCGTCATTGCACAAAGAGCCGCAAAGAACAACAGTACTCGCATGTTGGGAAATGTCACCATCATGAATCAAATTGGTATTCGCCACTTGAGCACAGAGGAGAAGACAGAGGCTGTTGTGGATACAGCCAGCAATGTCAGTGATTCAGCCAAGGATTTGATCCAACAAGCAGCCCAGACGAGTTCACCTGATGCACTTGTCAATGCCACTTCACAGATTGGAGAATTCAAAGCACTTGGCTTATGTAACTTTACACCAGTAGGAGGATTGGAGGCCATGTTTGAGTATATTCATGTGTACAGTGGATTGCCATGGTGGGGAACTATTGCTGTAGCCACTATCGCCGTCCGTGTTGCACTTTTGCCCTTGATGATCAAGATCCAACGAAACAATGCTAGATTAATGAATATCAACCCAGATGTCAACCGTATCATGGAAAACTTAAAGGCAGCACAAGCAGAGGGTGATTCTTTGGCCACCGGCAAATATACACAAGAGATTCAAACATTGTTCAAAAAGAATGATTGCCATCCTATGAAGTCCATGGGTCTTCCTTTGATTCAAATGCCCGTGATGATTTCTTTCTTCATGGCCATTCGTGCCATGGCTGAAATGCCCGTTCCTGGATTGCAAGATCAAGGTCTTTTCTGGTTTACTGATTTAGCAGCCAAGGATCCTTATTATGTATTACCCGTGGTCAGTGCAGCTGGTGTCATGGCCGTTTTGGAGGCTGGCACCGAAGCAGGTGCTGCTAATCCCCAAAGCAAAGGTATGAAGAATGTTTTCCGTGCACTTACCCTTGTCATGGTGCCATTCACTGCTTGGATGCCTAGTGGTGTGTTTGTGTATTGGATCACTTCCAACTTCTTCTCCATTGGTCAAATTTTGGCTTTGAAGAATCCAGCAGTACGTAGCGCATTGAGTATCCCTAAACTCAAAAAGAAGCCCGAGGAACTTCAAAAGAACACAAAGGGGTTCATGGAAAACTTCAAGGATCAACAAAAGCATCATGACAAGTTGGAAAAGGAACGTGCTATTCGTGAAAGACAACAAGCTGCTGCTGCTGCAAGAAGAGCTGCTAAGCGTAGATTCTAATCTCTATTACCCTCCTACCCCTTCCTCGTCCATCAGTGTTTTTGATTATTTTAGACAAGCCATTAAAGAATAAGTAAAATAAAAAATCATGTATATTAATCTTAGATTCATGATGTGTATAGACGTATAATAAGAGGTGATTGTGTGCCGTTCACAATCCCACTGTTTGCGTTAACAGTGTGATATTGCACATAATTTTGATTCTTATGAATGATTGATTCTTGCTTCTTCAACGTGCAGTGGAATGGAGTCCAAAACATTTCATAAGAAACAAAATACACATTGATTAAACAGTCTGATGTCAGTGGCGATATAACAGGTTAGTAATGTATTTATAAAGAATTAGCTTGTGATGTTGGCCTTGATAGAGTGCTAAAGGCGATACTAAACGTTACCAAGCAAATATTGTTATTAACAAGTCAACGCTAGAGCATTAATCATAAATCCTACCTGAGTAATGATCCTTAGGCTTGGGTGAGTAATCTGCGCCGTTTCATGTCTAAAGAGTAACATAGCATCTATGTTATTGCATGAGCAATGCCGATATCACCACCCATCTGAATATTGCACGCCTACGAAGTATGAGTATACCAATTGACAAACATACGATAAGGATAGTCTGTCAACGAACTGTACGATATCTTCGACCTAAATAATAATGATATGATTCTTTTAACTCCCTTGCATTAGTAACAATTTATGCTCCAATTCTTGTTTCAAACGAATTTTATTGCGTATGTGTTGACCACATGTATCAACCTCGATAAGTCTATATTCGTTTTTTTTTTTATATAACTTTGTGCACATACCTTTATCAAGTTGACTTTACTGTTTTTTTTATTCTTTTTTTTTCCGTGAATTTTAGTCTATAAAGCCTCAAATTCCACAGTGATATCCAGGTATTTTTTACAAGCTCAAATGTTTTTTTACTGAATTGTTTTCATTGAGACATGAACAGTCTCCATTCTGAAGAACATTACAGATGTGATCATATACTTTTATTTCCACTTGGCTAAGCTTTTATTATTACAAAGACAAAATAATGTTAAATGGCAGATCAAAAGAAAATCAACTAGTTGTAGACCTTCGTTGCTTCAACCTCTGAGCCAATCAAATCGCTTGAAAACTCCGCTGACCTAAAAAAAAATTTGCGAGGGTTTCCCTCTGTTTTGATGTGAGGCAAAATTTTAAGCGCCGCTATAATAGCAATATAGCCGCTGCTATCATCAAATTTTCCTCAGGTGCTAGAGCATGCCTTACTTACACCACCTAGCTCTAAATTCTGGCATTGAGACCCTCAATCATCACTAAAGTAAGTAGTGATAACCAAGTGAAGGCAGCCTATCTACCTCCTAGCCTCGGATAGAGTCTTGTTGAGCTTCAGGGATAGGCACATCCACACAACGTAAAGAAAAGGTATGCTTCAAAAAAGAAACATAATAATAATAGAAGAAAGGAGAAAAGAACATAATACTATAGGAGTATAGTAGTACATAGGCAAAAAAGGAATACTCACACAAAGTGAGTCAAAGAAAAGTGTAACAAATACAACATCAGAGACGTTCAGAACAGCTCATTGTTGTTGCAACAAAAATGCATACATGAGCAATATGCGTGGTAATAGTCGGATGTAAAGCAACACAACCAACAAAAGAAGAAGAAAAATGCAACAAAGAAAACATCATGAATGCATTATCATGAGAAAGGAAGCAATAACACAAACGCTCAAAGACATTTTATATCATTGCGACCAGAAGAAAGAAGATACTTACCACTTACCATCACCGTAGATAGACCAGAGGATACGCAATCACCGAATATAGACCAGCGAACGAGCATGCACCAAACACAATAGACAGGGAAAGACCATAACAGCAACAGTAGTAGCAACACCAGCACCATAGGTAAACCAAAGAACGAGCGACACCAGAGAAAGAGCATGCATCAAACAAAGTAGACCAGAAAAGACCATATTAGCAGTAGCAGTAGCAGTAGCAGTAGCACCAGCACCAGCACCATAGACAAACCAAAGTACGAACGCTACCAGCAGAGACCAGACATAGACCAAAGAAGCACGCAGCAGAGATGGCAGAGACGTAATGGCAGCAGCACCTACGTCAAAGAGACAAAAAAGAATCATCAAAACCTAATAAACAAATTCAATTAGTAATACTGATTTTAGGCCTTCCAGTGCTCGTTATCGAAGGGTACCTAATGTATTCCATTTCAAAGAAGCAGTATCAAGTATTTATAACAGTGCAAGGTCGTGTTGTCAGAAGTTAAAGTGTTATTTTTAATTAAAAGGGTTCCAAACCAATATTGTATGATACTAATAAACGCGTTTTGCAAAAAGGGTAAAAAAAAAAAAGGGAGATACGGAGAAATAAGAGGGCGCCCTACTGGACGTCACGGCCAGTAGATTTAGTCTCAGCCTTCTGCCGTGGCAGTCGCAACTGCTGTACTTTAATTTGAAATTGTGCAGTGGGTATTTTCGTGTTCAAATTTGACTCGAACTTACATTCTTCAAACGTTTTTGCTAAATTTGACTATTGTTGTGCCAGAAGGGCTACAACTGTCTATAAAGATTAAGGTATTCTTGATGGGTAGATATGTCTGTGTTGTGCAACAACATGGACAAGCTATGATAAGTGAAGTGCATCTCAGCTATCTAAATACTGAGGTTCACCAGATGTGATAAGCGTTGTACAAGATAAATTGCTACTTTGGCATTCAGAACTTAGTATAAATAGAATAACTCTTGTCTTCATCAATAAATCTTTAGTTTTTGTGTCTGATCTTATTCAAATAAGTCTTTTCTTGTTTTTATAATATCGAACATTTTTTATAAGCTACAAATAATAATCCTTTTATTCTTTGTGCTTAACAACTATGAAAATTGTCGTTATTATACTTTACTTTCTAATGCATTCATAAAGAGTCAATGAAGGCGCATCGAATGATGCTGGTTACATTCAGCTTTCAGACCGAGAATAATGAGCAATTTGCGAAAAGTTCAAAACCGGTTTTCTGCAAATATGTCAGCATTTAGCAAATACAAATCTCGTAGAAAAGGCTTCGGGTGCTGCATTCCATCTTTACGATCAATTTTGGTCTGATATGTATCATAGAAAAAGTCTACATTTTTGGGATGAAAAACGCGATTGTTTGATTTTCAAGAATTTTCCCTTGCTAATACTCATGTAAAACGACGATTTTGATGAATTTGCAATGACGCAGAAAAAATTGAGATAAAGCATCAGTAAGTAAAGCGTATCAAAGGAGAGCCATTCGGCCCTATTCTAAGCGTCTACAACGCTTTGTAGCATGAGTTATTCCTGCTTCAAAATGGATAGGTTTGGGCAGAATCTGGCATAAAAATAAGGTGTAGTATGTTGTGCTGCCAAAAAAGTAAGTAAATTACAGTTCTGTTTGATAACCCAGATGCTCTGTGTTGTTATGCCAGAAGGGCTACAAGTGTTTATAAAGATTAAGGTATTCTTGATGGGTAGATATGTCTGTGTTGTGCAACAACATGGACAAGCCATGATAAGTGAAGTGCATCTCAGCTATCTAAATACTGAGGTTCACCAGATGTGATAAGCGTTGTGCAAGATAAATTGCTACTTTGGCATTTAGAACTTAGTATAAATAGAATAACTCTTGTCTTCATCAATAAATCTTTAGTTTTTGTGTCTGATCTTATTCAAATTAGTCTTTTCTTGTTTTTGTGGTGATATCAGATATTTTTTATAAGCTACAAATTATAATCTTTTATTCTTTGTGCTTAAGACTTTGTAGTGAACGTAGAAAACGATGAGATGGTGATGTGCTGTACGAGATATGATACGATGGATCGTGGTGTGGAATACATTAGTAGTAGGTGTCATAAATTTCTGTTCAGTCCATTTTGATATGTGATTTCATTGTTTGTCCCTACTCATCGTGCTAAAACCGACTTATTAGTAGTGTGCCCAATAACAGTCATTTCCCATAAAATACGAGTGTTTAACATTGTGCATAGACTTTAAGTTTAGTTTCACGTCTAGATATGGGCATCTCGGTTATGGACAACCATCAACATTGTCCTGCTTACCAAATAGATATCTCGTTCAACCTGAGCAAGCTGTTAGATTCAAACTTGCATAATATCTGTGGATACATCGACTATGGTCTGCATTCCGACAGTTCATCCAGTTACCAGATTTAGATATAAACTGTATGTACACTGAATTAGATGTACGATATCGATTTATACTATAAGAAGATATAGACTTCAGATACGCTAGTACTATAAGATTCATACTATAAGATATAGGCTGTAGATGGCATAACGGATATGGATGGCGCTATAGACTTATACTTGTGTTCCGACATTGACTTATTGATCAATTTAATTGATAGAACGTTTATCCATTGTTATAGTATATAAGAAGGATTATCTACCTGGCCAGTAGAGAGACTTCAGTTTACTTTACACCTGTCAGTTTGATAATAAAACATACCTTTATCAAGTTGACTTTACTGTTTTTTTATTCTTTTTTTTCCGTGAATTTTAGTCTATAAAGCCTCAAATTCCACACTGGATCTGAATTATCCTACACGCAGCAGCGTGTTCCCACCAAAAGACATTATTAGGTATTTTTAGTATGAGGAGCCAACAAACGTAATATGTACAGCAAGTAAAGGCTTTCATTTTGATTATCAGGCTTGCTACGTTATCAAGTGTTGATACCACGTAGACAGACGTTCTTTTAATGGACTTTTTGGTCGTTTTTACCGCAATGATCGAATCAACGAAGCGCATGTAGAGGGAGCATTTTGGCCAGAAATCGCAAATAGTGGGCTACAGAATATGAGAGATTTTTTTATTTTTTTTCCTAACCCAAAGGGAGGCTCGATGTTTTGACGATAATTTATCTAAAAAAATTATACAAATTTACTAGTTAAAGCAACGACGGTGCTGTTTCACATAGGTCTTATATTTATACTATTTCTACGATCAATAATTACTTAATCAATGGGACTTTCGAGTATATATAGTACTTGGTATAGCAACTGATAATCAGATCAATGCCTGCTATCAGTTTCCAGAACCTTCGAGTATACTCTGGCGCCTTTTAGTCGCTTTCTTCAAATTTGGCTTATACCTAAATTTAGGCACGACAAAATTGATAAATATCAAGCTCTCTATAATGATTACCTTGGTAGTTGGTAATCAAGATATAAGTATTGTTGTGTGGAAAGGAAGACTGTAAGAACTATCCCAATAATTATGAGAGATGAATTTAAGGGTTCTTTAGGTTTGTTCGTACTAGATTGGCACTAGTAACTAAACTCCAGATTAGAATAAGAAGAAAAAAATGGATGATGTTTATTAAGATGCAATTCAAAATACTATTTATATATGTCATTGTTCTATTGTTATTCTCCTGTCAGGCTCAATTCAGATCCGAATGTCAGTGCCCTGATCAAATGTAACCTCAAATTGGATTGCCTTCAATTTAATGTCAATTTCATGTACCCGCGTTCTTGAGTCGATCCTATCGTTTAAAATAGTAACACCCCAATTCCATTGTTGTAATTCCACTTGAATCTTGCATCGATTCGACATTAATTGGTTTGCATCTATCCTGAGTCAAAGTCCAGAATCAAATCCACATTTCAAAATAGTAATGCTTGGCTATTAGCGCGCAATCTCATTTAGATCCCTGACTAATTCATCGATTCAACATTATCGGCTCCAAATATTGATTAGATTTCGGCTAAACTTGATAAGAAGCACCACGATCAAACGAATATGTAACAACAACAAAATAGAAGCGACACCAATTGAGTAAGCACCAACATTGATTAGCAATACACCAAATAGAGACCACATCGGCTAGAATAACAGTATCAACGCACCATCAAGAGATAACATACAGTTTTACAACAATTATATGAGTGTGTCAATGCACCAGAACACCACACCAACGAGGAGTAACCCTTCAAGTAAGACATAGTAGTAGATAAATTAGAGAATTATACCTTGAATCCACCACATTGCGCCTTTCCCATATACGGTATATTGCCTCTTTAGGAAATCGAGATAGAGTCAAGTAACCAAGAGAAAGATGCACACGTATCAAAATGTCGTGCCTAAATTTAGGTTTAAGCCAAATTTGAAGAAAGCGACTAAAAGGCGCCAGCGTATACTCGAAGGTTCTGGAAACTGATAGCAAGCATTGATCTGATTATCAGTTGCTATATCAAGTACTATATCTACTCGAAAGTTCCATTGATTAAGTAATTATCGATCGCAGAGATAGTATAAATATAAGTTGTAAATGCAATCAATAAACAGTATCTTCGAACATAATTTCAATCTATTAGTTACACTCTAAGTTATTTGTTAACTCCTACCATTAGACCTATCTATCAAGACGACAAAATGTCAGGGTTGAAGGGTATTCTGACAGTGATTTAGATCTGCAGGATATCATTGACAGACTAAACACAAACAAGAATAAAAAGCGCAGGTTTAAACCTAGAGCGCCAGCTACCAGGAACATTAAACAGCGATTAACCTGGATAGCGCACAACATTACACAAACTATATTGGATAAAATCAATGTTCAAATCTAATATTAATAAAGTACCTTTTTATCCATTCAACTAAAAGGCTATATACATTCCTGCATAATCCCTACATCTATATCTATATCTATCTCGATCAGATCTCAGATTGCATATACTATCTCTACATATTTGCATCTGCCAAAATAAATTGAGGGGCTATGGCCCAATGGATAAGGCGTCTGACTACGAATCAGGAGATTCCAGGTTCGACCCCTGGTAGCCTCAATTATTTTTTCACATTTTTGCATTATCGTGATACGTTATGAATCTTTTATGATTGATATTCACTGGGTCTTTGCAATGGAAAGGGCTGTAGTCTGCACAAGATTCTCAAATATTGTTTCTGCTTGCTCGTTATGTTTTATCTGGAAAATAAAGAACGAATCTTTTATCATTGAGACATAAAGTATTAAAACTTCTGATTTGTTGCATAAAATGTTTTACGATGTATAAAATATAAATAATGATAAAAGGAGGGAATATATGAATGAATGATATTATAACTAGTAGTGTATGATATAAAGAAATATAAATAACAGTTGCGCCTTTAATCAAAACCTGAAAAAGCAGTATGAGCAGCACTCAGATGAACTGTGCCTGTGTCTAAATCAATAGCATAACAAAGAAAACTTGCATCAATGCTACAAAAAAAAAGACGGTTGGTTGTTCTGCGTACCATGATATTAAAAAGAACTTACATGCTCATCATAGTGTACGAAAAGAACTGAGACAAATACCAAGGCATCAATGTTCCGATGAGCCCCACCAGAAATCCATGAGGAGAGTGTAGGCTATGAGTGGCATAAACATAAGCGCCGAAACCAGATGACAATGCGATGACACTTGCTCCAATATATAGAATCAGTTGTGTCAAAAGATCTGCGTTTAAAGGTCACTGACAATGCCATAGTGTAATTCAATTGCATGATTTTGCTTACCACCAAACAACCCAGTTAGCAAATTGCGTCTAAATATCTTGGTTGCAGATGTAGCAGCAGAGCAGAAACTCTCCCCTGTGATACCAGCCAAACTAATCGTATAATTACTGAACGTACTAACAAGAGCGTCGATGTATCGTAGTATGAAGGATAGTACTGCTGCAAATGGCTTTGCTGTTTTGGAATACTTTCTAATAGATCTGGCAACAAATTGTAAGAATTGGATGATTGCCAAAATCAAGCTTCCAAATGCAAGCGTTCCAAACGATGTGGTTGAAGCTTTTATCAGTGCACTCTTCCAGGGCGGGTTGTTGTTTGTCGTCGAGGGGTCATTGCGATGAAAATACCATTGAGCAGTGATAGCTGACAAGGCAAATCTCTCCATATACACCAGTAATTTGGCTGTCCACATAAAGATGAATATGTAGAATGCCGCTAATGAATACACATAGTTGTTGACCACCCAGATAGCACCCGTCATTGAAGATTTATCGCCCAAATGACCAATTAACCATAGTCGATTGAAAAATGTAATCCATACAATAGAGAACGCAATGAAGGTAGCCAATAAAACAAAAGATACAAGAATGATACCAGGATTAAATCGAACAACATCACATGCAAGCTTATCATTCAGTTTGTGAGTATTTCCTTAATTGTGTGCCCTTATCCCAGACTAAAAAATGGTTTACTACGTACCTCTATAACAGACACCGTTTGATTGATTCTATGCTTGTTATCAAATATCACCTTGATGTAAATCAGATTTAGGATGAGAGGAATAAATGACATGACGGTCAATCCAGTGTCGTTTGCTGAAGATCGTTTCTCCCCTTCATACACAAAGTTGCTCTGTAATGACTCTACCAGCGTCCATATAAACACAACAGTCAGCGTGATTGGCACACACACCACTGTTCCCCACACAAATGTCTGTAATAAAACAGGTTAAGGTTTCGAATAAATCAAGAGCCATGTTTGTGTACCTTCGTAAATGTACGTAATATATACAGCCAGATGGTTCCAATCAATAAAGCGGTTGCAATTATAATACACAAGATGCCTAATGAGATAGCTAAGCAGAAATTCCATTGCGCTCGAGTGCTACTTTACCTGCGCTATCTCTTATTGCTTTGAACGTAGATCCCTTGACATAGTCTTCGATAGCGTGACTCTATCAGCAAGGAACAATGTGAGCAACCACACTCTAAAAGCACCCATCTTACATCAACATACATTGGTGGTAAATAATGTAATCAAACCCGATATGAAGAATATTGCAAAGCAGATGGCATATAGTCCAGCGAAAATGGGGTCTCTGTATTTCCTGTCCGCAGCGGCTGTGATTCCAGGTGGTATCTACAACACGGTCAATCACATCATCATATCCAATGAGCAAGATACTCAACTTACCGATGCGGATGTTGGCAGTAATGATTCTGATAAGGACCTTGTATTTGCAAAATCAAATGTGGAACTGCTGGGTTGATCAAGATAGATGGCCGAAGGTTTCTTTCAATTTTGTTAGTATCAACAATGACATGAGCTCCACCAGCAACTTACAGGGCTCTCTTCTACATCTGAATCATCATAATCTGCATCATCCTCTTGCTCAAACAGTAGCTGGCTTCTATCTGAATAGGCATTTGATTCAGTCAGCGGTATACTGTCTTCATTTATATTGTGTTGATTTTGATGAATGGAATAAAATAAGCTATGAGACATGGTATTGTCATCTCCATTGTCTTCGTTCTCCGATTCCTGGTCCATTTGTGCATAATGTCCTCCCCTGCCTTGAAAGAAGCTATTCTTCAATGTAGATAAGGCTTCTTTTGCAAAATTTGGTAAAGACTGTTCCATTGTTTGTTGGTAAAAGAGAGAAAAAAAAAAGAGGTGAAAACAAGCCGAATTCCTTTTTTTAGCCATCATATTATGCAACACCTGTGACTTGAATCATTTGCTTGATTGGAAGATCACTCAACATGAAGCACAAGTGACGATACGATGGTCTCCCAAACGTCTCACTTGATCACCAGCCAATGTAAAGCGAAAATTTAATATACCTTTTTAGGGCGTATTGGTGTTGTGAGAGTCTCTGTTTTTCTTCTGATGTGAGGATTTTCTCCTATAGTCAAAGTAAAACATTCTTTTCAATTAAAATGGGCGTTTTTTATATTATTCAATCAACACAGAGGCATATACACACAAATGTTGCAAGTGACGTACCTGAGAACAGCAGCATCTCTCATATCATATTCCCCTTTCTAGTATGCTATGAATCGTGCATATAAGCTCCAACTTTTTGTTTATTTATCTTTGAAATCTTCTTTTTCTTCTTCTCTACATAGTCTCCTAAAGCCAATTGTGTGCTTCTTTGATTTATAGCAGATCTCCCTCCGTCCTCCTATTTTGCATCGATATAGATTTGAGCAACTTGGTAGTAAGGAGCTTTTTTTTTTATTCTTCTTTTATAAATTCCCTGTAGATCTTTTTTCTTTCATTGAATAATTGCAAGTATAAAAGCAGCCAGCGTCTCAATTCCACATTAACCTTTTTGGCTCTTTGTAGATGATCATGACCATTGAGAATCAACAGCAAAATTCGACTCCATCCGGCTTGCAGCCATTTGATTTCTACAATGATGAAAGTCAGTTATCATCACGCTCAGTGCCTGGTTCAAGACGCAATTCTAATGATAAAAAAAGGTAATGCTTCTATAGTCAAGAAAATATCATCATATCATCTAATTCTATATTTTAAGCTTATTCACTCCTAACCATTTGAACGATGCGCCTATTGATTTCCTGATGAAACCGCCGCCTAGATCATTTAGCATTGATGTAGGCTCGATACACCATGCTAATGACTACTCGTCCGTTTTGTTCTTGGATGAGAGTGACTCAAGTAAGTTGTGTACAGTTTCTTTTGATTTGAACCATTGTTTAATTCAAAATAACATCAAAGCTGCAGCGACTTCTTTCCAACCTAATCTCTATTTGCAACCACGCTATAACAACAACAATGGTAGTAGCAGTAGTAGCAACAATACAAACACTTTTACCACTTCTGCTGGAACTACAAATTATGGACTGGTAGGTTTATTTGGCTGTTGAGGCTGCCTTGTTCTAATACTCTAGCTAGTTCAATTCCTCTGTTGGTGATTTGGACCTGGATTCCAGTCTGCGCAAAAGCTCTACTCGCAGTGTTGAATCCCTGAGAAGCAAGAGCTGGGCACAATTCTTGGAAAACAACAACCACAGTAGCAGTAATGCTCAATACTATTATAATCAGCAACAGCAGGAGAAAGGAGGACCTTTGGATATAAACACTCAAGGTGTGCAAGCTGCATTCTATGGTCAGCCTGCACGCAGATTTTCTCATGGCTGGGCGCCTTCATCCAATGGCGATCAGATGCAGGATAAAAGATACAATCACTTTTCTGTCAATAACATGAAAGCAAGTAGATTGGCAACCTCCTATTCCTACTCTGACCTTCATGTGGCTGCATTAGGGCCACAGAGAACCAATCAGTACAGCATCACTCATACTAGCATTGCTCCCAATGCATTACCTAAGGAAATCTGTCAGCGTTTCGCTCAATACGGGTATTGCAATCTCAAGGAGCAGTGCCCATGCTCTCATATTCCAAATGCGCTTCTGCAGCAACACAACGGCTTACTGAGAAATGATCACGCTGCGGCTACGGCAGCCATGATGGCCTATTCCAATAGTGCTACAACCACTACTAACTCAATGGCTACCACATCACCTACAACAACCTCTTCTCACTTCTTTGCGAATCAGCAACAGCCCCCGCTCAGATACTCCATCTCTGAATCTACAATGAACATGGACTCATTCTACAGCGCCAACTCGAGCTTGCCTCTGTTCAATGCCAGATCATCGCCTCACGTAATGGAGAACACGCACCATCATCATCAGCACCAGCAACACCCACACCAACAAAGACGAACATCTGGCAGTACCAACACAGATCCAGAAGTGAACAGATACACGGGTGCATCTTTGGATGAGTTTCAAGGCAAGCTATATGAGCTCTGCAAAGATCAAAACGGGTGTCGATTCTTGCAAACCAAGCTGGAGGAGTCACCGCTCAATGTTGCAGTTATTTACAACGAGATTCATGCGCATTTCGTCGACTTGATGACAGATCCATTTGGTAACTATTTGTGCCAGAAGCTCTTGGAGCGGTGTGATGATACGCAAAGAACCAGCATTGTTGAAGTGATTGCACCTGGATTTCTAAAGATCTGTTTGAGCATGCATGGCACGCGAGCTGTACAGAAACTGATTGAATTTCTATCCACCAAGAGACAGGTATGTGTTGCTTGAGGGGAGCATTCTTGCGTGTACCAGGAGCAGCACTAATGCAGGTGAATAGATACAAGCAGTAATTGCAGCGCTTAAACCCAACGTTGTAGCACTCATCAAAGATCTGAACGGAAACCATGTAATTCAAAAGTGTCTACATAAACTTAGTCCTGAACACAATCAGTTTATATACGACACAGTCAGTGAGCACTGTATACAAGTTGCCTCGCATAAGCATGGTTGCTGCGTGTATCAAAGGTGTATTGATTATGCCACCGAATCGCAAAAGGTTAAATTAAAAATTAAGCTTGTTTACCCTGTAAATATTTACCTTTCCTCTCTATCTGTAGGTTCAACTAGTAAATGTGATCACTCAACATGCTTTGCCTCTGGTGCAAGACCCCTTTGGAAACTATGTCGTGCAATACGTGCTGGGGTTGGACGACGCTGCTTATTATGATGGCTTGATTCGCAGGTTTATTGAACCGATTCGTGAGTTGTCTGTGCAAAAGTTCAGCTCCAATGTGATTGAAAAGGTAGTGTATAAAACAGCCTCTAGACAAAAAGACGCGCACTGATCCTCATGTATTGCAGTGCATTCGAGTCGCGGGTAAAGAGACCAGAAGACTGCTGATTGCTGGTATCATCGATCATCCCAACATGGAGAGGTTTTTGCGCGATTCTTTTGCAAATTATGTGATACAAACTTGCTTAGACTGCGCTGATGAGGACCAGCGCATCAAATTTGTAGAATGCATTCGACCCTTATTGCCTTCGATCCGCAATACACCTTACGGTAAACGCATCTATAGTAAGATTCATAGAGACATCAATGCACGTTCAGCATCTTCATCTTCCTCCACTCGGCACCTTCAGCACCAGAAATCCGCCATGATGGATAATACCACCAGCCTCATGATAGGAATGCACGCTTTGCATTTAAATTCCATTTCTGCGCCGACCTCATCATCTACCACAACCACAACCAACACTGTACATCAACAACATCCGATGGCAGCCAAGCATGGCAATAGTGACACTGCTCCTAATATTACAAATGCTACAGCTATTGCCTACATGTGATGTTATAATTCAACTGCTCTGGTGCTGTGCCATGTAATACCATTTTCTTCTCTTTTTCGTTGTATTGTAAACAATGTGTATACAAGAAAAAAACACATATCACTTTCTATCATTATCTTCACTTAGTAATAAACATCATTTAAGTCTTTCTTTTTCTGTTGTGCTAATTCTTGCTCTTCAAGGGAGATTTGCAATCAATTCTACTGTCTCGTTTCGTTAAGGGCTACAGATGTCAGATCAAAAGACCAGCTGAGTGCCAAGCACATTAGCTTAAAAGTCAAATCAGCCCCTGAAAATAGTTTAAAAAGATGGGATTGCTCTGTGTGGCGAATTAGTGTACTCGTATTTGAGGTACAGATGGATCAGTACTCTGTGTATTAATCAGATGTCAAACACGCACCGTTGCATTTACGCTTAGCAAGCTTAAGTATTGAATATAAATTAGTGTAACACTCTTGTAATGATAGTCAAAATTGCCATGTAGTCATGCAATATCTTGATCTACAATATTCATATCAACAAATTTATCCTTGTCCTACTCGAACCACCATGTACAGCCACCATTAAATGTAAGTGCACTCGAGGACTGATTCCTCAATTGGACAGTTACAATGCATCGCTGTTACTACAATCATTGTCGCATATGCAATGTATACTGGATGGCGTCCTCTCTTTTAGTATATATTCCATGCTAGATGCTAAGCCCCACCTTTTATACGCTGTTGCCGTAATGTGTTTACTGTGATACAGAGAACCTCAAACCTTAAATTAATATTTCATTCAAACAATACAAGATTACCAGCCCATTTAATTCATTTCTCTTTCTTTCCATCTTGATTTGATAAACATACAGAGAATGAGCGGAAATACAGTATTCTTTAAAACTATCAATACGTTGGCAATCATTGCATTGCTACTCAGTTTGATCGGTAACTTGATTACCTGGTATTGTAAGTATATAAACCTTCTGCAGGCACTCTTCAGTTACTGATTTAGTGGTACTGTAGTCTGGAATTTCATCCTCGCTGCCATCCTCAAAATGTATGTATCATCAAATGACATTGGCCAAGCGTGTAACTTACATACCGCAATATTAGCTTCTTGGTCGTATGCTTGATTTTGATCGAGTATAGACAATCTCCTTCATTAGTGAAGCCATTCTCTTTCATGTTCTTTTTCCTTGGCCGTGGTGTTTGTAAGTATACCAGTTCTTATCAGATCAAGCACTCTCAGACTAATAATTTATTTGCGTAGTCTATTTGACGTAAGGCGCACATCCGTAGTTTGTATAGATCAGATCGATTAATCATGTCCTTCTTTATCAGCCTTGGCTTTGTTTCTATGGGTATTGATATTCTCTCCATCGTTGGTAGCTTCCTCGTAAGTATCAGCAACAAACAGCGAACACACCAAAACTAATGCCTTGCATCTAGCTGGTTCTTGTGGGCATCATCTACATTGTCCTCCACTTTACTAACCACAATGGCGAGCCCGAGTTCATGTCCTTTGTTAGATATCAGCGTCTCACCAGTGGGCTTTCTCACGAGTTGCCTACTACATCCTCTGCAGCAGGCACTACTCAGGTACCACACAATTCCTATCCTGTAGCTCATCAAGTGCCCCTTGATAACACACTCTCTAGCGGACAATACAGTAACACCAGCCCTGTCACTCCAGATGTCTCTCATCAATCAGCTACTCCCAATATTCCTCATAGTCCTGCTCTTCCTGTTCACGCAGCGCAAGACAAAACAGAAGTCTAAACGAGCACATCCCATTTTCTATCCCTCTATTCCTAAATTGTCTAATAACTCCCAATAAATAATCTCACTCTGCTGTGATTGGCCTGATCTGCTATGGTCTTCACCACATCCCATGCAAATTAGATTGTCACTCTTAGAGTCACAATCGAAAATTTCTTCTAAAAAAAAAAAAGTATATAAAGAAAGCAAAAGTAAGCAATGATTCTGTTTCTTTAGTGACCGTACTCTACAGGATCTGTATGCAGTATGTTTCAATTCTACGTTTTCTAAACTAGATACAATCCCAAAGCTAGTCGATGATTTTTAGTAGACCTTCTTTTGAGTGAAGTGTGCCAATCACTGCTCTCTGAGCAGTTTTTGTCAGTTGATGATCTCGTCTGTCTTTATTCCAAGGACATGACAAGGAAGGAGCTACAGGTCTGATAGCTTATTTACATTTTTTAACCAAAACTAAATGAAAAAATTTCTGAAATCCATCTGAAAGCAGGTGTCTGTGATGGATGTCAATGTTGTTGCACCTATATATTTGACCCTGTTGATTGTGATTTGACAAAATGGTTTTATTGAAATCTACATCATGAGCATCATACTATCATCGTTTAAAGTTGTTATATCCTCGAGTTCGTCTGGATAGTGCACTTTATAGCTTTTAACGGGGCTAAAGAAGAAGGACTTCAGCAGTTTTAAATCGTACTGGGAATCTTCTCGGTGAGGCTCCACACATTTGCTGGTGTATTTATCCCAAATCAACTTGTTGTGTCTCCCCCGATGCGTTGTTTTGATCTTGAGTCTCATGTTGAAGATTTCTCTAGGCAGATTCTTGTCCTTCATCACAACATTGATATGGTTTTCATCATCTAGTAAAAATCTACCATGGAAGCACTGCTTTTTGTTGTAATCAGGCTGAAGTAACTTGACTACCTGCTGCGGTTCATTTGTGGTGACATGCTTTAGCACTTTGCCGTTGGGGAAAAAGCGAAGGTATCGATAGTAAGTGACAAAATGAATTGGTTTATCCCATCCAGTATCAGAAGCGCCAGGTCGAACATAGTTACATGTTGAAATGTAGACACCATCGTATCGAATGCGTGGTCTATCAATAAACATACGCATCCAATGTCCATTGTACTTTTGCACATAGTTTGTTTGAAATCTCTTTGATTGCTCCAAGGTCATTCCTGGTTCTCTGAATACTCGAATGCAAGCATATTGCCAGATGGAAGGATCTCTACTCAATAGAAAGAACTTTTTGCAGGCAAGTGCAAAGTAGGGCATTGCTGACACTGAGTGTAATACCAAAATTCGCAACATGTGCAACATGATTTCACCTATAATTCGTATTGCAATTGAGTTGATGCTCTTTTCTCTAATCTCCTTTACTTACTCGGTAACTTGGCAATTGCCACTGGTTTGTAGTCTACCTTTGGTATATAGGATAAGTTTTCTTCGTTCAAAAATTGATCTATCAGATCAGCCAAAGGATCTCTTCTGGTAGCCGATGGAGCTGTGTACTCTTTCCCCAGAGGGACAATGTGCTTGAAGTCTTCTGTATGCTCTTTGGGTTTATCCTGATTAGCTTGTATCTTTGGGAGAATTTCCTTTTGATAATGCTTCTGATAAGCATACTGAATATCAGGATCCAATTTGAAGGCACGGCGATAACCCTCCAGTGCTGCATGATGCATTACATTAGCCATGATACAAGCTAAACACCCTCTCCACACACTGCTTACCTTTGCCCAACTTTCCTTGCCTTTCGTTGTCCACAGCTACGACATAGTGGTCCATTGCAGTGACAGGTACTGCTCCCTCTGTAGTTGTCAATGCCTCTGTCTGTTCAATTAAGTTAGCAATAACCTCTTCCTCGCCCTTAACGTGGTGTGAGGTGTCTTTCTCCTTGTTGGAAGATGAAGGCTCGTCAGGATGCTTTTCATGGCTATGCTTTTCCTTGACTTCTTGACGCCAGGCATTTCTGAATTCCTCTAATGCGTTTTCTTGTTCAGTGCTTTTATCAGTGTTACCCATGGTGAAATTAACAGAAAGACGAGTGAAATGGAAAAGAGTGAAACGAGAGATAAAGAGAGAAGAAATGAAGAAAAAAAAATCAAAAATGTCATGTAATATAGGTAGAACCATGATGACTAATTGAGACTCAGCTCATCATTCTGCTTGTATCTGTTGCTTCGATGCACAAGAAATTAGCAACCAGAGACTATTATCCGCAGCAAGAGCTAAATATACTTTGCTTTAAATATATTACATATGCTTATCCAATATGTGTTGTTTTGACATTAGCATATCTCAAAACAATGGCAGGCATCCTTCTATGAAATTTGCCATTGAATTCTGCATCATCAGGATGAAACATACGCCCTTGATCCGTTACTTGGATACAATTGTATTATGGCTCTCAATTCAAGTTTTTTTTTTTTTTTAAAGCTTCATTAAGAAATATATAATAGCTTACTAAGTCCCGCAGTAAAGCCTCATTAACGATGTCTTTTGCCTTTGCATACAAATTCCATAAGGTGATGTACCTGTAGTGCACTCATCAGCAAATTTGGTGCCAAGATCCAATAAGACGACCAAGGGAGCTCCACATATTGCTACAGACATAAGCGTTTATAAATGGGGCTTCATTGATTGCCGTTAAAAATGTCAGCGTGTGCACCCCGATCTAAGTTGAGGTTGATGGCATTCCACATTTGATTTCCAGAAGTTCAAAATGTAAAGGGCTATAGCACAAAATAGTACATCTCACAGCGTATTCTAAGTCTACACCACTGTATTAAACAGCTCACACAAGTCTATGCTTGCGCAGTCAGAGGTTTCTCCTCTGTCACCATTTAGTAGAGTATCTAGCAGAAGTTTCTTCTTCAATGGTATCACCACAACTAGAGCTACTACTATGAATGCGAAACCAGCTGCTAATCATCATCTACAGCATCAGATTATACCTCAAAACATTTGCCTCGGTGGTACTATATAATGCGAGTGTATACATATTGTCTAACCTCATAAAATTACTAATGTTGATGAAAATAAGCACATTTGAGTGTCGATATCTTCTGTTGTAAGCTTCGCCTTGCGCAGTGAAGGGCACGAATGGGTTACTCTCGATCAGAAGATGCTTTCTGAACCACTTTTGCAACTTTTGCAAATCGTTGATTTTCACCCCTTTTTTCATGAGGTATACCTCATTGAAATCTTCAAAATTTGCTTAATCGCATTTTTCGCCTGGAAAATGAAGCAATTTACTACAACATAAGCTAGTACAAAATGACCGTAAAACTTGCATTTTTCGTGTAGCAGTGTCTCCATTCAGGTTGCACTAGCAAAAAATTGACTTTTTGGGCAAAATGTGAAATAGTAGTTTTTGAAAGATTAGTCTTTCTTTTTGCATTAGAATTCAAAATAAAAACTGCTATAGGATAGAGCGTGCTTTGTTGCATATATTATGATAAGGATTTATGTCGAAAAAATTCTTCAAAGATTATATTTTTTCTAGAAATGTCGAGATGGAACAAAACAAAACCAAATGCAAAAAGGTTCAATTTAAACACCGCTCGTTATATACTTGCATGCCTTGAATTTTGCGAGCATAACGTCTGACATCTGTCAACCATCATCATCTCTAATATATTTACCAGAAAACTATATAAAGAAGACGTCGGAATGGCCAATCAGAGATCAGAGACGTAAAAAACTTAAAGCACTGAGTACTGTACAAGGTTCGAAAAAACCACTGGCGAAGCTGGCACTGGGGAGGGAGACTTGGTATCTAATTCAACATTTGGTAACGTTGACCTATAAGGGGGTTTTACCTCAGCGAAACGAAGGTGCAAAACCATAGTATTCAAGCAGCAGATTCAGGATTTCATTTCCATTATTAATAGACTTATCAACAACATAACGCATCAGAATTTGCATGAATTAGCTGTACCAAAATCAATATTCTTTCTATCTGAACTAGAAATTGCACAGGCCGCAGAAATGCCCTTTCTCCGGAAGATTTCAGCTACCAAGGATGCGCTTTATGCCGTGTAAATAAAAGCTATAAAGCAATACATAACCAAATTTGACAGCTTTCAGGCCTTCATATCTTGACATGTAGACCTTTCTGAGCCATCGGAATGGCGCCAAACAATTGCACTTGAGTAGTAATAACTTTCTGACACCTTTGCTCAACTTTTTGAGGACCTAAAAAATATCGTCAAAAATCGACCAAAAACCATGAGGTACCCCTCATGCTTTTCATCAAAAATCAAACAATCGCATTCTTCACCTTGAAAATGAAGACTTGTACTATGGTATATATCAAATCAAAATGTTTCTCTCGATCCAAAGCAACTTCTGAAACCACTTTTATGAGGTTTTCATATGCAAAATTTTGACATTTTGGCCTAAAATCTCATTTCATATTTTTTGGAATTGCTCAATAAGTTCAATCAACACATCTATTTTACTTGGCACTATTGGAAGCGTCTTGAAAAGTACTCCAAGAATGTATTAGGAAGCATCGGATGATTATTACAGTTTATATAGTCGAACTTCACAAAATTGTTCTGTCAAGTCCAAAATAGACGAAATTTGTCCAATCTTGAATAGAAAAAGATAAACTGTGTTTGAATTGATTTTGGCGGCGGCGCTGTTACTGGCTTACCCAAATGCCTTTCTGATGATGTAAATGACGATTGTGATGCTGATTAAATGGGGACAATGAAGCTGAATGAACAATTGTTTTGCTTGAAGACTTTTTCGGGGAGTTTTACCTCATAAAGGCGTCTTTTGCAATGACAATATTTCAAAAAAAGCGCTGTAGATCTTACACAAGTCCTGTATTTGCGCATAACCAGCATTATGCGCCATCTTAAGAGCATCAGCAGCTAATGGTATAACGATTCTACCATCAGAATATGGAGATCGTGGTTTATAAATGCCGCATAAAACTTGAGTACGTCAAGGATCATTTCGATGCTATTGTAGTATCTTTACAGCCTCAGGCCTCTACGTCTACATCCACTGGTGAAAGTGCATCCATCCCAGCTACACCGGTTATTGCTCCTTCTGACTCTGTAGCGTTCCTTCGCCGTGACCTCTCTGGCATGGACATGGCATCCGACATGTCTTCTGTGTCTGGCGCCCCTTTACATGCAGCAATGTCTTCAATCTCGCATAATCCCTCTGATATATCCATGGTTGAAGCTCCCCCAGACAATGTAGAATACCGCACTTGTACCGTGTCTTTCAAGAGCCTTTTACGAAAGGGCTTGCCTTCCGACCTCGTCGAGTCATTTTTGCAGAAGCTAAATACTGTATTGCATGATGTATCTGACTATGTTATGGACTTGCAATTGGTGGTATATACATTGATGCTCTCAATGAAGTCCTCGTAGCTCTTAGCTTGTAGTGGTAATAGATTCTCCCCTCTCACCCATCTCGGTGCTGATGAAGGCAATTTGACTGACAGTACTGGTACTGCTGCTGGTAACGATGGCAATGGCGTTGATCAAGTTATTACGAACGATGCTATTGACAAAGATGAAATTCGTGATGGCAGTGTTAAATGCGATGGAGATCTCAATGGTGATGATGGCGACGCCGGCGCTACTGCTAATGGCCGTGGTCAGACAGCAATATTTGAACCTCTGCCAGAGTCATACAAGATGCGTGCTGAAGATATCGACTTTGGTTCTGGCCAATTCATGAGGCGAAAGATCACTTTGAAAGACAAGAAAACAACAGAAGAAGGAAAGAGGGTTCAAGAGATTCAGCAACAATTGCCGAGATCCAGTGTGTTCAGAGCCAAAGAGATAGAGGATGTCATGTCAAATCTTGATGCACACAGAAGCAATGGCCAAGCATTGCGAGCGTTCTATCACTCAAAGTAGCAGAATACTCTCTCTAACAAGATTGAACACATTGACATGCGTTTCCGTTCTTGTTTCGCTTCACGTGAAAGATCTTTTTGTGCTGGTGTTCGTCCCCAAACGTCACTTACAATGTTCATTAGAGATCGTGGTCTTTGTGTCGGCTCTCGTTTGAAGGGTCATTTGAAGTATGGTGGAAAATGGAAGCCTCGCTTACATTCAACTGTCGCCACTGTGCATACTACCAACGAACACAAGACATCCCAGACGTGCATGTACTGCTTTGGTCCCACCTCTTATCCCACACAAACCATCAAAGCAAAGGATGGTAAGACCAAGACGAGATCCATTCATGGTGCATTCCTGTGCTTAAATCCTGCCTGTGTGTCCGTTCTCAATTACAGAGCCATTCAAGGTAGAGACAGGACATCTGCTTTGGCCATCGCTGTCTCTGGGCTTTCCACTCTCTTATTCAGGCAGCCATTGCCTGTATTCAACCCAAAACCCAGTCAATCCAACACTGGCATTATCTCCAAGACCACCTCTTTCTGCAACAGAAACGAGAAACGGGACGGCAGCGGTGCTGCATTAGCGGATGCTTGAGTCTTCAAGGTAATAATGTGCTCAATCTGGCTTTTTTCAAGAGACTGCTTTACTGATTTATTATACTCGCGATTCAAGTTTTCGTATATACTTTGCAGTGTTAAGCCTGGCAACATAATATTCACTCAAATTACATGCGAACCACCCACTTGCGAGATACTTCAAAAGCCTCTGTAACGCATATTGATATTTTCTATTGGAAAAACACGTGTTTTTATATGGGTGCTATTCATTTTGGCTGCTTTTGTTGAGTTGAGTGGTGATGAGCAAGGAACACCATACTCGAAACAGTAGTAGATGCTTTAATAAATACTGTTTTCCTCATTTATAGCTGCTTCAAACTGTAAGCACACTCAATCCAGATACTATTTCATTTAAAAAGAGAAGATCGTGCACTCCTGAGGGGTTGTAATCGGCCGTTATTGGTTTATGATGAATAGGACGACTGCAGAGAAAATAGTGTCTGGAAGCATATGACAAAAGAAGGTTGCATGGGCAATGCCAATTCAAGGCACGTGAGGAAAGCTTAGGTTGCTCAAAGAGTACAAGAGAAAAAAAAGCCACTATGAATAGCATATGGACGCCAACTTCAGGATTCTGCTTATTTACTTCAAACCTTTTTTTTTTCTCTCCTCGCACTCTCTAACATTTTTGCTTGGAAAACAACATGAGTGATACTCAAATAGCGACATCTTCCTTGTTAGCAGACGCATTTTCAGAGCATGTGCAAGCAACTATTCGACTCACCAAAGTGGCGCTTGAGCTTGAGTGGACAGTATTTACACGCTTTACTGTAGGGGTTATTGCAGCAACCATTTTATCGGTCATCTATCTTGTCTGGACCCTTCGTCATTCTCGTCGACCTCTCGTAGTCTGGGAAAAACTGAACAAACCACTCATCAAGATTTTTCGACCCAAGATATTTGCATTTCTGCTGGGAAATATCAATCCCTATTCTGGATCTATAGGTAGGATAAACACGGTATCAACTGAGCGATAAAGCATGGCCTTGCTTATCAGGATACTTTTGTAGACATGAGAATTTCAACCTTTTCTCGTGGATTCTGTACTGGTTTTATGCGGGTAAGAAAAGAAATGATGTGATCAGAAAAAAAAAAAGTTAAGATTATCAAATGTTCACAAATCACATATGTAGGATAGACACAGCAACCGTAATCCATTCAAAAGGTATGAGCATCTGATGTTCGGGGTGGAAATGCAAAAAAGTGATATTCACATTTCTTAATAGTATTCATGCTACGGCACTTGCTACGTTTGCAGAATCTGTTGGTGAATTGGGCTTATTGAGCAGTTTGAAAGACGACAAGGATGAAATTACGCTGGTGTCGTTGGAGCTAGAGGTAATGTCGAGATATCTCTTTTTGGGAGGGGTAATATCTATTTATAATATTAAATCACCACTACCCTTTACTTGCTTTAATGTATAGTTTATTAAGAAGGCAAGAGGATTGCTGACGGCTTCCACTGATTTCACCATCCCTGATGAAGATACCAAAGAAGTCAAAATTGATGTGGTTGTCAAGGATCGCACATTAGACACAGTGGCGATCGCTCACTTGGTTTGGAACATCGAAAATAAATCTCTTTAGTGAAACATTAATCATAAATCGTAGCATTTTTTTTTTCAAAGCACCGAATGGAGCCAACATTTTTGTTGTATAATTTTTCTTGTGTGTGTGTGATGTGCACACTTGCATACAACTAGAACTCAAAATACTAAAAAAATGTTGGTCCCTGTTAAATTTTTCTTTATTTTGATAGTCCTTTTCTCTCTTCCTCTCTCTCTCTCTCTCTCTTCCATTACTTTCTTTCTCTTCTCTCTACTTTTTCTCTCTCTTCTTTTAACAAACCCCTCGGCTTTTTGTTAGCAGTAAAGATTGACATTTTGGAAAGAAGGCGATCTATTTCTTTTTTTTTTTTTTTTTTTTTTTTTTTTTTTTTTTTTCAAAATATAACTGGCAATGTCCGAGAATAATTTATTTCAGTTCGCTCAAGTAATAGCTGAATTGCCCATTCAAAACTCGCCTCAACCATCGACATCTCAACCGCCGCCATCGCATCATCCTCAACAACAGCACCAGCAACACTCAGATACCATCCACAACTACAATGCGAGATATTTGCGTATACGAAAAGTAAAAATGTCCACAGCGCAAAAAAAAAAAAAAAAAAAAAGAGTATGACTAAAAAAAAAATCTGTCAAAATGTGTAGAATGCTTGTGTCGTATGCAGCGTGTGTTTCACTTGTTCAAAAGTAAGTTGGGTTTATTGCAAAAGTAGACAACTTCCTTTTTTGATCATTTTTGTGATTTTTTGTTGGTCTCTTTATAGTATTATGGGGTCGATTGTACATGTCCAGAAGTTCAGCCAAGAAGAGGCAAAAACTTGCCTGAAGGGGGATTGGATTCGAGGGCAAAGAAATTGCATCGCAATGATCCAGACGATTTCGAATTCTCAATAAATTGGATCAACGAAAATGCACACACCATGTACAAAGATGAGAATGATCGAGTGATCGGTCTGAGAGAGTTGTCTGAAGTGTCACTCTGTAAAGCACATTCCAGTACGCTTTACAGAGCAAAGAAGCGACATGAACGGAACAGGGACATGATTCATGCTGCTCCTCCTTCTCCAGCCGATTCAGCAGCAAACGATCATATCCAGCCTTCGCCATACATGAATCCATATCCATTAAATCAGTCTATCGGCTCAGGTGGCCTAGCTGCCAAAGTGAGAGAAATCAGTTCTTCAAGTCAATACCACCATCACTATCCACCACCACCTGCACCATCTCATCAACAACAGCATCAGCCTCAAATGTTACGCATGCACGATGTACCCGATTTCACGAGATTGTCACACTCTACTTCAATGAAAAGAAAAAGAACATTCAAGCATGCTACTAAATCACCCAAGATGGAGTCTCAACCTCAACAACCACAACAGCAGCCGCACCAACAGAGGCCTCATCACAGTGTATCAACACCTCTTTTTACTAGCTCCTCTCGTATGAACAACTTTCTCCAACAACACTCATTTACCCCTAGTACCTCTACTTCAAATGTACCTGCCATGCCTCAAGGTTTTCAACAGCATGTTCAACAACAACAACAGCAACAGCAACAGCAACAGCAACAACAACAACATCATCAGCAACAGCAAATTATACATGTACCGCAACAACATGTCCATGTACAGACACCTCAACTAGTTGATAATTTCCCTTCCCAATTACCCCCTCTTCAAACTCGTAACCATCATGAGCCGATTGATCCTTTACCCACATCCTCATCTTCTTTGCATGCTCAACAACAGCAACAACAGCAACAGGCCCAGTCGAATCAGCAACAGCCACCGTCTCAAGCTCAGGTATATCCTCATGACACAATCATGACAAGCCCTCGACCTGAAGAAGCCGTTGCCCCCCCTCCCATGGTAATCGAAACGGTATCTTTGCGTCCTCTATCTACATCCAGTGAGGTCCCCTCTCCTTATTATTTTCGCAATCTAGCCATCACAGATTCATTCACGTTTCGTGATTTACTAGCAGAGATAGACATGACAGGTTCACCTCCTCCTGGAAAACGTATCGTTATATCCGATTCTGAGAAATTTTACCCGCTAGATCAAGCTATCCGTAATGTCATCAGAAGACCCAATTCCACGCATCTGGAATTGTGCCTGGGTTTGACAGATAAAGTCTCTATTGATTGGAATACAATTTCTTCATGATTTCATTGATACATTCTCTATTTTCCTAAACAGAAATCATCCTTTCTGCGTGTGTATATAAAGTCATCTGTTTATGATTAAGCTTGTGAATTATTCTGTGTCCTTTTTTCTTGTGTATCGTTGTGACAAGGGCGTTATATGTCAGTCTATTTGACGCTTTATCTGATATTGGAAGCATGCATCACAAATGTAGGCCAACCGCCAGAAGCAGCCACTAGGAAGACCTTCAAGATTTGGAATTAGGCTTCTGATCAGAGCAATTTTTAGAGAGCCATTTGCTTATCCAGTTATATCGCTTGCTTAGTCATTCATCAATTGATTCGACTTGATTCAATCCCTCAATATATTTTTCTATTCCAAGCACAGTGCAATTCTTTTTTCTTCTTCACTTACATTAACCTTTACAAGATACTCAAATGGTCAATACACCCACATTAAATATCACAGACCCATCAGGTAGGGGCATGAGCCGCCATGCCAAATTTGCCTTGTATTCACAGCTAGCATCGAAATAGACCAGACATTGAATGTCCCAGAATTTCCCTCTCGAGATGGCCCTCAACGACTTGTTGCAGCAGCTACGAAACAGCCTCGTAATCGAGAAAAAGTCAGATTAGAGCCTGGCCATTCACCTTTAGATTGGGCCAAGCTGACAAGCTCTGGAAAGGATCTTCGAGTAAGTATCAGTTTAGAACAACTCTTCCCGCATGGTTCTCAACCAGTTAGTAGGGAGTTCCACAGATTGGTAGATACACATTAGAACAAATTAGAGAGCATAGAACACCTGAGGATGCTTGGACAGCTATCCAAGGGAAAGTGTACAATTTGACACCCTATCTCAAGTTCCATCCAGGCGGAGTGAAGGATTTGATGCGTTGCGCAGGGAGAGATGGTACAAAGCTATTCAGTAAGTTGCTTTCAGGGCATCACAAAAGAGTGCTATTGACATGACGTTATATAGTGCTGACTCATTCTTGGGTGAATATTGATTATTTAATGGATAAATGCTTGGTTGGATTCTTGGTACCTTCGAATTAGTAGATGTTGTTACCCTGTAAATGTATATAGATAAAGTTTTAATTACGACATGCCTCTTCTTTGCCTTTCTTCATTTGGGTGATGCATGATCAGATGTCTTCAATCTTTCCCTCTTTCTTTGCGTATTTTTAGTCCTCTCTTGCTCCTCTTTTCTTTTTCTTCACCCAACATGCCAGACGACACTAAATCAAACCCGCCTTTCTGGAATCCAAGAGTAGATCCTAGCACTATCAAGCCCGTAGAAACCCTCACCTTCTCTAGACCCAGGTAATGCGCTCATCTCTCTTTGAAACGTGTCCCCCAAAGTTTAATCTTAATGTTGTACCCAATATGATATTGACAGACCGTATGATTACTCTGGCGTCGCTTGGGATCGAAAGGATTTTTGGTATCAAAAAGAGCCCATGACTGAATACTACTATTGGAAGAAGCAAGATGGAAGGGATAAGAAATAGATTTGGGTGCACAATTGCCATAATAGTGTCTCAAACAACAATCATTCGTTTAAAGCCTTGAAGTATACAGACGCAGCAAAATAGGTCGCCGATTTGTATCGTTTGCTGTATTTTATGCAAATAAAAAGTTACAGAGTGATGCCTATGTGAGATCACAGCATTTGGACACTGTTGACACCAAAAAAAAAATGCCTTGTTGTATGTTTAAGATTGAAACTATGCTGCTCCCCCCAACAATACAAATGCCATTGGCATTAGGTCTCAACATTGCGATCTGCAAATCTGATAACAATTAATTTCAATTGTAAAGCACCTTTTGTGATCTCAGGGATGTCTTATCATTAAAAATACAACATTTTTAGTCTGAATTCATCATTGTCTTTACGCACAACGTTTTGAAAGGCGGTATTAGTCTAAAACAGCAGCCCCTTGAGACGGAAAGCTATAAAGTGCATGGCCTGATAATTAAAAGCAATTAGAAATATAAGGCCCAAGGCGCGGATACAATGGGTAATCATAGATTCACAAGCACTCAACTCGAAATTTCAAGACCAAGGTGCTCAAAACAACATTGCAATACATAGAAAAACCTTTGTCCGTTGCAAACTCTAGCAAAAGACAAACAGACAAGACAGCCAATTCATTCTATATTAAAAAAAAAAAGATCAACAAGTTTTATGTAATAAAATTTGAGAATTATAAAGATATGCGAAAATATAAAATCAAAAAGGGATGTGTAGTAATTGTATGCTAACTTTTTTCTTCTTCTCTCTTTCTTTTTACTCGGGAGCATGAGAGAAAAGGTAAGAAACTGATTCACCATTGTGAGTTCTACGAATGGCTTCAGCAAGAGTAGGTGAGATATCAATGACATCAAGCTTGGGGCAAATATCCTATCATCATGACAACAGCATCAGTAAACCCTACTTCCGTTAGCTATACTCATCATCAACTTACCATCTTATCTTGGTGAGGGATTGTGTTGGTAACAACAAGCTTCTCGATAACAGAGTCATTAATGACCTTGATGGCCTTTCCAGAAAGGATACCATGGGCAACGATAGCGTACACTTTGACAGCACCATTTTCCATCAATGTCTTTGCAGCCAAGCCCAAAGTACCACAAGTATCGGCCATATCATCCACCAAGATGGCAATCTTATTTTGTACATCACCTACCAACACCATGCGAGAGACTTCGTTGGCTCTCTTACGTTCCTTGTGAATCAAAGCGAAATCCAATTCAAGGCGATCAGCAATAGAGGTAGCACGCTTAGCACCACCAGCATCGGGAGAAACAATAATGGCATTTGTCCAGTCAGGAATCTTGGTACGAATGTATTTGATCATGGAGGGCTCACAATATAAATTGTCTACAGGAATGTTGAAAAAGCCTTGGATTTGAGAAGCATGAAGATCCATAGTAATGACATGGTTGGCACCAGCAACGGTCAACATATTGGCGGTTAATTTAGCAGTGATGGGAGCACGGCTCTTGTCCTTCTTGTCTTGACGAGCATAAGGGAAACAGGGGATAACGGCAGTGATTCTACGAGCAGAAGCAGTTTTACAAGCATTGATCAAGATCAAGAGTTCCATTAAATTGTCATTGATTTCACCACAACCAGATTGGATGATAAAGACATCCTCATCACGAACAGATTCACCAACAGTAACAGAAGTTTCTTGGTTGGAATACTTCATCACAACAGCCTTGGCCAAGTCAATACCAATACGCTTAGCAACAAGCTTAGCGAGTTCAGGGTGTGAGTTACCAGTAAAGATTTTGATAGCGTTATCAGACATTTTGAAAGAAGAAGGGGTATGTATGCGTTTGTGGTGTGTGTGTGTTGTGATTTGCGTGCGCTGTGGTTGTGATTTGCAAGTAGATGTGTGTATAAAAAAGAACAACGAGGGTTCAAGCTTATGATTTTGCTATCCAAATGTTGCTATTTTGTTGTCTATGAAAAGAGAAGAAAAAGAAGAGGAAAAAAAAAATCTTTAAACATAGTCCCATGTGCGATTCAATTCCCGGGTGACTTTTTCCAAACGAGTATCGATTTGCAAGGTTCTTGGTTACTGAATCTTTCTAGAAACCAATTGATCTCTTGCTAGAGCATCCTGTAAATGTTGCTGGCTAAAGATAGTCAAATAGTATGTAAGATGTTTGATGCTGAAGCAGTTCCCATAATAGATAATAACGATGGATACAATGCCACATCAAAACACCATCATTGTGGGATGAGTGTGTGAGTCATACCAGAGATGGCTGTCAATTTTTTTTTTTTTTTTTGGGACGCTAAGAAATTAAAATGATCCCATGTTTCCCATTCATTGCAACGGAGAGAGGCACACTGAAATTACTCGAGTACAACGACTGCCAGGGCTTCATGGTGTACGACACTGATCAAAGGTTGCCCAATGTCAAATTTGATATCTGGAAACACTTACTTCAACATGGATACACATTTGCCTAGATCATTAAATATTTCCATATTCCAACAATACCGTTTTCATTGGGTAACCATAACATTTAGCTGATATCCATGTAGCGTGGGGAATTAGAGTTTTTCGATCGTATTTTCAAATGGAAGAAAAAATTTATCCTTCAGAATTTCACATGTCAATGCCTCAATAACGATTAAGCGAATGCCAGTTTCGTTGGTTTGAAACAGCACTGGGATGGGACGATCAACATCAGATCCTACAGTCATCTTGATGGAGCCCTGATAAGATCGAGACAAAAGAAGGCATTGCGCTGCATTGGAGAACGAAGACTTGATTTATCGCTGTACCCTGATGATTTCCCTTTCCAAAAGGCATTTGTCCATGTAAGTTGATTCACAATAAATTGATCATGTATTATTTTCTCTGCTTTCCGATTTGCCTACCATTCCTAAGCGGATATGATATGGACCACCTATATTTCAGCTAATTTTATACAGTAGTATACAGGACTTGTGTAAGATCTACAGCGACTTTTTTGAGAGATTGTCATTGCAAAAGACACCTTTATAGGGGGAAACTCCCACAAAAGCAAAGAAAAATATTCGGACTAAGCGATAGTTTCTTCAGCTCCATGATCCCCGTTTGATCAGAATCGCAATCATCATTGCCATCATCATTGTCACCATTAGAAAAGGCATTTGGGTCAGTCAATAGCAGTGCCGCCCGCCGCCAAAATCGATTCAAACTCAGTTTACTTTATTTTTTTTCTGCTCAATATTGGACAGATTTGATCTTTTTTCGACTTGACAGAACTGTTTTATGAGATTCGACTATATAAATGGTGTTGATCACCCGATGCTTCCTAATACACTCTTGGAGTGCTTTTCAAGGCGCTTCCAATGGTACCAAGTAAAATGAATGTTTTTAATGAGCTTATTGAGTAATTCCAAAAAATATGAAATAAGGTTTTTGGCCAAAATGTCAAAATTTTGCATATGAAGACCTGATAAAAGTGGTTTCAGAAGTTGCTTTGGATCGAGAGAAACATTTTGATTTGATATATACCATAGTACAAGTCTTCATTTTCAAGATGAAGAATGCGATTGTTTGATTTTTGATGAAAAGCATGAGGGGTACCTCATGGTTCTTGGTCGATTTTTGACGATATTTTTTAGGCCCTCAAAAAGTTGAGCAAAGGTGTCAGAAAGTTACTACTACTCAAGTGCAATTGTTTGGCGCCATTCTGATGGCTCAAAAAGGTCTACATGCCAAGATATGAAGGCTTGAAAGCTGTCAAATTTGGTTATGTTTCATACATTTGCTTATCAATAGGCTCATTTTTGTTATGATGCAAAGACGTAAAGATATTGTATACAGTAATTCAGATTTAGAGCATATTGCTACATCCCAATATTTAGCTTCAAACATTAGGCTGAGTGGCACTGTTATATTGCTGTATCACAGCGCAGTGATACAGTTTATTATTGAGGTGGTGGCGGCTGTAAGGCACGCTGGACATTCTAGACGCAATAGATAGTCTTCATCTAGTCCTTTCCTTTCATAACGTATACTAGAAAACTTGAACACAAAAGGGTCGTCGTAGCCAACCAGAGATTATAAGCCGGTCTCCCAAGAACATAACGCATCTAATTTAAGTGATTTCTTGCCTACTATTTGGATATGGATTGAATGATTTGTGATTTCCAGGCAATATGTGGTAGCATATACCTTACCATATTGAAGCAAACATGCAAAACCAAAGTAACCAAGCAGTAAATTTGGCTTCTCATTTTCATTATTAATAAGCTTACCAATAACACAACATGTTAAAATTTGCATGAATTAGCTTTACCAAAACCAATACGCCGCCTATTCGAATTAGAAATTACACAGGCTGTAGTATTACTCTTTTAGAAGATATCAGCTACCAAAGATGTAATTCATGCTGTGTAAATAAACTCTATAAAGCAATATATAACCAAATTTGACAGCTTTCAAGCCTTCATATCTTGGCATGTAGACCTTTTTGAGCCATCAGAATGGCGCCAAACAATTGCACTTGAGTAGTAGTAACTTTCTGACACCTTTGCTCAACTTTTTGAGGGCCTAAAAAATATCGTCAAAAATCAACCAAGAACCATGAGGTACCCCTCATGCTTTTCATCAAAAATCAAACAATCGCATTCTTCACCTTGAAAATGAAGACTTGTACTATGGTATATATCAAATCAAAATGTTTCTCTCGATCCAAAGCAACTTCTGAAACCACTTTTATCAGGTCTTCATATGCAAAATTTTGACATTTTGGCCAAAAACCTTATTTCAGATTTTTCGAAATTGCTCAATAGGTTCATCAAAAACATTCATTTTACTTGGTACCATTGGAAGCGCCTTGAAAAACACTCCAAGAGTGTATTAGGAAGCATCGGGTGATCAACACCATTTATATAGTCGAATCTCATAAAACAGTTCTGTCAAGTCGAAAAAAGATCAAATCTGTCCAATATTGAGCAGAAAAAAAATAAAGTAAACTGAGTTTGAATCGATTTTGGCGGCGGGCGGCACTGCTGTTGACTGACCCAAATGCCTTTTCTAATGGTGACAATGATGATGGCAATGATGATTGCGATTCTGATCAAACGGGGATCATGGAGCTGAAGAAACTATCGCTTAGCCCGAGTATTTTTCTTTGCTTTTGTTGGGCATTTTTATATCTAACAACGCTAGTCAGCCTGGCTTGCCAGCAAAATACATGTAATCGCAGCTTTTTGATCGTGCCTTGCAGCATTTCAACATGGCATGCAGGCAGTATGCCTTCCATTAACTCGCTTAAAAGAGGCTATTGCCGCTGGCTAGAAACATAGTTCGGCATGTGTCGAGGTTGTCTTTAAAACTTGTATCAGAATGTTCATTGGGAAAAATAGCTGCAATCTCGTTGACAGCTGGCAGATTCTGAGAGCGCCTGTCTTCACTGACAGCTAGCTCCACTCTCATTTGAGGGTTGAATCGAATGTAAGCATCCACGTTGATATGATTTCAGGCTTTTCGCCCTTCTTCACTTAGGATCTCTTGGACATGTTCATAAATGCAAACAAAGGTTTTTTTTTTTGAGCCTTGTCCGGTACTCAATATCAAATAGCTGCCTAATATTGGCAAACAGCATCTCAATATATACATATAAACAATGTAAAGCAATAACAAGCTAGGCCTCAAGTATATGCTTCGTCATGGAAAGAGACAGACATAAAAGTATAGCATTCTGTATTATACAAATCAATATACCTAATGTTGCGCTCAAGTGCCATAAGTATGGAATCAGTAGGTAGCCGGATTTAAGCCTGTTCCTAAGGCTCCTCATCAAGTTGAATAACAAGAAGGCATTGCTCCATTGTAGTATCACTTTGAAGGTTGATTCCAACACCAATAGTTACTTCTTCCACTTTGATCCATGGGCCTCAGCATAGCATACAGTCGTTTCCATTGTTTGTTTTGCCAACAAAAAAAAACTCCTCTCTGAAAAAAAAATCCATGTTGTTCAATCAATCCCATATTCCACTGGTAGCGCATAAATCAGCACTTGAAAGAGCAACTACCTTTCGCTCTGATACTGACCTCACCGTGAAATCAAGTAGACTTCATTCAGTTCAACTTGAAAAGCTGATGCCTTTCTCCAAATCACATCTCCCACATCCAACTCATCAACACCATCAAATAAAACGATCAAAGTGTGTATATTTGACAAGATTTCTACATATAGATACTTGCCCAAGCCAAAATCTTAGTTCACCATTCAAATGAACGGATCCATCTCTCACAGGACGTAAACCTGTTTTGGCATCGTGAGAGTCCGCTTTTCCTTCAACGTCTAAAGTGTCAGCAACATAAAACCAGACCTGCCTCTATCATCCGTTAAGGAAGAAAGAAAAACAAGTTACCTCCCCGCGTAAATCACGCCAATTCAGGTACGTGCCAAAGCACTGTAGTATAGTAAAATACTAGACCCAAGCTAAAGCGGCCGCTAGAGAGATAAACCGATCGTACATTGCATCTTCACTGACCAGAAACGCAGAGAGTTCCATTCTTGATACTTACGGGGCGATATACTTCCACCAGGCCTGAAGAGCTACTAATTCATGCCAATAAAGACATTATTTTTATTTGAGTTTTAGAAAAACCAAAAAAAAACGTCAATCAAAAGAAAAGAAAACATCCTTGTGAGAACAAAGTAGTTAACATTTAAAAAAGCTAAAATGTCAACCGCCTGATGAGTCAAAAGAATTGCCCTCTGATAAGATTCTTGTTTCAATTGACTGAGAGCAGGTTTTATTCATCACAAGGCCGGATCGCCATGTCAGAAAAAACCAACATGGAAACAAGCCAGTTTGGGAGGGTTAGGGTTGGGAGTTTCATGAACGTTGGCTCTCCACCGTAAGCAAAGAAGTAAAACTAAAGAAGAAGAAGAAGACGAATGCAGAATACGCGTTTGGATTATGTAGGCTCCGAGATGAGACGTCATTTTGAGGTCCAATGTCCACAGACACACACACACACACACACATACGCAATTTGATTACGCGGAAATGTTACTCACATAAAGGTTCTTTTTCATAAAGGCTTTTTTTCTTGTATTTTGCTTTATCCATCATACCTTTTTAGCAACCTATATATATATATATATACACAAAACAGATAATACAACATGGAGTGTCTTTTCGGAATTACAGGCAATGGATTTACTTTACTCGCTGCCGATACTATCAGTGCTCGTAGCATCGTTGTCATGAAAGGCACTGAAGATAAGTCTCGTGAATTGAACGCGCACACTGTTTTGCTCTACACTGGTGAACCAGGAGACACTGTCAACTTTGCTGAATACATTCAACGCAACATCAAGCTCTACGGCATCAGAAACGGTATTGAACTTAGCCCTAAAGCCACAGCCACTTTTACCCGTCGTCAACTTGCTGATTCACTTAGAAGCAGAGTAAGTTCTGTCAACATTTGGATAGCTGCTTGATCATCTCTAACCCGTTTCTGTTAGCACCCTTACTCAGTCAATTTGATTATTGGTGGTTATGATGCAAAGAAACAGCAACCCGAGCTTTACTGGATCGATTATCTTGGAGCCATGGCATCATTACCATTCTGTGCACAAGGCTACGGTGCTTATTTCTGTACATCACTCATGGATAGATACTACAAAGAGAATATGGATGTCGAAGAAGCAAAGAAGTTGATGAGCATGTGCATACAAGAACTCAAGACTAGATTTATCGTTAATATGCCAAATTTCAAGGTTCAATTAGTCGATAAAGATGGTGTACATCAAGTTGAATTGTAGTCTACTAGCTTCATTAAGGCAGAATACATATAAAAACGATTTAAATATATAGTTTATTCAGCGTGTTTGCGTGGGTTCAGTTATCTCGGCGTATCTGGGTAGCGTTGAAAGGGAAGGTGAGTAGGCGGGCGGAGGAGCATCATGCTGTTGCCTTTGTAACCTTCTGCTCCTTCTCTGCCGCCTTCTTTCTATTTGATCCTGTTCAATTAAATATAATCTCTGCCAGAAGAAGGAGGATGGATACGCTGGAGATGGTACAGTGATATGGTGATTTGTAACGGGCAGGCGTTGTGATTCTTGATTTACTAGCATCTGTTGCGCCTTCCTGCGCTTACAGTGCATCCTGATCAAGCGATAAGCTACGAATGCACCGAGAGCTGGAATTAGCAAGATGAGCCATTGTAACTTGGGAGTATTATTATCATAGACTGTTGCATCTTCTTCTAAGGTTATGTTCATTTTGCGTGGGAGATGAAATACATCAAACAAATCAAAAGAGTATGTGGTCCCATCTCCTTTCATGTAGTATAGCAAAGTCATCTGATGAGGTACATATATACAGAACACACAAATATTTAATTTTTTTTTTTTTAGTTGGAAGGAATAGTCTTTTGGAGGAATTGAGCAATATCTCTGATCTCCTCTTCATTGGCAGAATGAGGAAGACCTGGATACACCTTTCTAGTGACATTGTAGCCCATGGATTGTAATTTATCGGCTGATTCAAATCCATATTCAGGCTTTACAACAGGATCAGCGTCGCCATGACACATCAGGATGGGTGTCTTTTTGTTGGCATCACTGGCAATGCTAGGAAATTTAGCTGATAGGCCGAGCCATCCACTGCATCCAACAATACCAGCAAGCTTATATTCAGATGTTAATCCAGTCAACAAGGCAAGCACACAGCCTTGAGAGAAACCACCCACAATGATGCGATTGGCCGGGATGCCGTTGTCTACTTCATCACGGATGATACGGCTCACTAATCAAACACAGTGTGAGCATACAGCACTACCAATGGATTAGGCTGGTATGTACCTGAAGTAACGGAGGCAAGCATGCCCCTTTCATCCTCATCCTTCAAACTAAACTTGTCCAAACCTGAAAGATCGAACCAAGCTAATATAATCCAATATCAATCACTGTAAGCCCAGGATGAGTGCATCAAACTTACCAGGCATAGGGTAGCCACCATTCAGACTGACTGGTTTGATAGGTCTATACAATCGAATTAGCTATACAAGAAGTGCTCGAGTTGATAGAATCATACGCGTTGGGTAAAATCCACTTGACGTGAGGAAATAAAGGCGAGAGTTGCTCGGCCAAAAAAGACCAGCCTGACCCAGTGTCGCCGAGGCCATGACACCATAAAACAGTGGCTGTTTGCTTTGTCTTTGCAGCGACTACAACAGAGGTAAGAGACATTGTGGGCTTCTGATGAGGGGTAAAAATGAATTTTCCTTTTTCAAATGCTCGAGAATAAGGGCTGTAATTGAACGTGACGGTATTGCTTGAGAGGCATCCAATGATTACTGCTATGAAAAAGGGGGGGGGGGGTAATCAACGATTGAAACATGAATTGCCCACTTATGTAATTGGGATTTTATCATCCACTCATTGGATATTTACATGAGAAAGTAGGTATGCGTATCTGTGAATAGCTGCAATACCAGAACATAGCCACATTTCGATGTAACCCATTCTCCAAAGATGCAGATGTTTGTATGCAAAACGGGATGGCACAAGTTTCAGGCCCCGTTGTGTTGTGTTGAGCAAAGCACCTCCTTAAAATGAAACGAGTCGCCTTTTTCTCATTGTTGCTACTATGGTTCTCGACGAATATCAAGCATTAAACAAGCAAAGCAGCGATTGCACACTGCATTTTTTGGCTCAAGTCGAAAAGCAACCCACATGTAAGAGATACACATTGTGCACTGCTCAAATGACAGACCTTATTTACCACTGTGTTCTAGTCTCTTCTATGACCGAGAAGAGTTCGTTTTTACAATTACTTTTGAAAGATTTACAAAGCAACAAGGAGACATGGACCGAAGAGTGTAAGATAGTGGGTGCGATGGGACTACATACACACATGCTGATGATGTGGGCCATAGTAAAAACCAAGGCATTGTCTGTTATCAGAATTCTAGGCAGAGATCAAGCTGGATCAGATCCACTGTTCACCAAAGAGGCAAGCTAGTTCAATTACGCATAAAAATACATCCAAAGCTCATCCATCGACTAGGGAATCATGGTGCTTATTCAACTGGCTGGCCTGTACAAGCCCACCAAAGTCATTGACACACCCTCCTCCCAAGAAGCACTCAAATGTATCTGCAATAGCATCTTTTTAAATGAATCAGTGAAGCCCTATTTAGAAGAGGAGCATGTAGTGGATTCGTGCTTGTATGTGCTGCAGTCTGAGGATCGTTGCCTTGGCTTGGAAACTCAATTTCTGACATGCCGTATTCTTTTCTTTCTGACCGTACATCGATCTGATCTAGTAACATCACTGATCAAGTCAAATGTGGCAGAGGCTATTACCAGGGTACAAAGAAAAACATACCACGATGCTCATTCGAATGCTCACAAGTGCTTTTTTTTTTCAGGTCCTTTCCTCCAATTTAGCTCTATTAGAGGATCCAGCTTTGAGGATCCAAAGCGACCAAAATGCACCCATCAACCCCTGGACGGTGACTAGCGAAGCACTCAAGCTCCTTTTCAATCTCATGATGGTGGAGGCTCGTAGTGAGAATGCTATGGACACGAGTCAAGCCTTTAAAGAGTGTCTAGTCCCCATCCTTCGCTTGATATTCCATGTTCCGTTTGCAGAACCACAACCCTTGGTACCGCCCCATGCACAGGCAATCCATGCCTTGATGCAATTTCGATACACAGCCATTGCGCAAGTGTGGTCTGAGCAATCGCAGTGGACCCGGCAACTCTACAGTAAAGACGGCGACAATGACGATGATGCACATGGATACAGATATATAGCAAACACTTTGGTGGATGTGCTAGACAAGAGCATCCATGTGCTCATTCCAAGCGGTGATCCAGACCATGATGGCAGTCAGTCAGTAGATGCGACTATTGCACCGCTCCTACTGGTGTTGTTATGTTTGGCTGAAGGCGATGAAACATTCAAGCAAGCCATGATCAAGCAGATGTTACCTAGAGAAAAGTAAGTGCCCATCAAACAAACAAGCAAGCATGTGTGTATATAACAAGCGCATTCTTAATATAGAGATCGATTAAAACCTGTAAATGAAGGACCTGGTTTGCCTGCATACTTGATTAGGCTAATGACAAGTACGATGATGCCTCAGACTCGAGATGCAGCCTGTGAGGCCTTGTTTGTTTTGTGTGATAAAGATGGTAAATACGTCAATAATGAGCAAGAGAGATAAAGAAAACAAAAGGAGGGAAAATAGGGTCAAGGGGGGGGGGACAAAGAAAGGGATGATTTGATTAGGTATCGATGGAGATGAACTCACACACACACTCTATTCAATAGCAAGCAAGTTCACACAACAAGTTGGGTATGGCAATGCAGTTGGATTCCTGGTCAACAAAGGCATCGCTATGGAGCCACCTCAAGGCGGCACCGAAGCCGAGGAGGATGTGAATCCCATCACTGGCCAATATGTAAAAGAAGAGAAACTACCCGACTTGAAGGATATGACAGATGAAGAGAAAGAAAGAGAGGCCGAGAGATTGTTTGTGCTATTCGAACGATTAAAGAAGACTGGGATTATTGACGTTGAAAACCCCATTGCAAAAGCCATGCAGGAGAGCCAAGGAAGATTTGAAGAGATCGAGAGTGATTCAGACAGTGATTAAAAATAAATAAAAACTTGTTATTTTCATGTTGTGTATCTGTGTTTGTATGTGCGAGTGGATGATCCTTAATGCTTGTATGCTGTACCATTCATAGTGTGTGTGTGTGTGTGTGTGTGTGTGTGTGCTAAGCTGCTGCTGCTGCTTGATATACAAAACAAAAAGACAACCCCCTTTAACCCTCCTTGTTCCTCTTGCTCTTTTTTAATTGTATCAAACAGTAGTGTCTCTCTCATTCTCTCTTCCTCTTTTCTCTTACTACCTAATCACACACACACACACACACACACGCACACTCAGTTTTCATCCATCAAACTAAAATATATACTCCTTACTTGTACTTATTCTTATAAGCTCTCTTTCTCAAGATAGATCACACACATTTTCTTCTCTGCTTATAGATCATTACAATACACACCATAGTCCTGTCGTTCATAGTCACCTACACATCTCATGTCTGCTGCTGCCACTGCAAAACCCATCAAATATCGAACATCTTCCACAAGCCAGAAATTTTGGCCTCTGAAAAAGTTCAATCTTACCCATGGAAAGACAATCGCTGTAGTAGTAGATCGAACCAAGAAACCATCACCAGCCACAAAAACCATGAAAATAAACACGGCAGACAAGGCCACTCATGGTAAGATGTGAAGCAATTGCAATATTATGAATGATTTTAATTGACACATAACATGTAGTCGTACCTGCAACAACAGTACCAGCTGCTACTGCTACCATCACTGCCACTACACCACCACCATCACCACAAGCAGCAATGTCTATAGCCATCACAGATGACAATGCACAACAACAGCAGAAAAAGTCAAAAAATAAACGACTCAGGTGAGTCTTTTTTTTTTTTTACTCCTAGATATCCATGTCTCTCCTATGTGCCCATTTCTCAACTCATCTGCATAATAATTTACATCTTAGCTCATTACTTTCATCGAACCGTCGTCAAGAAGGTAATTAAGACCATCCCACATCAGCCTAAATTTAGAAAAATTCATGCAAATGTCGCTTTTCAGATGAACCCACGAGTGGTAAAAATGCATCCAATACGCCTACCATCACACGGAAAGCAGGCAGAGAGATGAAGGCTAGAACTAGTGGCAGAAACACCAATTACATGACAGCAAAGACTGCTGGATCAGGTACACTGACGAGAACACAATCACCTCCTTCCTCAATCGCCACGACGACATCTCCTCCTACTACCGCTACCGCTGTTTTGAGTAGAGCGCAATCCATGGCAAGCAAAACAACCACCACCAAAAAACCTTCCAAGCACAGCAGACCTCAATCGCCACCCTCAAAGCAATCAGCAGCCACTGCAACCAGCAACAATGACCAACCGAAAATCATGCTGGAAAGTGTGCAGCAACAGATTCAACAGGAAGAGAAAGAAAAGTTCAAGAAGCAACATAAAAAATCAGCCAACAATGATGTCGACTATGATTCAGCCATTGAGGATGAACAAGAAGATGACAGCAAACAAGACATGGTTCATGTTGTTGTCAATACAACTACAGTTGATAATAACAGTAATGATATAAAAGATAATAAAGGAGATGTTGTTACTGCATGTATCAGCTCAAGTAGCAGCAGTAAGAGTACCGCCAGTCATAGTATTCAAAGTTGCAGCAGCAGCAGCAGCAGCAGCAGCAGTAGCAGCAATCACAGTATAAGCAGCACTAGTGAGAGCTGCAGCGATACGAGCAGTAGCAGCATCCACCAACAACAGCACGCATCTCCATTACCTTCACCACCTGTGACTCCAGCAGCTACATCTTTGCCTGATGAATTCAGTATCAAGGAGGCTGCATCTACTACTGGTCCTATGAAGCTCATTCATAGCGAGCCTGCTAGCCCCACTATGTGTACATTTGATGTACAGTCCGTGCAACAACAGCACCAAAATCACACGGTTCACATGGACACCAAACCAAACAATCTGTACGTGCAACAGCCCATACAGCGTATCCATCGATTGCGACCAGCTGCTTCATTTGCTACACTACGCCAATTAGCTAGCACAAATAGCAACTATCAGCATCAGCAGCAGCAACAGCAGCAGCAGCAACAGCCAGTCAGCTACATTCAACATCTTGCAGCAGCCCCAACAAAGACCAAAAGACGACCCGTATCCTACATTGAGTTATCTAGCAACATGAATTACAATTACGCCATGGCTTCTCCTCCTGCTCCTCCTTTCGCCAATAGCACAGTAATCCACGATGACTATCTATCTGTGCATTCGACAAGGCCGACCTATTACCGCAGAACAAGCTCAGAGGATAATCGTCAACACTACCATACACGCCAAATAGCAGACAGCCATCCATCGCCTCCCTCCAGCATTGTCAATGGTGGTGGAAGACGTCTTGTTCGCTCCAACACCGTGCACAATCTCATCATCAAAGACGGTCAAGGCCATCGCATTGTTCAATGCGTAGGCTTGGACGATTCTCCTCCCTTACAGCCTTTGCGCACGGGCGAGTATCAGGACTGGTCTACTACTGCCTCTTCTACCACAGCAACCGCTGCATCCGACATGTTGGACGATAATAACACGACTGCCATTGTGCTGACTCGCCAACAACTAGAGGATTTACATTTCCAGGCACAACAACAACCATTGGAAGTGGATGCCTCTCCTGATCCACTTAGTGCTCAGCCATCACCACCTTTACCACAACAGCAGCGTCCTCGAAAGATGAAGCGCAAAGACAGCGCGAAATCACTGAGCAGCTTGTGCAGTGCGAGCCCACCAATCAACCATGACATGCGATGCGAGCAATTGAAAAATAAACTGGAAAAAGAGCGGGCTACAGTAAAAGCGCTTCAGAAGCAGAAAGAAGGTCTGTCTTTGTCCCTTGCTTGATTGTTTATTTACTTACATGATTGTCTATATAGCCTATAATAAGGACGTGCTATTCCTTAGTAAAAATGTCGATGAACTCTCTGCCGATAACCAGGAATGGAAGCGAAAATTTGACATTGAGAAATCAGCTAAAGAAAGATTTCAAGATGATTTATCGTCCACTATGGATAAGCTGAACGAAGCCACAGAGCAGATCAGGCAATTGGAATCTCAAAACCGTCTGCTGAAACAAGAGATTGACGACAAGAACATGGAAATTCGAGAACTGGAGAAGAGCAAGAAGAGTAAATCTCCTGTAGCGCGCGGTAAATCCACAGCAACAGCATCTGTTGAAAAATCAAGTGATCGCTTGCTTGCAGCTCAACTTCAGCATTCGCAAAATCAAGTAAGGCTGCTGAAATCCACCATGGAGCAGTTTCTTCGCATGGGTGTATTCAATGATGATCTATCTAGCATGACTTTGCCTATAACGTAAGTAGATTCAGGTACGCTGTTGGTGGTTGTACACTCATGCTCAAAGGCTTCAATATATATATATATATATATATATAGATCGATTGATGCTGCCGTCTCTGAACTTCGATGCGGAAGATCCAGACAGCGTCGACATCCTGCATCTACCACAGTGACAAAGAGCACAGGTACCGATCAACAATTGGATCCTACTTGTGCAACAACATCTACAACAAGTGCAAAGTCAAGAAAATCGCTGGTGCCTGTCGATACCAAAGTAAAAGAGCCCATCAAGAGCAACAAGAGCACGCCTACAGCTGAACTGGATAATCAACTATTGGAGCTACTAAGGGAAAAAGAGATTGTAAGTGGGGCATGTGCTTGTCAAGGTGTGTGTCATCTCCGTATTAACTTTTAGTGATAATGATCATTAGCTTCAAGCAGAATATAGTAAGGTGCCTTCCAGTGGCGGTAATGCGCTTGTGCGTAGACGCAGAGAAGAATTGGAATCTCGGTTAGATACAGTAGATTCTCAAATGTGTCGCATCAAATTAAAAATGCGTAATCGCAATATACTTTAAACATCTATACATACACATCCTACATATTACATTGTACATACACATACACAGAAGAAACCTCTTCTTTTTCTTTTTCCAAGCATGAAAATAAAAATCTGATTTTCTCATCGCAAAGCATCCTACCAGGCAGTTCATTTAAGACGCATGAATAATGTCTTGATTTTGTATACGCCACAGTAGCGCCATGCAATAGTAGTCACTGGCAAAGCGGTTTAATCAAAGTGTTTTCTATCCAACACCACTTTTTTCTTTACCAACGCATATTATTATTTAACCAATGTCATTAGTACAAGAAAGAGAGAGGCGCCCCAATGCCGGTAGTCGGTAAGGACTGCAAGCTATATCAAGTATGGCAGTAAGTAACGACGCTTTGAACATTAGTATGCGCGCTTTGTTGGACCAGGAGGTCGACATGGAAGAGTTGTTTGAATACAGAGACAGTGATGAAGAAGATGAAGAGTTTTCTACTAAGGGTAAGTCTATTCTAGGAGGCTTGGATTGATGTATGATGTTGAGCCAGTACTGTATAGCCGTTGAAGAAGAGGAGGAGGATAAAGTGGATTCTGATTTTGATCTGGATTCATCAGAAGGCGAGCAAGAGCACATTGAGGAAGGAGAAGCCATGGACAAGGAGCTTGACAAGGCAGAAAAGAAGGTAAGCCCGTGTTTGTGAGATTGAGAAAAAAAAAAAGGTGCATAGATCTGAAAACCTTGATGACATTGCCAGGCACGAAGAGCAGCGACATTCAATCCACCTCCATCCGCTGCTGCGAAACCCAAGAAACCAGCAGCCACACATCCTGAGAAGAAATCAAGCGAGAATAAGAAAAGAAGAGCGAGAAGTACAACCGTGGATCAAGACGAAAGAGGTGGAGAACGTAGCACTCGATTCTCATCCAGAAAAAACACAGTGCTCAATCGTCTGCTTGTGGAAGATCAATTAAGAGAACATGAGAAAAGAAGAGTAAGAAATCGTGTGACCCAACATGCCTATCCAAGGCTTTCTATTTCTGACAGATGTATTATAATAGGCATTACTGCCTAAACGAGATCGACCAGTGATCAACAAGTTGACACAAGAAGAATTATTGGCAGAGGCGGCCATTACTGAAGAGATCAATAGAGATTCGTTGCTCGAATGGCAGCAAATGGAGGCTGAACGAAAGGCCAATGCCAAAAAGAAAGACAAGCGAGGCATTTTTGGACAGTTTGTGAGATACCATTCATTTGCTGAGAATGATGGGCCCACGATGCATAACAGTAACGAGGATGACAAAAAAGAGGAAAACAATGAGGCTGCACCTACCACAGATATTAGTAATGCAGCAGCAACCGAAAGCAACATGGATACCGACACGACTATGACTGATGCGAATGGACCTGATTGGCAGATAAGCAACAACGCTGATCTGATGGGAAGAAACCTAGTTTCGTTTATGGATAACTCCATATTGATGGACGCACAACAAGCACAAGAATATCAACTGTATGGCAAGCGTGGTGGTACGGATGCGGATAAAGATTTGGAAAATGCAGATTTGATAGACCAATTGAGTGATTGGCTTGTTCGACCATCTAAACCAAACAGACCTGTGATTTGTCCGATTACCGGTGAAGTGGCAAAGTACAAAGACCCCTCCACCGGCATTCCCTATGCGAACATTACTGCGTATCAAGTCATTCGCGCTTGCTTGCATCACGACATGAGGTGGGCTTCTACATCAGGCATCTATCTAGGTTATATACCAAGTGCCAAAGGCGTTCCTGAAGGATGGGATGCTGCCATCTGATGTACCTAGTGGCAATGAATAAATAACTATATACCCTGCTTGCATTTCTCATTGGACAAGTGCAAGTTAGTCATTTTGCCATACAACCAAGATTGGTAAATGCAAACTATTCTCCGGTTTTGCGAGGTAGCACTAAATCTCGAAATAAAAGCTTAAAAGTGTGGAGATTTTGACTCACATGACATCCTATTAGTGGAAATGCGTGTGCAAGTGAATTAGATAGACATCTCGCAATATTTTGTGGGTTACAAGACTATGATGTTGTTGACGAAACCGATTGGCATATATAAAGGGGGGGGGAGCAAATGGGGCGGTCTTCATTGAGATCAGCCCCTATTTCTTTTCTTTTTCCTTTTTCTATAGCCCTCCACCATGTCTGAAAAAACGTATGAAAAAGAGCAACAGTTCCTAGAAAAGCCAGAATTGGTCGACTATGAAGAAGAAGCCATTGGTCGTGGCGACAAAGAGTTTGTTCCTCCTACTGCTGAAGAGTTGAAGGCTGTCATGTGGAAGCTAGATCTTCGTATCATTCCATTTCTCGGTCTCTTGTATCTCTGCTCCTTCTTGGATCGTGTCAACATCGGCAATGCTAAGCTGGCCGGCATCACCAAGGACTTGAGCATCAGTGCTACGGATTACAATATTGCTTTATCAATCTTCTTTATCGGCTATGTAAGTTGTGGATCTGATCTGCTCATCATTGTATCGCCACTCACAATGTAAATGTAGATCATTTTCGAGGTACCTTCCAATATGATTTTGAAATGGATTGGCCCAAGCAAATGGATTCCCATCGTCATGATTTCTTGGGGCACTGTGGTAAGTTCTTGAGAGATACTAAGATGTTGATCATTGAGCTAACCATATTGAAAAAAAAAAAAAAAAAAAAGATGGCTTCTATGGCTGCCTGCCACAACACAGCTGGTCTCTTGGCTTCTCGTTTCTTTTTGGGTATTACTGAAGCTGGCCTTTTCCCAGGTGTCATTTTCTATCTTACATTGTGGTATAAGAGAAGCGAACAAGCAACGCGTGTAGCTTTTTTTTTCTCTTGCTCTACCTTGGCTGGTGCCTTTGGTGGTGTTTTGGTACGCGGGCTATGTGGTGCCTACATCATTGATTCGCAGCGCTAACACATTTCATCTGTTTTAGGCTTACGGCATTATGCAAATGGATGGTTTAGGCGGTCTCCATGGCTGGCAATGGATCTTTATCATTGAAGCAATTCCCACTCTTTTACTTTCTGTAGCTGCTTATTACTTTTTGCCTGATTTCCCAGAGAACTCTAAATGTAAGTATATCGAGATACCTGCTGAATGTGGGGGGGGGGAATAAACCGAGTTGATGTGTCTGTGGCCGTGTGATTTATAATCGTTGTTGCCGTGTGTGTGGGAAATGCTTAAAAACCTGTCTTACTAACACGAAAACTTTCCAAACAGTTATCAATGACCGTGAGCGCGAGATTGTTGTCCACAGACTCAGAGAAGATGCTGGTCCATCTACTGAAACAGAATTCTCTTGGGTGCAATGGCGTGCAGCCTTCCTTGACTGGAGAGTCTATATGCATTCTCTCATCTACATTTGTGGGTCCACTCCTCTTTATAGTTTGAGTTTGTTCTTGCCTAGTATCATTCAAGGCATGGGTTTCACGGATCTTCGTGCTCAGGCAATGTCTGCTCCTCCCTATGCTATTGGTAAGTGGTGTTGTTTATTCAGTGCGCAATGGTTCATGTGTTCACACTCCTATCATTAGCTTGTACATTCACCATCTTGATCGCTATGCATGCTGATAAAAAGAAGGAGCGTGGTTTGCATGTAGCTATTCCTGCTGCTATTGGTGTCATTGGTTATGCTCTCTTGTATGCTCTTCGCCATAAAGGCGCCGTGGCCATGTATATTGCTGCTTGTATCACTGTTACAGGTGTCTTTTCTCACATCCCCGCCATGTTGAGTTGGTTTGGTAACAATATTGGTGGTCATACTAAGCGTGGTGTTGCTTCTGCCATCATCATCTCCATTGGTAATGTCGGAGGTGCCATTGGTGGTCAAATCTACAGAGCAAATGATGCTCCTTTGTATGCTACTGGTAATTTGGCTGCTATGGGTTTGATGATTGGTGCTGTTACCTTTTCTTTGCTCTTCAAATTCCTCTTGGAAAGAGAGAACAAGAGACGTGATAACCTTACCCCTGAGCAATATGCTCATGAAGCTGCTACCAATATCTGCGACAGACATCCTGGATTCAGATATATGTCCTAATTGGTTGGGGAATACTTTTTCAATCACTCACCCTTTCTCTTTACTATTACTATTACCATCTACTATAACCCGTTAATTCCAATATCACGTTTTTTTTGTATTTATATTTCCTTATTTTGTTGACATTTTATCAAATATAACTGTAAGCTGCAATATTTAATACTGAAGGCACAATTCTGAAAAATCTGGTCTAGTCATTTAAAGCTCACACTGGAAACGTGAAAAGCTGAATAGAGTCATTCGAGGAGCAATTTGCAACAATGAACTAATTGGGGATATAAACGTGTAGCAGAAGCATTGAATAGTAGTATGGCTGTGTTAAAGTGCTTTTTTAATTTGCAATCCTTTTCTTATCCTCTTCAAAAAAAACCATCAATTACCCTAAGAGAAATGCATGTGCCAGCCGAAATTTACAAACTTCGACAGGCATTGTTTTTTCTCTTGAATAGGAATTTTTGGATCTTTTTCGACTTCCTTGAACTATTTTGAGAGATTCGACTATAAAAGTCGTGGTGATTATCCTTTAGAGCCTTAAGCCATCTAGGAGTACTTTTCAAGGCGCATCCAATGGTGCCAGGTAGAATAGATGTTTTGATTGAACTTGCTGAGCAATATTAGAAAATATGAAATGGGGTTTTTGGCGGAAATGTCGAGATTTTACATAAAAAGGTCGCACCTACAAAGTTTTAGAGGTTGCCCTGGATCGAGAGAAACATTTTGAATTAATACATGTCATAGTAAAAGTCTTCGTTTTCGAGGTCAAAAACGCAATCATTTGTTTTTTGATGATTTGGATGAGGTATCCCTCATGGTTTGGAGGCAATTTTCGACGATCCCAAAAAAAATCAAGCAAAGGTGCCAGCAAGTAACTGCTGAATGAGAGGAATTGTTTGGTGCTACTCTGGCGGTCTAAAACGGCTTCTAACGCGAGAAATCACGGCTCAAATACACCTAAATTTCGCTGTATTTCCTATACTTTTGAGTAATCAGAGACAGTGCACATATGCTGTCTGTATGTTCATGGATTGTTTCCATGGATATAAGTATGAAACGCCGTAGAGGAGCCAAATTTACAGCTACAGGTTGTTTATAGAGAGTTCTTGCGTAAAATGGAGGAAAAGAGCTTGGTGGCTAGCAATATTGATGAGTGGCAATTCAGTGGAGCTGTACGGACCCATTAACATCGCATACGCTACACTGAATGACCCCATTCTTGTATAGGAAAAAAGACGTTATTTTCATATAATAAGACATGAGTAGAATCAACCTATTAGTCTAGTCTATTGCTGAAGAACAAAGGGCGACATTTCACTTGCAGAATCGCGTACCTCAGATGAAGGGAAAGTAATGGGATGAAGTGATTCAGGCTGTGGTAGAAGCTACTGCCCGAATTGTTTGAATGAACGGCGTCATGGCAGTTGAACTGCGACCCATCATCAGAATGATGCAAATGATGTCTTCACCTGTCGCTATTATACAACATGTACCACATGGTCGAATGCCTATTACAACATGACTGAAAGCATGATGAATGGCACATTCTTCACATCATGATGGAGGGCGCGCCCTTTGTGTATGTACCCTGGAATGAACCCATGCGATTGATTACATGCCATCACACCTCCATGCTACGCTAATGCAATTCATTCACCACGGAGTGCCAATGCGTTTAAAGGAATTTATGGATACAATCGATAAACTTACGGACACCAAAGAAAAATAAAAGAGGCTAGGTCAATCTTTACAGGTGTCAACCACAGATTTCTGGATTCACTGTGTTTTATTATTATTGCTTCTCGTTTTTCTTTTTGATTTTCATAGTAGTATAGTCTTGGATACACAAAATTTAATCAAATGTCGTACAATGCGATGGTCTTCATGATCAAGTGGAATGGAAAGGGATCTTCGAATGAACAAAAAGAACGTTCTTGTATACAATGCGATACGTGGTTATAATATAGCTTGATTTGTACAATTTATCAGAAACAAGCGCATCTGTGTATATGGTTGAGAAATGGATGGTTTACATGTCAAAAGTACATACTCATGCCATTGTTTTTTTATGGGGTTTTTGTTTAGTAAACATAAAGGCATTTAATTTATGGCACTAGCCTATTGCTAAAAATACGCATCAATCAAGACATTTCAGGGTTTTTACTTCTATATTGGCTTTATTTATTATATTGTACATACAATAGATCTTGTTACAAAAAAAAAAAAAAAAAAGAAAAAAAATGGGAGGGGGTGGCGGATTGAATAGGACAACTAGAAAGGGGGAATAAACGAAAGATACAAAGAGATACTATAAACATGAATACAAAAAAGAAAACTCTTATACTACTTTTACAAAAAGTAGATTGAGAGATTCTTTACTTAGGACATGTGCCAGCTGATCTTGCCAACACCCTTATTCATATCACCAACAATCTTCTTGAAGAGGACAGGAGTGAGATCGAGATCACCATGGCCACATTCAGGACAAGCATCGTTGACAGTAGCAGTAGCAGTACCAGCGGGACCAGTGATGGTGATCTTCTTACCACACCATGAAGACTTCTCGCTCATGTCACCGTATTGAGGAGCGTTCAATGCAACAATGAGAGAATGGTCATCTTCTTCAGGACCACAAGCACCAGTGGATCCACCTTCAGTGGCAGGTGTAAACCAGGTTGCGGTACCAGAAAAGCTCTTGCTGGATGAAGAGGAAGAAGAAGACTTGGCAACGGTGGTCTTCTTGGAGGACTTCTTCTTGGTGGTGGACTTCTTGGACTTCTTGTGATGCTTGGACTTTTTGTGGTGCTTCTTGTGGTGCTTCTTGCGCTTCTCCAATTGAACAGGAGCAGAGGCAGCTACAACATTGGAATCAAGTTGAACAATTGAGTTGTTTTCAACGGGTGCTGCAGAGGACAGAGCAGTAAGTGCGAGAACGACGGCTGTGAATAAAGAGAAAGTGCGAGACATGTTTGATATAATGATTGGAATGAACTTTATGTGATATACGATGAAAGAAAAATTGACAATAAAACGACCAGCGTTATATAGAAAGATATGTATATGTATAAAGAGAAAGAGAAAAGAGGATGTTTTTTTTAAGCAACACTGGGGAAATGTTGTTCTTATTTATACTGATTTGTCTAATTGAGAGTGAGAGGGGAGGGGACCCACCGCCCTCCGGTCAATATAGTATAAAGAGTAACAGTACACGAACTTGTATCATTGAAACGGAGAATGCTCGACATACTAGACCTTTCGCTTTCTGGTCTACAGGTACCAAAATGCCATTCATGTTCAGGCACCCGAGGCACTTTTTTAATAATTGCTTTCCATATCTGGTGGCGAGTTTTTTTAGAGGCCCGTTAAATTTCTAGTCAATTGTGCTTATGCTTTGGCCACACAGAAATTAGATCATCTGATGAAAAGCCATTAGGAGAGAGAAAAAGAGAATGGTTCTTTGTGGAATCCGATAGGCATGATGTTCGTATCGAATCCACACGCATGCATGTACGCTGCTAACCAGCGTGAGCGAAATAATGAATTTATCGCTAATATATATCGAGGCATCTCATTGGGGAATGTTTGATTATTTATTTGTTGTTGGCCATGTGCAGAGCAGGATTGTGGTTTAACAGTACGTTTTGATGGCTTCTTGTATAGATACATATCGACCAATTTGTGTTACCTACCATATCAAGGTTGCTAATTGTCTATTTTTTTTCGTTATATTGTATTTGTATATTTTGTACGTTTTTGTTCAAATTGCTTGCATCAAATGTAAAAATGGACCCACCTCGTGAGATTTACAGAACACCAGGAAATCGTATTGGTGATCCACATTATACGCGATGGACAGAATTTGCTAGGCAGCATCTCCGCCAGGGTGTACAACTACCACAGCTGATCTAGAAGCAGCAGGAGCATCGTTTTCTTGAATGGCGATACTTGCCAATTGAAACCTAATGACAAAGTTGATCAACATCAGCAGTGTCGTCTCCCATGTAAATAGCCTGCTATTTCTGGACATTGTTCACGATGTCTTTGTCGATTTATATTCTCGCCCTGTTTCATTTCTATCGTATTATTACAGAAAAGCGGGCCACTTGTTACATCATTGGCATCGGATGTCATCCCACTGTCTTTTGAATAAAACCAATTCATTGAATGTTATTATAAACAAATATGCAATACATTTGACATTTGATGCTTTATGCAATTCATATAAAATACGCTTTCGTCTTGAAAGCAGAAGAATCAGGGAGAACTTGTTGATCATGGCATTAGCTATGATTGGATCACAGCTTGTGATGGGACCTCTATGCCTGTACGTTTTTTTTAGCGCCACAACAATATCACAACGGGACGGAAGCGCGAAAAGAGGCGCGCACAAGCACACAAAAGGCCGGAACCAGTTCGAAATGGCCTGGTTACCATCTTGGATGTTTATTGACAAAAAGGCCTTAATTGATCCCGGAGGCGGTCATTTTAAGTAATGACATAAAGCAAAGAATCCAATTGAGAAGTTTCATTTTTCAGCATTTCATTGGAGCAAAGAACCCATTCGTTGTAATTTTAACGAATTGCCCTGAAAATTTAAAGTATATTCTGTCATTTGATTTCAAAAATGAGATTATAACAGTTTTACAACGGAGATTGACATCAGGAAAGGTTAGGGCTAGAAAGATAACTGAGCTTCGGGGCATGTACCCATTTAGCTCGCTTGAAAAGGGGGGGCAAAGCGTTCTCTTTGGTGCTCGGTGTATGGGTAATACCAATCATTCGGCTTGCATCAAAATAGCTGACAGGGACCTTGTATAATGTGTCTTTTTTTTTTTCATATGCCATTGTGCTGCAAAAAATTAAGATACTAGTGTGTATGCCACTTCATCAAGTGCGCGCTGTAATGAAATTGAATAATACGACCATTCAAGGAGGATACAGTGGACCAAAGAAGGGAAAATGGAAACAGATCCAAGTTCTAGGCCAACATTGCTTCATCTGTCATACGCCTACCATGAATCATTCCCTGACCAATGTCGTGTATGACGTTTGACACGAATTTGATTTGTTTGGGTACAATAACTGCATCAAATATAAACAATCATCTTGTACCAGTAGAGCAGAACAGGGTCTGCAATGTCAGATTGCAATTGCTGGCAACATATGCTATCAAACTCATAGAGAACAAATCGATGCGCTAACAAGGATTGCAAAAATTTAGTGGATCGAAAACCGACAGCACTCTTGAAATCTTGTATTTGAAACATTTAGTCTTCAGATTGACCAGAGATTCCAGATCAGAATTGTATTCCCTACGATTACTAAACAGATCGCTAATTAACGGCAGGTTCGTATGATGTTTGAATACAATCAAAACTTGCAAATGTGATCCAAGCTGATGTAAAAAAAAAAACACGAGACGCGTGGCATCACTGAATGTCTTTTAACGTAAGATGGATCTGAATAAGCATTTGAGTGTATCGCGCGGCAACTACGTAATGGACTAATTTCTAGAAAGCCCATACAAAGATGCAAGCTTGCTTATTGTGAAACTGACAGCTCTCAGACTGATATTTGTCAAGCTTGGTGTACGTGAGTGACATTCCATATCAGATGCTTCTAGTAGTTCCAGTATATAACAATAAAGCAATAATCATTCCAATGCCCAAGAGAAAGCATATAAAGGCTATGTCTTTTGATCTTGTTGAATAATTATCTCCAGGTACAGAACTCAGAATAAAGGGTACACAGAAAAAAAAAAGAGAGACATTTGAGATGCTATGTTTCAGAGAAATTACAAGGTTCCTTTGAGCCCAATTCATCATTCAACGGCTTGATGTAACACAATGCGTTTTTAAAGATCCTCTGACAGATAAAAAAAACAAGCAAGAAAACACCTCTTGAAAGCCTGTCCATAAATAGGTAAATGAGATGAATACAATCAGCACATTGATTTATTGATTTGGCTGCTTGCTCATGATATATGATGCTATTTTCTCTAAAACAATGAGGACAGTTTCTCTGCTGCCTTTTTGCGATCGTCAGGGCCCATCTGCTTTAACAGCTTGCTAAAGCCTTCAATGACTGCATCATGGTCTTGCAATCCAAATGTCACAATCTTGCTCTCCAATGTATTACGCTTCAATTGAGCCACACGTTGCTGGATAGTATCTCTGTACTGATCAAACCATTCAGCCACCATCTGCTCATTATCATCATCACCATCTGGCATGTCTTGTTTGAACCACTCTTGTACAAGTTTCATCATGGAATCACGGCCAAGACCATCATCTGTCACTGCCTTGATATCACGGATCAGGTATTCTTCACTCAATCTTCTGCGCACACGCCAGTAAAAGTATTGGCGCGCGTGTCGCCATTCTAGAGGCTTACGAATGACGCCCTTGGCCATCATACGGCCGGTACGATCATGCAAATCAGCAAATTGAATGGCAATCTGTTGATAAACGGGCAGAAGCTCTTGCTCACGCGCCTCTAATTGGCGCTTAATATCAGCCTTCTCCTCAGCGGGTACATCGATGGCCGATTCCAGATGTTTCTTGAGGTCGCCGTACTGCTGATCCAGACGAGCCATGGTGGCCAACAAGGCGGGTTTACGGTACTTGATTTCAACAATACCCTCAGGCTCCAGCACACCACCACGCGCCTGCTTATCCGCATACATCTCCATCATATCGGCATTGATGGTAGGATCTACAACCACCCAGGCACCGCCTCGTAGTTCACCATTAGGAATGATGTACACAAAAACAGGCTGTTTGTAGTTTCTGAGAGCATCCACAATTTGAGCACCATACTTGAGGACTTCATTGTACATGTCTCGTTGACCACCAGAGAAGCCACGCCAGTTGGCAAAAATCATGAGAGGTAGTTCTTCACCCTTGTTAAAGTCATTGATCGCTTGTGCCGTCTTGTAAGCCGAGTTGGGGAACCACACACCGCCAGCCTCCATAAAGACTTGCTCTGTGGAATCTGAGTTGGCAGGATCAGCAGGGATGATATTCTCCACAGTACGAGATTCAACAGCAATGACACCCATAGGGATACCACCGAGTCTAGCACGGCCGACCACCACAGTGCGAGCCCAGCCACACAACGTCTCTGTAAAGGAACCTTCATCAAAGAAGCCACTGACCCATGTATCGCCTTGGTATTTACCAGCCAAAAACGTGCGAGGATCATTGGGGCCCTTGGGAGGCAAGTATTCAATTTCGCGGTCCACAGGGTCAGAGCCCAATGCCATCGGAATAGGTGCGCCACGAGCAGCAGGGACATAAGCGAGCCATTGAATGATCTTATCGATACCTTCGAGATCGTTTTCTGCCGTCAAATGAGATACACCGTTCTTGTACATAATTTGGGTGCCACCTAATTGCAAATTGGATGTATATACTTCACGACCTAACACCTTGTTCAATGCCGGGGCGCCTGTCAAGATGATGGGTTGACCTTCATTCTGGATAGTACGTTGGCCAAGACGCACGAGATAAGCGCCAATACCGACTGAGCGACAAGTAACAAGCGTGATGGTAAAGATGTCATCATAAGCGCGCGATGTCTCGCCAGCAATCAAGCCAGAGCCCTTTAGGTTTTCCACACCCAAGCCATCCGTAAGACCTACCACATCTGTGATACGATATCTGGTCTCTCCTTCATCTTGGATCTCTTCCGCCACCACGCTCTGATGCTTAGAATCCGCATTCACCAACTTATACACCTCAGGCGTGACATAGAGGTACTTGAATCCCGAGCTAGGATTACCAGGTTCATTCCAGGCAACATTGAATTTGTTGATCAGTTCATCTGCTAGACCAATACGAGCACCCGAGTTGGCAGAGAGGTAGATACGCGGGATACCCAACTTACGAGCCATTTCAGATGCTTTGAAGAACACGGCATCTTCAGCTACACCAAAGGAACCAATCTTGAAGGTAATGTCATTTGCAATGACGATCATGCGACGGCCATCAGGGTACTCGGGCGTGCGAAGAGTGACAATCCAAGCGACCATACCGACCGTGTTGGTGCCTGGTGGACGGACCTGTTCACGCAGTTTGTTGACCTCTTCATCCAGCACCAGCTCTAAAGCTTCCACAATCTGAGATGGTATCACTGGCAGAGGTTTTTCACCAGCTAATTTCTTGGAACGCACAAACTGGCTCCATTGATTCTGAGTCGCTTGACGAAAGAGCTCAGGGAAATCATAGACATAAGTAGTACCCATGAGATGTGCCTTGTAACGACGAGGTTGAAGCCATTCCTTGGTAGGATAAGGAGTAGATACAGGCAGCATGTTCATGGGACCAGAGACACGGCCCAGCGATTTGAGGACCCAGCCACTCTTGTCTGTCTTAATCTCCTGGTAGGAATCCACTTTGAGCACAAACCCAGAGACATTGTCCATGACAAAACGGATGGGAATGGGTGCTTGGTTGGGATGCTTTGGCTGGATATTAAATCGAATTTCAGCACCTGTAACACGCAGCTTCCATAGACGTTTGCCATGACGATCCACGAAATCAGTCAACGCTTGCTCGACTTCGCTGGTTTCCAAAGCAAATGTAGGGATAAAGTTGATGAACAAGTGGTTGCAATCCGAGTTTTTGTATTCCTGCGAAACAATCTCCAATGTATCCAGAATCTCATTCAGTAAACGATCGCTTTCAGAGATGAGGTAGTCAGCCGTGCGCATCGAGTCCTTGACTCTGCCTGGACGCACCAAGGCACGGATAAAGAATCTGCAGTCGGATGGGTTTTCCTTGGCCACAGCATAATAGACGTACAGCTGCCTGGTCTCAATGGTCACTGGCTTGATGTCGAAATTGGAGAGACGAGACAGTTCCAGTTGATACGCCATGGCAGGTTCAATGTGACGAATGGTTTCGTCTTCCTCGTAATTATGACTCTCACGGAAAGTGTAGTAATCTGGCCATTGATCAGGACGACATACAATGACAGACATACGACGCAGGTGAGCTTGACGGAAGCTTTCTACGTGAGATTGAATTACCTCCTTGATTTTGGGCTGCCAGTACGCATTGTCGCATTCAGTGCCACTTTGAACGGCAATGTTGAGAATGTTCTCCATACGACCATCCACCTTGCTAGCAGTAGTATCGCTCTTGTCTTCTTGGAACGCGGTCAAAATACGAGGCAACTCGGAAATGAGTTGGTCCAAGGAGTGGACAGCTACCATAGCACCCGTACGGATTGGCTCAGCTTCTGTCTTGTTCAATAGAAAGGTCAAGTCAGAGTAGGAGGCAATGCGCTTGTCGTCCATGCCATGGGTTGCATTACCCAAGAGAAACTTCCAGGCAAAGATGTAAGGGTGGCCACTGAGATTGTAGGCCATATCCAAAACTTTGTAGGCATGATATGAGCGACGACAGTACACTTCAATGGCAGCGAGAGAGATGTAGGCATCTTCGTTGTAGAAAAAGTTGGGCAGCACATCAAACACGTTGAATTTGGTGTCAATCAGGTCCTTGTAAGCCTCTGGGTTGGGCGTGCGGTTCTCAATGCCACCGCCATACACGCGTTCAGTTACTGAATTCTTGAGGATGTGGTACATTTGAGCTTGGCGTTCTTCGTAAGATGGCATCTGACACAGGATGAGCAACTCGCGCGCCTTGAGAGTGACCTTTTGTGTGGCACGGCTATCAATGTCAGACAGTCGTTTCAAGATGGACAGGAAGAACTTGTCCAAGGCGCCACCGCCAATGGACGGGTAAATAATATCAAGCATCATCATGACCAAGTTGTTCTTGCTGGCTACCTTGGAGTGAGACAGCATAATGGCAACCACCTTGCCGAGATCCTCCTTGTTTTGATCACGCAGCTGCAAAATGACTTCTTCCTCGCGAATCTGGCCGCTGAACAAGATCTCTACATCGTAATATTGCTCCATCAATTCAACATAGGTGGCATATTCGTGGTGTTTGAGACCCTCCTTGTAGCGATCCAGAACAGCGACAATGGGCTGAACAGCAATTTTGTAAGCAGTGAGATCAGACTGAGAATGGATGTTGGTTTTAGCAAAGTCTTGGATCAGATGAGTGGCCTCTGCGATAGGGAATGGCTCCGCTGCTGCTTCTGCATGACTAAAGAGTCTGTGCAAAGCAGTTTCAAGACGAGCAGGAATACGACCGGATAAAACAGACATTTCAGACGTCATTTCAGAGTAAGGCAGTTGAGGGTTGCGAAGGATTTCAGTCATCTGCTTGAGCACTGTTTGAGCAAGCGCTTGGTTATCATAGCCTTGCATAATGTGCTCGAGAGACGCTTTGGCTGCCTTCAACATTTGATTAGGTTTATCACCATACATGTAAGGGGAACAGTAATTGGGCACTTGGCCAGTAAAAGGAAGCGCATGCTTGACACGGCTAGGATCATCCAGAGCCAAAATACCAATGATATCACCTGCCTCAAGCGTGGCACCCACTTGCTTGATGAATTGAACATGACCATCTTCTGTAGCCACCAAGGGCATGTACATCTTCATGACCTCAATTTCGGCATAGGCCTCTCCCGCTTTAACATGGTCTCCATTTTCCAGCAACAAATTGACCAGTTTGCCAGGAGAAGGGCTTCTCAATTGAGTGGGATCGCTCTCCTTTTCCAAAAGACATGTCTTGCCATCAATCATCAGTCGGGTCGCTTGCACTTCTTCTCTGGAATAGGTCGTATGGGATTTACCTGCAAGAGAGACCAAGAGGCCCCCGTCAGACAAATCTCTGACACCGATTTGCGTCTTGCTGCCATTCAGGTACAACGTGTAAAGACCAGGAGCAGAGCGAGTGACAGTAAAGTTGTAGCGTACTTGCTCGTAGATGAAATCAATGGTAAATACCGTCTTGAGTGCATCTCTGCTAGGCACCTGACCTCTCTCCAAATGCTGCTTGCAAGCGTTCCAGCTCTCAATGGAAGCCGTGTGAGCCTTTGTAACAGCACCACAGAACACAGCCAACATCGTATCCGGTCTCTCGGCCGTCAGCTTCTTGGAAATCAACATATCCAACCAGCCTGTGTTGATCGTGTTGTCTGCAAACTCCTCTGTCTCCAAAAGGCGGATGATATATTCCACGGTTGTTCTGAAATCACCACGAATAGATAGCTCTTTCAATGCAATGACCATGTTTTTGCGCGCTTGTTGACGGTTTTCACCATACGCAAAGATATGGCCAAACTGAGAATCTGCGTACTCATGAAGACCGCCTGAAGAGACCACAGAGAAGTAACCCCATACGTTGGTGCTTGAACGGAAATTCAGCTCGTGCATGATACCAGAAGAAGGCTTGAATCCAGCATCTGGGTTTTCAGCAGTGATACGGACAGCAATGACATGGCCCTTAGGTGTAGGACGACGATGGCTCTGAAGCGAGGTAGGATGAGCAAAATCAAAGTCGATTTCAGATGCGCTGTTGGCCTGTACACCGTAAAGCACGCGAATATCACGGATACGATGCAGAGGAATGCCCATAGCGATTTGGAGCTGAGCAGCAGGCAAGTTGACGCCAGACACCATTTCAGTGGTGGGATGCTCTACTTGCAATCGAGGGTTCAATTCGAGAAAGTAGAAATTCTCATCAAAATGGCTGTACAGGTACTCTACCGTACCAGCAGAGACGTAGCCCACCAATTTAGCTAAACGCACAGCAGCCTTTTCCATCTGCTCAAAAATCTCAGGTTTGGCAATCGTAACAGGTGCTTCTTCAATGATCTTTTGGTGACGACGCTGCACTGAACAATCTCTGCCAAACAAACTGATGGCGTTACCGTATTCATCAGCCAACAATTGCACTTCCAAATGTCTAGCATTACCAGCCAACTTCATGATGAAGATGGGAGAGCCAGGAATTTCACCTTGCACTTGAGAGAAACAGCTAGCAAATTGCTCGGGCTCATCTACTTTGCGAATACCCTTGCCACCGCCACCTTCGGACGCTTTGATCATGATGGGATAGCCAATCTTTTCAGCGGCTGCCAGACCTTCTTCTGAAGACGTAACACAGGCACCCTTATACGCAGAATCAGGCACAATGACATGGCCTTGTTCGTCCATCTCGGTATCCGTAATGCCATCGCCACTCCAGCCCATGGTAGGCACATGAGCACTCTGTGCTACAATGGTGGATGAAATCTTGTCGCCTAGAGAATGCATAGCAGATGCTGGAGGACCGATAAAGAGGCACTTGTATTTAGATTTGGCCAGCATCTCTGGCAAACGAGGATTCTCGGAAGCATGGCCCCTATGTAGCATGTGTGTCAATATACCAGATCTTTACGCGATTCCATATCCCGTATGCTACTCACCAACCCGCCCACACCGCGTGAACAGCCGTTCGTTCTGCAACATCGACAATCAACTCGACATTGGCATAGTTGTTGTTGTTGGAGCCACCAGGCACCTCAACATAATTATCAGCCATACGAATGTATTCTGCATTAGCCTTGAGATCCTCAGGTGTAGCCATGACAGTAAACTCGATGGCTCTCTCGTTACCAAACGTCTCGTAAGCCCATTTACGAACAGACCGGATTTCCTTCATGGCAGCCATACCGTTGTTGGCAATGAGAATCTTGCTGATGACTGTATGGCCTTCATTTGCAATGACAAAATCTCTGACAGGATCTTGAGGTGCTGTGTCGACTGAATTTCCACCTTGAAAACGAGAATGGAGTAAGCAAATGGGAAGAAATGCATTAAGCTTGTGTTACCAATAAAATGGGATGGCAGTTTGCTATGATCCACTACCATTGTTTTGTAAGTATAAAGAGGCAGCTAGGAAATGACGATATTTCCTTGAAATTTTTATGAAGGATTTGCCTAGAGAAAAAGAGCGTGTGATTTAACAAGATTATTTTACATTCACTATATACGCGAAGACGTTCTTCTTTCTGTTTCCCAAATAGCAAATACAACGATACAAAGCCAGGCTCTGCTAGCAAATCATGGCCGTGGCGTGGTATTAGCCGAGACATGCATCAGAATTGAGCCAATTGTCAAGTATATCTGGGTTCTATGCAAGGACTGCTTGAGAGTATGGGATCACACAAGGTGATTTACCCCAACCGAGGCTTGTTTTGAATGGGGACCGATACTGCGATGCTCAGCGGTGGTGAATGGGTGCATGAATGCCTGGAGCTTAAGCCAAGCGTCATTTTACATGCCACCTTAAGCTATCAAGACGGCTACAAGTAGATTAGCTACGTAAATCACAAATGTCTATGATTTTCAGTGGAATACATGTCTGGATTTGCTCCAATTTCTGCAAGTGATTCACGCTTGGACACTTTTTATGCATCCAATGTCAAATGTTGCTCAGTTTAAAGATTCGTGGTGATAGTGAAAGCATAGATCAGGAGGCTAGCAGCTCAGGTGAGGAAAATTTAGAGCGAGTTTGCTATGAGTATTGGCATTCGTGCTACTTGAGGACTGTTTGGAGTGTGCTGTGCACTGACGATTGATTCCTGCTGCTTTAATATGAGGTCGAACACGACTGAGATGTCAAAATAAGGCAATCAACTGTTTATGTATATTAGCTAAATCAAAATATTAGACAGACATCGCTAAAATTAGAACGTATATTAAGCTAGTTTGGAGCTTTGCTTTGTTTGTGGTATTCCAAATTAAGAACCAGCTATATATTGATGAATAGGTCAGGTAGCTAATGAGATCCATTGATGTTTGTTTCCGGATGTAACATTTAGTCTTGATTAGCGAAAGCCTGACCACGGCTGAAAGTATCCAACTCGTTTAGATGCTGCCGGGAATAGACTAAAATTCTATTCACCATCAGACACGCAGAAAAATTTCCTCAAACATCCTCATTACCTTCACTGATAGGCGCAGAAGAGGGACTAACATTGGACATCAAGGTGCCCTAAAAGTGGCCCGAGATGCAAATCTCTACAGGGCGTCAACCATAAATGCCATTAATAAAAAGTGGATGACCATGCCTAGCACACCCTCATTTGAAAAGCAGAGGACAGTTGAAGTCGGTTATAACTTCCAATTAGTGTTTGAAGACATCTTTAATCAGTCTCTTCAATGCAATTGTGGGGCTTACATAGTTCTTGAAATAAATGCAGTCCTCCGCAATTCATCAAAGCGCGTATCACTTGCTTTAAAACTGGAGCCAACTATCATTTCGAATCTCTCTTTTTTAGTTTCTTCTTGCTACATATTCTGCATAATATGGATGCAAGCACTTCGCAAAAGAATTGGGAGCTCGAAAACAACATTGTAACGGTTGATCCTGCTCAGGATCAAGTGTATTTCTACGATGCTGTGCAAGACAAAGAAAACGTAGCTCAGAAACCTTGGAAGAATGAGTAAGGTTTCATCTCTTGACAAATCGCCAACAACATCTAATTGATTCTATCTAGTCCTCATTATTTTAAGCACGTCAAAATATCAGCTATTGCACTCATTAAAATGGTAAATTGTTTGACGCTCGATCCAACGCCATCTTGATGACTGAATATCGTTAGGTGATGCATGCTCGCTCTGGTGGCAACATTGAGATTATGGGATTAATGCAAGGCAAAATTCAAGGCGATACTATGTATGTCATGGATAGCTTTGCGCTTCCTGTAGAGGGCACAGAAACAAGAGTCAATGCACAGAATGAAGCTTACGAGTACATGGTGTCATACATTGAGAAATCCAAGGAGGTAGCGTACTACATATAGCATGATTCTACAGATGATGCTAAACGGCCAACAATTTTAGGTTGGCAGGTTGGAGAATGTGCTTGGATGGTATCACTCACATCCAGGTTACGGCTGTTGGCTGTCTGGCATTGACGTGAACACACAAATGTTGAATCAGCAGTATCAGGAGCCATTTGTAGCAGTTGTGGTTCGTACCAAACACTTGATACGACGATCACTTCCATTAAACATATATTCACCCGTAGATCGATCCCAATCGTACCATGTCTGCTGGTAAGGTGGAAATTGGCGCTTTCAGAACTTTTCCCGCCGTAAGTATTGCAGTGATGAATTATTTTACTTGGAGCTACTTAGCAATTTATCGAAAAGGGATATAAAGCGCCCGATGAAGGACCTTCAGAATATCAGACTATACCCCTGAACAAGATTGAAGACTTTGGTGTTCACGCTAAATCGTAGGGCGGCAAAGTTGCTTTATCATCGTATCAGTTATTGATTTATTTATTTACGGCATAGATACTACTCTCTTGAAGTTTCTCATTTCAAATCAACATTGGATAATCAATTATTGGAAGTTCTCTGGCACAAGTATTGGGTCAACACATTGTCACAATCACCCCTTTTAACTGTAAGTGTCAAACACATTGGCGCTAATGATGGAGTTGCTGATCCTATTTGATTAGAATCGTGATTATGCAACTCGACAAATGTCAGATCTTGCACAAAAACTGAACAAAACAAATGAAAGTATGACGAGCCGCATGGGGGGATATTATGGAGATAGAAAGAAGAATGATGAAAGTCAGTTGAACAAAGTTACAAAGGATAGTTCAAAAATTACTGTAGAGGCTGTACATGGCTTACTCTCTCAAGTGTTGAAAAATCAAGTATTTAATAGTCCAAGAGATGGAAAGACAGAATAATGTAGTAGTAATTTTTTCTTACGGATCAATAAAGGATGATTCAGGGATTACTATACTATTAGTATAGTTGACATAGCGGAATGCGATATTTAATGAGGGTATCGTAGCTTTTGCGATGGGTCATACACCTTGCAAGTACAATCAAAATACGAAAGCTGCTCTGGATGAGTAAACCTCTTAAGGAATATTTGATTGCCTACAATGTCTATGCTCACCCCTTCTTGAAGGAAAACATCTAAGGACTCTCCTGATTTGCCCTCATATAGCTATAAGGACCTGGTACACCTGATAGTCGCATGTCTTGAGAAATCGAGGTTTTCTGAAAATAAAGAATTTATCCAAGGACTTGTCCATTGTCTCCAACAACCAGCAACTATGCTATTCTCAAAGCTAATATGCCGTAGCGATAGCTCACCCAAGCCTATATCAAGTTTACTCAAATGACCCCTTTCAACCAGCAGTGCTCTTGTTGCACCGAGTTCCACTGTATATCAACATTTATTACTGCAGTAAAAAAGGGGTTAAAAAAGCAAGTAGAATACTGTTAAATTCCTTCTTTATTTGAAATTAGGATAATGTGCAATAAAATGTATATTCTACGTTTCTACTTATATTATTTGGTTTATATCTCTTATCTGGCAGCAGTTTAGTAGTTGCCAGTGATTCCATTACTTTATATATTTCTGTTAGGTCATTTAGTTGTTGATCTGATGGATTAAGAACGGTATTTCAATATATGGTTTTTGAATCATGCGTAAAGAATAGCCCTTTATTGTTGAGCCTGTATCCTTTTTAGGTATATTTATGTTACAACACATTACAATACCTTTGACATTTACTTTAGTATCTGTCATTTCTTATTTTAGAGCATTTAACCCTTACTATCTGTAATGAAATAGCCACCCAAACGCAACTTAATTGAAAACCGAAATTCATCAAATAGCACTCATTCAAATTCATGCTATTTGGATCTATTAATGAAAGCGCTCAAATGTACATCAAAAACCCATTTAAAAATACTAAAGTAAAGATGCATGCTTATATCGCACATCGTGTGAATGAATCACTCCTAATCACAATGTATTCAATCCCACCCATGATGGTCGTAATAAGTGATAGTATCTTTATCCAAATAAAACCAAATCAATAACAAGCATATTCAAATATGACAACTATGCCCTGCTGCCATAGTTGCACAATATCCCAGATAAAGGGTTCTGTGGAGTACATCCACTATGATCTGCATTCCGACAGTTCATCCAGTTACCAGATTTAGATATAAACTGTATGTACACTGGATTAGATGTACGATATCGATTTATACTATAAGAAGATATGGACTTCAGATACGCTAGTACTATAAGATTTGTTAAGCACAAAGAATAAAAGGATTATTATTTTTAGCTTATAAAAAATGTTCGATATTATAAAAACAAGAAAAGACTAATTTGAATAAGATCAGACACAAAAACTAAAGATTTATTGATGAAGACAAGAGTTATTCTATTTATGCTAAGTTCTGAATGCCAAAGTAACAATTTATCTTGTACAACGCTTATCACATCTGGTGAACCTCAGTATTTAGATAGCTGAGATGCACTTCAATTACCATAGCTTGTCCATGTTGTTGCACAACACAGACATATCTACACATCAAGAATACCTTAATCTTTATAGACAGTTGTAGCCCTTCTGGCACAACAGAGATACTTGAGTTTACTTTACACCTGTCAGTTTGATAATAAAACATACCTTTATCAAGTTGACTTTACTGTTTTTTTTATTCTTTTTTTTCCGTGAATTTTAGTCTATAAAGCCTCAAATTCCACATCTACTGTACTTGGATAACATCTTATTACAAACGTAAAAACATGGATTGATACGAAATCTAATAGTTGTAGATCATTTTTTATTCAATCCCCGAGCCAATCAAATCGCTTGAAAACTCTGCTGACCTAAAAAAAATTTGCGAGGGTTTCCCTCTGTTTTGATGTGAGGCAAAATTTTAAGCGCCGCTATAATAGCAATATAGCCGCTGCTATCATCAAATTTCCCTCAGGTGCTAGAGCATGCCTTACTTACACCACCTAGCTTTAGATTCTGGCGTTAAGACTCTCAATCACCACCAAAGTAAGTAGCGATAACCAAGTGGAGGCAGCCTATCTACCTCCTAGCCTCGGATAAAGTCTTGTTGAGCTTCAGGGATAGGCACATCCACACAACGTAAAAAAAAAGGTATGCTTCAAAGAAACATAATAATAAAAAAAGAAAGAAGAAAAGAACATACTGCTATAGGAGTATAGTAGTACGTAGGCAAAAGAGGGATACTCACACAAAGTGAGTCAAAGAAAAGTATAACAAACACAACATCAGAGACGCTCAGAACAGCTCGTTGTTGTTGCAACAAAAATCCATACATGAGCAACATTCATGGTAATAGTCGGATGTAAAGCAATACAACCAACAAAAGAAGAGGAAAAACGCAACAAAAAAGTAAACGCCATGAATGCAGTAACATGATGAGAAAGGAAGCCATAATACAAACGTTCAAAGAAGTTTTATATCATTGCGGCCAGAAGAAAGAAGATACTTACCGCCTACCATCACCGTAGATAGACCAGAGAACGAGCTTGCACCAAACACATTAGACCAGGAAGGAACATATTAGCAGAAGCAGCAGTAACACCAGAACCATAGACAACCAAACAACGAGCGATACCAGCACCATTGACAAACCAAAGAACGAGCGACACCTACAGAGATCATACAAAGGCCAAAGAAGCAGGCAGCAGAAATGGCAGAGAAGTAGTGGCAGCAGCACTCATGCAAACAAACAGAAAATTATTAAAACCTAATAAACAAACTGAATTAATGTTACTTCTACACCTTCCAGTGCTCGTTATCGAATGGTACCTAATATATTCCACTTCAAAGAAGCAGTATCAAGTTCTTCCAACAGTACAAGACAGAGTTGTCGGAAGCTACAGTGTTATTATCAATCAAACGGTGTCCAAAACCACCATAGCTTGATACTAAAACGCGTTTTGCAAAAAGGGTAAAAAACGGAGGCATGAAGAAATGAGAGGGCACCCTATCCGACGTCACGACCAGTAGATTTATCTCAGTCTTGTACCGTAGCAGCCGTAGTTGCGGTAGTTTAATTTGAAATTATGCAGTGGTATTTTCGTGTTCAAACTTGACTTGATCTCACAATCTTTAAACGTTTTTGCTAAATTTGACTATGAAAACTGTCGTTGCCACACCCAACTCTGTAATACATTTCTAGAGGACTAAAGAAGCCGCATCGAATGGTGCTGATTACTTTCAGCTTTCACACCAAAAATAATGAGCAATTTCCAAAAATATGAAAACAGGTTTTCTGTGAATATGTCAAAATTTAGCATATGGAAGTCTCATAGAAAGAGTTTCCAATGTTGCATTTCATCTGTACAATCAATTTGGTCTGATATGTATTATAAGAAAAGTCTTCACTTTTGACGTGAAAAACGCGATCGTTTGATTTTCAAAAATTTTCCCTTGCTAATACTCATGGAAAAACGATGATTTTCATGAATTTGCAACAACCCAAAAAAAAAATGAGATAAAGCATCAAGAAGTAAAGCGTAGCCAAGAGAAGGCGTGTGAAGCTATTTCAAGCGCTTAAAACGCTTTGTGGCATGAGATATTCGTGCTTGAAAATGGCTAGATTTGAACGAAATTCGACCTAAAACGACGGTGTAGTGGGTTGCGTTGCCAGAAGAGTAAGTGCATTACAATTCGGTCTAATGTCCCTGATGTTCTGCATTGTACGGAGCGCAATCTAAGTTATCGATGCTTTTATTCTTGCAGTGAAATCAGGTTTGAGTAGATTTCACAAAAAAAAAATAAAGCAATAGTAAAATACAATAGAAATCAGCTGTATTTTATTTGCTTATAAAATGAACTGAAGATTCTGGAATTGAGTAAAAAAAGAAGAGTATTTATACATTTGCAACTAGCTTGTAGGGTTAGTGATGATAGAGAGCAATAGGTGCTGCTACTGCGATATCTGGCAAATGTTGTTGACGTTTGATTTAAAGTGGTAATCAATGCAAGAGCACTAGCCATAAGGGTCGATTTGAGTAACCTTGATGGGCTTGGGTGAGCTATCGTCATAGCATGGTTTAATGTAACCTTGATGGTTTAAAGTGTGATGTTTGTTATTGAAGTATGGAACCTGTGGAATTTGAGGCTTTATAGACTAAAATTCACGGAAAAAAAAGAATAAAAAACAGTAATATCAACTTGATAAAGGTATATTTTATTATCAAACTGACAGGTGTAAAGTCAACTGAAGTCTCTCTACTGGCCAGGTAGATGATCCTTCTTATATACTATAACAATGGATAAAAGTTCTATTAATTAGATTGAAAAATAAGTCAACTCAGATCAACTAATGTCTAATCATGCTAAAAGACAACTCCAGCAAGCTAATCATGATTTAGCTCTATCTGGATGAACAATTAGACTCTCATCCGAAGTACCCTGATCTATCCTTTCCATAAGTATAATTAATATCGATCTAGTAGCATGTATCCAATAGGTACAGTCTTCTTAGTCTATATTAATAGTACATATCTGAGTGTATATCGCTAAGCATACATCTTTAACATGTATCTGGATATATGGCATGTCTATAACATATCGTATGCATGTCTATAGCATGTCTCATATATAGTACAAGTCTGTAGTACATAAAGTATCTGTAGCTAGTATCACGGATATAAGCATGTGTCTTATAGCGTGGATCATGAAGTGCACATCTGAAGCAACAAGCTCATATTGCATTAATCTTGGTGCTTATCCAGATATGGTAAACATCCGTAGTCAATGTCGGAATACAAGTATAAGTCTATAGCGCCATCCATGTCCGTGGTGCCATCTATAGCCTATATCTTATATAGTATGAATCTTATAGTACTAGCGTATCTGAAGTCCATATCTTCTAATAGTATAAATCT